ACTAGAACAGAACAATAGTTAAAAAGCATTAAAGTTGATAAAACGATGTTCACGCTGATACCCACGTGGACCAGCACGTGATAGAAGTTCGACCTTCGTACCGTAAAGGCTGGTTTCCATATAACCGTAACTGCCGTTAGACTGCCGCCGGCACCTAGCTTCCATCCACAGCTGCCATGTTTACGGTACCGCCGGCTGTGAAAAGTTTAATGGAAACACTTTCCAGCTGCCATGCCGGCGGTACCGTAACTGCCGCTAGAAAGTTGAGCAATGTTCAACTTTTGCCGGCAGTTGCGGTAGCTTTACGGTACAGCCGGCAGTGAAAAGTTTAATGGAAACACTTGCTAGCGGTACTGGCGATCATTTAATGATTTTCTAACGTCATGTGATATTGTCTCTCCTAATCAAAATTGCTACTTGTCGGCGCCATTGTTTACTCACAAACACATCAAATTAAACATGGCGACTTGCAGCGAACCCGTAGAGGAAAATGTTGGAAATGAGAAACTGATGAATTGCATCAGAAATTACAGGGTCATATATGACAAGTCCAGCAAAGGCTACAAAATTCCCAAACAAAAGAGGAATGCCTGGATAGAAATAAGTAAAACATTGGGAATCGGTGATGAAGAGGCCCATACACGGTACAAAAGCATAAGAACGAACTTTTCAAAATACGTTAAACGAATTAAATGCACTCGCTCCGGCGCAGGAAGGAGCGACTTGCCTGAAATAAAGAAGACTATGAACATTTGTTCTTTTTCGTCTTAGTCTCGTATAGTAGTACATGAGTAAAACCAGCTGGCAGTGCAAAAGAAATCTTCTATTGACAGCAGCCATCTTAGATCAAGGTGCATGGGATCGCAAGCTTTACGGCAGTTACGGTTATATGGAAACTAGCTCTTACGGGCCCTTACGGTGCCGCCGACATGGCAGCTGGAAAGTGTTTCCATTAAACTTTTCACAGCCGGCGGTACCGTAAACATGGCAGCTGTGGATGGAAGCTAGGTGCCGGCGGCAGTCTAACGGCAGTTACGGTTATATGGAAACCAGCCTTAACATGCCTCCCCCCTTAAGTTCAAACCTCCTGGTTTGGGAGAGCAACGTAGTTCTTAATCTCCAACGGAGTATGTGTCTCTTCCGGGCGCGTTATAGCCGGTTCTTCTGATATCAGGCCATTATCGAAGCTATCGGAAGGCAAATCATTGTCGGGGAGGTCGCTTGAATTGTCAAAATCCGCGGGTGGCTCGATTGGACGATCGTTCGGATCGTAATACGGCTTTAATCTATTTGCGTGGACTGGAACCGATACCGGACGGTTATCGAGAGTTCGCAAACGAAAGTGGACCGGAGAAAGCTTTGCGACAATACGGTACGGACCGTGATAGTTGTGCAATAATTTTTTTGATAAGCCTTTCTTGCTTTTCGGGGTAAACACCCATACTTTGTCTCCGATATCGTAAAGAACTGGTTGACTGTCACGATCGTAGTATTCTTTCATTTTTTGTTGAGCCAACTGCGTCTTAGAAGAAACGATACGCTGCGCATTCTCCAAATTTGTAAGGATGCGTGCACGATGCTCAGCGACAGACGACGAAAGATGAGCGGAGGGCGATAACAAGGCAGCATCTACAGGTAAACGAGGCTCACGACCGTACAGTAAGTAGAAGGGCGACTCACCAGTAGAAGCATGAGGCGAAACACGATAGGCGAAGAGAATCATGGGGATATGACGATCCCAATCCTTTTGATGACTGCTGACATACATTGATAAGCCTTCAGCAAGAGTTCCATTGAATCGTTCGACAAGGCCATCAGTCTGCGGATGGTACGCGGTAGTGTTCAATTTGCGCGTGTTCATTATTTTACAAACCTCGTTGACAATAGACGACAGAAAATTAGATCCACGATCAGAAAGTAGAGTACGAGGTGCACTATGCCGAGCGAGTATTTCGTCAACTAACAGTTGAGCAATTCGTGGAGCTTCTGTAGATGGTAGGGCAAATGCCTCTGGCCAACGCGTATAATAGTCCGAAAAAACGATAATGTAACGGTTTCCATCTTCTGAAACAGGAAACGGGCCTAAAATGTCCATAGCAACACGATCGAAAGCACCTTCAATCGGAATAGGCAGTAACGGAGCCTTGCGTTTATTTCGCGGACTTTTCTTCATTGCGCAATCTACACAAGAACGACACCAGTGTTCAATATCTTTGTACATTCCTGGCCAGTAATATCTCAAACGAACCTTTTCGTAGGTTTTCTCCGAGCCAAGGTGTCCGGCAGTTGGGTCATCATGAAGTGAAACAAGAATTTCATGACGAAGAGACGCAGGAATGACGACCTGAGTACATAGAGACTTAGCACGACGCTTTCCAGGTGTCCATAGATGACAAAGGATTCCATGTTCATCCAAGTAAAAAGAATCGATAGACAGCAATTGTTGGGGCCCAGACCTTCCTTGGTATCCTAAGACCCCACACAGTTATTGTTATTACATTCGGTAGTGTAATACGTGCCGAGATACACGGCGGCATGTAGAGTTTTAATTATAATGTTGACTTTATATTTGATTTAAAGCAGTAGTAAATAACATGTCTTGAATCTCAATACCTAATAAGGACAAACGTATGGAAAATATCAATCGACAAGTCTCAGTGAACGTGATTATCTAAGTTGAAACTCGTAATAAGTTAGTTAGTTGGTTGGAGTAGAGTTGAAGTAATGATGGTGATCGGCGAAAATGTGAAACAGAATATTGATGGATTTGATACAAAATAGTTACACAAAATGGTGATATTTCTCTGAGTCTTCATCTTACACTTCGTTTATCATTAAATATTAAGATAGGGGCACCGCTAGAAATAGTGGTCCCAACAGCAATAACGCGCGAGCTTTAGTGTCACTACTTGGCAATTCCGACGTTTCTAAATACTGAATTATGTCAGCAAGATCTTTGTCTTGTCGTTGTAATTTATGCAAGGTAGATGGTGGTGGGCAAGGATGGTCGACAACGGCTACTGGTAAATCGGGAGAGGAAACTTCATGAGCAGAAGGAGATGCAGAATAGACGCGACGAGAAAGGGCGTCTGCATTACCGTTAGCAACACCAGGGCGATGAATAATTTCAAAATCATACTGTTGCAAACGTAAGGCCCAACGTGCAAGGCGGCCAGTAGGGTCTTTGACACGCATTAACCAAGATAAACTGCCATGATCGGTATGAACAAAGAACTTATTTCCAGACAAATAAGGCTCATACTTTTTATGCCATCCACAACAGCTAAGGCTTCACGCTCAGTAGTGCTATAGCGAGTTTCAGCAGAGCTCAATTCACGACCACCATATGCTATCACGTGCTCTTTACCATCGACTATCTGTCCTAAAATATAGCCTAACGCTGAATGGCTTGCATCCGTGAACATATGAAAAGGCAAATTAAAGTCTGGATAAAACGATGTTCACGCTGATACCCACGTGGACCAGCACGTGAAACAAGTTCGACCTTCGTACCGTAACACCACCCCCCACTTTTTTGCAAAACAATAGAGTTTTTTCAAAATCTTTTATTATGGATGTTAAATTTTCCCTTCCCCCCCCCCCCCCCACTTTTCAACCTTTGTCCGAGCCCATGACTTTTAAGCATGCACCTTGCAGAGGTGTTCTGAGAAAAGAAAAACTTAAAGGGCAGCAGGGGAAGGCCTTAACTGTTGCTTACTACTTTCAAGGAAGAAACTTCCGCGGAAAGAAATTTTCACGGGAAGAAACTTGCGAGGGAAAGAAACCTTTGCGCTTTTTAGCGTTCATGGCTTAAAATCGCGAATGATTGATACGCAAAACTTCCTGAAAAACTAAATTTGTGAAATATCCAGAAAATTTTGCTGTTGATCCTCTTGAAAACTTTGACGACGAATTATTCTGTTGGGCAAATTTTACATCTTTTTCGTTGTTTTGCTGGTATCATGTGGAATACAAATAGAAGGAAAGGAAACCTCAATTGAATAAACAAGTTTTTCACGCAAAGTCAATGATTTTCGCTAAAACGCGAAAGTTTGTTTTTGCAAAGCTCCTATTTCGCTTCTTTCGCAAAGTTGATTCCAAAAATTTCCCAATTTGAGAAGCTTTCTTCCGGCGCAACTTTCTTCCCTTGAAGTGATATGACCCTAGGGAACGTTCGATCATGTGTGGAAGGTCATTATTAGCTAGAAATGTAACAATGGCGACTCTAGACAACTAACTAAAAACAACAGCTCCTTGATCTCTACATACAGTTTCAAATTATTTCTCTAGGAAGTAGGATAGATTTGTCTTTCTGCAAAATTTGAAATAGAATTTCTGTATAGTGGATGTTGGTCATAGTGGGGCCCTTTGGCCTGCGCGTAGACTTCATTTCGATGCTTAGTTGTGAAGCCAGCACGCATGTTAGGGGCCTTGGCTGTGACTTTAGTTTCCAGTTTATGAAAATTATCTTCCCCACTCCAATTTTTGCAGAAAGGGCCCGTAATTTTCTTTACTTTTCATGTCTGAGGGCCCGGTTGGGATCGCCACTTTGCCACCCGGGCCAGACCGCGCCTGGCCTTTAGCACGAGTGAGTTTGAATGATCATCAATTATTCTCGTTAGGGTTTCATAAATTTCAACTGTGACTGGTGCTGTCATCCACAACCGATAATAAACGCGATTAAATTTCGTCCTACTTTTCAGCACACAGGCTGGAAGGTAACCAATGCTATTTTGCTGGCTATGTCACTGGGAATATTGAAGCGGAACCCATTTTTGGAAAGGCTCTGTATATAAAAGTATTGAAGAAAAAATCCAAAGTAGAATAACATGGCGTCAATGTCATTCTTGAAACCAAAATAATGTTAATCTAATATGTAGCAACAGAATACCCAAAGATCTAATTGTTATAAACATCTTTTCTCGGAAACTGGGGGTCCAACTGGGGGCTATGCAAAACTTTGGAAGGGTCGTCCACCCCCTTAGCTCGATTTTTCAAAACGAGGCTAAGCAATAAGTTTTTATGGCGGCCACTTTAAGACAAGGATAAAGTTCACATGCTTTGACAAAGATAGAAAATGACTGTAATCTCTAGCTCCCTAGTTTAGCTAGATCTAAAAACTCGCTGAGATGAAGATTCGTTTCACGTTCATGCTGTTGATTCTGGCATGCTGCATGTTGGGCCTCGCTTTTGTTATTTTATATGACCCAGGGAAACAGACCTATTTCAGAACGCTTGCCAATGAAATAACGCATTCCATTCAGCCAAGAGTTCAGATAGTAAGTATTTGTTTTAGCTATTTGATGATGAGCTGTCAATTACCTACTTCAGAAACATGGTTTTCTCTGAAATTCAACTATTCATGATGACCCAGTATAATGGAAAGTTGGTTTCCTGTGCACCAGATCTACCATCATTGTAGTTGTACACCCGCCAGTGTCTCCCAGAGGTTTTGGAGGCCCTAGGGCAAATGTGAAACAGGGAAAGCCCCTGTTACCAGCGTGAGCTGAAAATTTTTACAACCACACCCTTCAAATTTGCTTCCGCCATCTGTTAATTAAAAATTGGCCAATCAGTGAGCATGATGCCACTCCCATGCTTATTGATTGGGCAATATTGATGAAACCCGAAGATGCAGCTCATGCGAGCAATGCAAGCAGAAATATTCATATGACTATGCCTTTCAGGTCCAGACTGGAAACTTTGCAGCATGCCCCCGATATATTGCCAGCGCACTCAAATTTTCCATCCGCACACTTGCATTTTGGCCATGCAAAGTCCTTATTCGAATACATTTCACATTAACAACAATACAAATTTCTTAAAAGTGCATAATTTCAGGCGCACAGTCGCACAGTCAGGCACATAAACTTGCCTGTGCACAAAAACAAAGTTCCCATTCTGGTTCAGATTTCCTTACAACAGTTTAAAATATTCATTGCAGCTAATTAAAACATTGACACCATTTTTTGTATTTGCAGGATTCTACTATGAATGATGACCTAGTAGTGATTTTCAACAGAGTTCCAAAGACAGGCAGCACCAGTTTCATGAAAGTTGTCTATGGACTGATCAATGCAAATAAATTCAGCTCATTGTATGTCAACATTTCAATAAAGCGACCAATGACACTTCTTGGTGAATCTTGGCTTATTCATAATATAAGTAGATGGAAAGAAGTGAGACCTGTCATCTTCCATGGACACTTTCCATTTGTAAATTTTGTGAAGTATGGATCAAGCACAAATCCTGTTTATATAAATATCATCAGAGACCCCCTTCAAAGACTTGTGTCCTTCTATTACTTTATGAGATATGGTGATGATTTCCTGCCTCATAAGAAAAGAAAAAGGAGTGGTGATAAAACAGTAGGCACATTGTTTTTTTCTTTGGATTATTTAAAATTGAAATGATGATGTGTGGATAGAATTGAGTAGCTCTTCACAAAATTCTATTTTCATATTGGCTAGTGTTTTATTTTCTGCTGGAGGTTGCTTTGAAAGCATTAAGTCATAATAAAACCCAAATACGCAGCATCATGATTTTAATGCTGCCATTCTATTGGTGAACCTGAAAATGATGACATGAACACACCTTGTACTGATTTACAAACAGCTTCTATCAATGGCAGAGCCTGATACTGATGACATGAACACACCTTGTACTGATTTGCATAGGTCAACAGTGTGTATTTAGGAAAAGGATCTTTTGTTTAGAGCTTTAAAAGTGATTTTATAGAAGAAACTTTTTATGATACTTTTTGTAATTTTCTTACCTGATTTTATTATTGTCAGAAAGATATTGTGATGTTTTCTAGACTTTTGATGAATGTGTTCAGAAGAAAGGTGAAGATTGTCAACCAGAACTACTTTGGTTGCAGATCCCATATTTTTGTGGAAACAGCCCAAGGTGTTGGTGAGTATTTATCCTTCTAATTTTTTTTAGACTTCATCCCAACCAAAAGTGATTGTTCTTATTTTCCAATCATGTATTTAAAAGTTCATAAAAGGTTCGTGTTCAGCAATGGAACAAAATATGCTTTATATATGCAAAATATGCAAAATATAATTTTAGAATTTAAATCCTGTTTTCAGTAATTTTTTTAAAAAATTATCCTTTATTTGATTCATAACTTTTTTCATTATCCAATGCTAATTGCTTTATATTTTTGGTCATTTCTAGGCATCCTGGGAGCAAATGGGCTTTGGCACAGGCAAAAAAGCATTTAGTAGATCAGTACCTTGTTGTTGGGGTTTTAGAAGAAGTTGACAAATTTATAAGAATTCTAGATAACACCTTGCCAAGAATGTTTAAGGGGGCTATATCAGCATACTCAAAAGGTATATTTACAATTACTTTGCTTTCTGCATAATAATTCTTTAATGATCCTATTGATCCATCCTATACATACTTGTTTTGATAATTCTAATGATTTTAAATTTTTCCGGCATAAATGAATGTTTATTTACCTTGAAGTAAACTGTATTTCTATTATTCAGTGTATAGGGTGCATTTCTGTATAAGACAACTCTTAATTCAATGTTGAAATTCTAATAGATTAGTTGTCACCATGTCTTGCCATGTATAAGATGCACCACCTTTTCTCAGAATTTGTAAAGCATGTATGTCAGTGAAAAAAATTGAATAGACTCAAGAATACGAAAAAACAAACTTTAAGGAGAAAAATCCTTTCAAACCCAACATCTTTCCATTTAAGATCTTTCAATTTAATATAATCAAATGGAAATACCAAGTTTTTAAAATCCCTTTCCACTCTGCCATCTGTTTCTCCAAAGAGACACTCTTCTAAAGTTTCTCCAGGTAGTATCAAAACTGTTGCTAACCAGTCCCTGTATAATTCAGGAACATGACAGATTTCCCACAATTAGTACCCTTTGACTTTGGGACTAGATAAAGCCATCTTTTGTTTTTAATCACAGTTGAATTTTAGCTTTATAGTTTCCAAATTCTCAAATATTTTTTATTACCGTCTGCTAAAGTGCATTCTTCGACTTGTAGTCTAAGACCAGGATAGGATGCACATGATACCATATTAAGGTTGCAGGCTAGGTATTTTTGACACATGTTCTGCCTTATGTTGGATGTTTCCACAAAAGTGACACATTTGCAGGCCTTGCTATAAGCAAAATGAAGGTGCTCTACGAAAAGAGTCCCTTAGAAACTATAGGCACTCTATTTCGCACCTTTAAATAGAATATCCTTGAAAGCATCCTTTGAGAGCTTTGGAAGATCGAGAGCTTCATATCGAGAGCTTAAGAAAAGTGTTGAATAGGAAATTCAACGGTGATACCAAAAAGCACCATGATATAAAATAACAAAACATGCAGCCAACATTATGTTAACATTGATATAGAAATATTATAAAATAAAGTCGCAAAATTGTTCAGATTTTTCTAAATATGTAAGTTGCCTTAACTTGATATGTAAAATGAGCTTTTAAACTGTCAGTATCACTACTCTTATATAAAGATTCACATATTGCTTCATCAAAACCCATGGCTTTAAGTTGAACATTTAACTTTGTTTCCTTTTTATGATATCCGTTCTATAAGCCACGCTAGAACATTTGCTACTCATGAAAGCAAACGAAAACTGAAAAGCAGTGCGATAATTTGGGAGGAAATCTGATCGCTGATTTGCACAGGTGATTTTAAGCTATTAAGAAAAAAACAGAAAATAATACTTCAACAGAAGAATGGTATCGAAAACCCAATGTTGAGTTTTTTCTCAAGGGGTAATCTTACGCAAATCATAATATTGCAGTCTGTTGGGAAGATTGTTTATGCTTGATCAAGTTTATTCAACAAATTCCAAAAATTTATTTTGCTCCGTGGTAATATTGTTTTTATGATTTGAGGGGCTCGATAAATCGCTCTCCAAGGCTTTTTTGGTTGCGCTCTAGGTGCGCGCGCTCGATCGAGCGCCTTTCCGGGCAAGGCCTGGATTTGGTAAAATTATTTTCCGGCTCTAAGACTGCTATGATTACTCAAAAATGACATATTGAAGGTCATTTGTGTTTTGGAGGCCTTCTTTATTTGTTTACTACAGTGTTACATGCACAACATTCTATTTTTAACTATTGTACAAGGATGTTATACAAGAACACCCTCCCCACCCCAATGAGGAATATACAAGGTACAACCCACGCCATTTTGGGGGTGAATAAGGTCACTTTGCTAAAAGGAAGTGATGGGAAAACCATTAATGAGACACGCCTTCAAAAAACAATAATTATAGTAGTGTGTCTTATTAAGGGCAAACTACTGTATCTGAAAATGGTCATTGTCAACTTTACCTTCAAGGTAATAAAGCTTTTAAATATATGCTTTTCAAGGATGGTCTTGCCAATGTCCTTAAAAATCAACTAATGTATGTACTGCTTCCAAGCTTAGAGTGTTGGTAGGGCCTCCCGAGAAAGAAGTATTTTTACCTACTGTCTTCAAAGAATTATTTTTCCATTTGTCGTTTTATCACAGCAAAGAATTGGGAAGCAAGCATTGAATCAAGTACACTAATTGTTAATAAATGGGACAGTGTAAAGTCAGGCCAGTAGATGGTGAATATAAATCTTCTTTAACTGTTAGTGATTTGAAGCTAGTTTTGGGAGTCTGTCCAGCTAAAATAGAACTTTTTCTTCAGGTGGTGGCGTACATGTCAGGAGGACAAGGCAGAAGAAACCTTTAACACAAGAAACAATTGACTATTTCAAAAGGTCAGATATCTGGAAGCTTGAAAACGAGTTTTATCAATTCGTACGTGGTTTGTTTTTACAACAATATGATGCTATGTTTAGAAAGAGAGGCAGTAATTCTTTGAAAAAGAGTAAAATTTTGTATCAAAAAGTAAAAATAATAAAGCATTTTACGCAGTAGAGCAATTTATAGCAATAAGTAGATAAGTTAATTTTGTAATGACAAATGCAGACTCAATTTTTTGTACAATACTTACGTAAGGGGACATCAAATTTCTATGATAAAAAATCCAGTAAAATGGTAATGCGATTCGATTAATTGTTCACAAAGGGGGTAAATCTTAATTGTTCATTATGTGTTTATTTTTTCCGCAAAATGTTATAATTTCCAGTGGTATGTTTATCAACTGTTGTATCTGCAATCTTCCAGCTCATTTTGATATTTGAAAAAAATTTAATATGTAATTACGTAAGGACTACAAAATTTGGGAAAACTTGCTTTTATGCTAAATTTGGTAAAGTCTGTTTTTAGCCATATGATAGAAATAAATATCAACTCGTTTCAGACATTCTACAATTAGACAAAAGTATATTTATACAAGCCAAGTAACAGTCCCACAAGTTGAAGCAATTTCTGTCTTTATTCAAGCAAAAATATACGTTACAAGCAGAGCATTTAATTGCCTTTCATCTGCCTGCCACTGTGACCTTACCTCCGAGCTGCTGTCCTTTGCACCATGCTCGCACACATCACAGTGCCCCTTATATCATCGTAAACAAGGAGCTATATAATATTTTGAGATAACTTTCATGACACACAGATATCAGACTATTCTTCCTGAATTTGCTCTTATTCTTACCAGATCGCCTCATTTCAAACACTCCTCAGCAATATATGTTTGACAAATGACATATCTTGTCAAATTTTATCAAAAGTTTTATACATGTTATCAAATTTTTGTTTTATTAATGTTATCAAGTGTTGTAGATGTTATGGAATATTTGTGTTATGAAAATATAAAAAATGTTATCAGTTTTTTGAGAAATAAAAGTGAACCCTTCTATATACTGTTTTCTTGGTCTCCTTCCTAGATTCTAAAGATTTTTAATGTTATCCGGAAAGTTATTATTTCGCTTTTCAATTGTTTGGCAGATGCCCGAACAAATGGAAGGCAAGGAACAGCTACTGTTGCTATATTCATTTTATCAGAACCTCTTTTAGCCGGTAGAAAGGAAGTGAATTTTCTTTTTATCAAGTCAAGAAACAGCCAAAAATAACCATTCATAAATGATCCAGAGTTTCCACGTTCATTTCCTCTTTCTTTTAAAAGGCAATACTTCTGTCTGTCTCAAACAAGCATATTTGCCCTTTTTTACAATCGTGAATGCTGAATCACGCATTCACGCGCAAAATAATTGCAAATCACGCTTTCACGCTACTTGAAATAAAATTTCACGATCACGCCCAAAGAATGTTTTCTTTGTTTGACATCAGGGGCTTAAGAGAAGGACTTATTAGAGAGGGGGCTTATTTTAAATTTTTGCTTGGTAAGAGGGGCTTAAAAGGGAGAGGGGGCTTAATAGAGTTTTTACGCTAGTTTAACCTGCTTTAACAAGCAAATTGAAAATTTTTTGAGGTCATGCCCTCTAGAACGCCAGAAAACGCCCTTTTAGAAAATACTTGCCTATTTCTACTGAATTTTTATAAGCAGTCTGGTCCAGAGAAGATATCAATAACTATAAAAATGGCAATAAAGCAACAAGATAACCAAGTTAGAAAATACATCATATCATTAAGCAAGATAAAAAACCTAAAAAATGAGCAAAAGAGGTTTCCAGTCTAGAAGAACTGCTACTACCAGGTGCGGATCTAGACCGATTGCACAGGTTTAAAAAAACCAGTCAAGTTATAAGAGCTATGTTTCTCTGTAAATCTTGAATTTTTGATCTAAAATTTCAATTGCGAAAAATTGCTACATTTCTCCCTGACTGACTACAGTTCCTCTGTTTACATACTGAATTGAACCCCCACCAAATTCCGACAGAGTTCCAAAGTATCCGAAAAATTGAAAATTGAGGAGATCAGTCGCCCCTCGAAGTGACAGTTTGGAGTATGCTATCTATGCGCCCAAATTGAAACCGGTGGCTATTGTTTTCTGAAAACTTGTGAAAACCCGGTGCCCATATGTTTCCCTTATGCGAGAAAAACCGGTGACTAAAAAGCATACTCAATATCGATATATATAGCTCGAAAGTATGGATGCTTTAAAACAAAATGATACAAAATGAAATACGGATGCAAATAAGAATCTTGAGGTTTTGTATTGAGGGGCTAGATTTTTTTTCTCGGAAAAATTCATGAAAATTAGAATCGAAGTTGAAAGAAGAGGAGCAAAGGCCATTTTGAACGTAGTAAAATTGTGACATTTTAGATAAAGTGTGTGCAAATTAATCACATTTTACTAACCGCGTTAGCAACTTTTAGCAGTATTTATGGACCGATAACACACAGGGCTGTAACGGTGTGTTGGGTAATTGGCTGAGATCCTTGTAAGGATACACGGAAGGTCCTGCGTCCTTAGTTTCCAACATTTACGACGATTGTAAATATTAAGTCCAGCTATAATGACTGAAAGGTTGCCAGAAAACGATGACATAAAAAGAAACAGTTACATTTTAGACTGTGATCATTCGTGAATGAGACTAATGAAATACAACGTTTCGTTACGATAGTGCGTTCGTTCGTGATGATTTCAGGCGACAACCTTTTAACAACTTTAATATAATACTCTATACAGAAAAGTAAGAAGGCCCTTGCGTAGGCGCTTATACACAGGGTGACCAACTAAACAAATTCAACACGGGGTAAAGCACCCCGAAACTGGTCAAAATTTTGGTTAGATCCGCGCCTGACTACACAGGAGTAAACTATCCAAAGTTGCGTTAGAGAAAACTTTGCAAAAACTTTTCTAGCTTATTATTGCAAAATTGGGGGAGGGGGGCTATAGCCCCTGCTAGCCCAATGGCTGTGCGGTGCCTGCTTTAAGAGTTGATTAATCACAATCCTCATTTCAATTTCCCAACACAAGTTTGCTTTTTCAGTTAGCAAATCTGGAGGTCACTTTGGCTGCCAACTAAGAATGAGTTGTTGTTGTCATTATTCTCCGGGAATTACAATTGTGCATCAGAAAATTCTAGATTAACATGCCCTTCAAAATGTTGGAAAACGCCCATTTTTGAAAACAATTTGAAATAAGCAGTGACATGCTACTGACTGTTTTTTATCAAACACAATAATAATCATACCGTAATGGCTCGAATAAGCGCCCGGGCGTTTATTTAATTTTTGAGGCTCCAGGTTGGGCGCTTATTCGAGGGAGGCGCTTAATCGAGGGGGAGCTTTTTTAAAAAGTAGATTCGGGTGTAAATTGTGTTGTTTATTAATCTTTCTTGTTGAATTGCCTGCCAATTGTGTTTTCGTTGAAAAATCGAATAAGCGCCTGTTTCTAAAGGTTGAAGGATGGGCCCTTATTCGAGGGGTGGGCGCTTATTCAAGGGGCGCTTATTCAATAACTTTACCTCTAGGGTGGGCGCCTATTCGAGGGGGGCTCTCATTTGAGGGGGGCGCTTGTTCGAGGCATTACGGTAAAATTTAATATAAGAGGGGTGCTAATAAGCGACGGGGGAGGGCAAAGTCTTCTGAAATTAATACACGGCGGGTCCCGTCTATTAGAGACATTGGGAGAAGAAACCTCGATACCGATCATGTTTCTGATTGTTGTGAGAGAGGCTGGAAGAAGTTTGGCGCCAATTCGCAAGCTTTGCTTTGAGATTCCTTGGTGCAGCAAAAAGAGCAAATATGCCGTCAAAGACAATATCAGAATTGTTCAGGTTTGTTCTCAACATCTTATGATAAAATCAACCAGTATATTGAGAGAGCAACAGGTTTTTCTTCGCTTATATCGCTCTTTAGGCCACCAGGCAGTGTGAGACGTTCACACGACTGCAGTTGTACTGTTTCAATACAGAAGAATAGTTTTATCGAGATCTTGTCAAGAACTGCAGTGCTTTTCAGACCTTTGGGCGATACAATGCATCTAATTTTGTTCTTCAACAGCTCATCAAATGTGTGACAGCTGCCTGCAGGAGATCGTTCGTTGTTTTGAAAGGTTCTTATGCTCGCCCCCCGAGCGGACCTTGATACACAGTCTGCACATGCCAGGTCTCTTTAGAAACTGACATACTTTCTCTAGCCGTTGAGATTGTTGACCTTTAGGGGAAGACTCACAAAAAAATTTTCTCCGTTTTTAATTGACGTTGTTTGTTAGATATAATCACCCCTTGTTGGATTCAAAGTGAATTTAAGTTGAACTTAGCATACACTATCAGTTTAATTAGAAATTTTCATGAGTGCACAAAGCCATTATGCCCTTTTGGTATACATTATCAATGAGATAACCATGGAGCCCCAAGCACTGTCAAGAATAAACAGTACACTCCATAATCCCTCATTGGTGTTACTTCAGAGATAAAGGATATATAGGCCATAATATTGATGTCTTATTTTTTAATTAAGGTCAGTTCAACTAAAACTGTACTGCATACATGCTATAAAATGACAAAAATTAGACTAAGTCATAAAAAAGCGGGAAGAAGAAGCTTTCTCTCTAATCTCATTAAATAGAGAGCGCCCCCTGTTTATCAACATATAACAGAGATCTGCAGTATAAATATTTTATGCAAAAAGTTGTGAAGAAGTTTTGAAACGCAAATTCAGGATAAATTATTTTCAGGACTATTTGGTTTGTTAGCAACTAAAAAAAACTACATTTTAATTTTTTAGCACCAAGAGAAAATCACTATGTGAAGATGGTGAAGAAAATGATGAGGTAAATAAACTTAACTTTATTTCATATTAAATCAAATAATAGCCTGATTCTCTCTTTTTGATTCTCTTGAACAGGAAGTGGAGTATTCTCACATTAATAAATCTGCCAGAAGAAATTACCACAGAAAAATAGTATTAAAATGAATATGGTATGCTTTAAAGGTCTGTTCGTCATCAAACCACGCAACAACATAAATTGGCCATTCCATCTGTTTAATATCATCTTCATTGGAAATTTTGCCAATGGGTGTATCACTTCCCAATGCTTTTCACCCAAACTGATTTAATTTTCAATAAAAACTTGCTTTCTCCCTGCTGGTTGCTGCAAAAGTATCTTTAAAATTTGCATTAAAATTTCTATGTCCTGTTTAATGTTGTCCATATTATTTATTTTTTCAGAATAGAAAAAAAATAAAAAGATCTTTAAGGTATGTATGTTTCTATTCTGAGCAATGAGAGAAAATGCACTACTCTTTTGGTTTAATCAAATAAATTACTGTATAGATGTATTTTTGATGTACTGTTTATATGTTTGAATTAAATACTTGCTTTACCATCATAAATATAACTCCATTTGGTTTAACCCAACCTTCAGTGAAGAGATATTTCCACTAATCGCATTAAGCCTGATGCTCTGAGTAACAGCTTATAACTGTCCTTTTCTGTGCTTCAAGGGCTTTATGTCAAACCTGAAAACAGTAATTTTTATTAAAAATGTATTTATATGTTATTACAGTATATTGAAACAATATGAAATTTATTGTGAGTTTTACAGCCTTGTCAGCTCACACTTATAAAGTTTCTCTGCTCATATTTGTTGATTTTAGTTTCTACAAAACAATTAGAAGAACGAAATGGTAATATATCTAAAAAAAGGAATTTTAGTCTGAAAATCCTTTAAGACTATGATTAGAAGATGGTGTAAATCTCTAAAGCTTGCTAGTATTTCCTAAAATATTTATTATACATAAGTTTCATCCATAATTTTAAGTCTTTTGATCTCTTGTCTTTCTAAACATTTGAAAATGCAATTTAACAATTTGAATTATTTCTTTGCAGTGACAATAAAAATGAGACAGAGGTCAATGTTCAAAAAAAGGTGCAGTTTAGATATATTTTTCTTTTTTCTACTTTTATTTTTCCATATGAACTTTGTGGATTAACAGAGAGAGCAAGTGAATTCATCTACCTCTAAACTCTTGTTTTGTCTTAGTTTCCTGAAAGATGCAAAGAATGTCTTCAGTTTTTGAACAACTCAGAAATACAAATGTTTATTGGAGATGTAGAAAATGCAGTAAGTTTCACAAATTCTCAAAATATTTAATTCAGTTTAGTTTATATGACTTTGAAATTGCCGTTTCTAGAACAAGGTACAAGCTGAACAGCTCAGTAATAAGCAGAAGAACCTGTTGTGACCTGTAGTTATGACTAGTAATACACATGTATGTATGTATGCCATCTTTTTATCCACTCACAGACTACAAAAATCCGGTACATGAGGTCTAGTAAATTATGATACTTAGAATAATAGGATATGACACAACTCAAGCGGAAATGCCAATTAATTGCCAAATTCTTATTAATTCTTGTGGGTAATCAAACTCTCTAAAGCTCATGTGGGCAAGCACATATATCGTCAATCATTTTTTTGTAGTTGTAGCTGTGGTTTTAGGCTCATGTGGAAATGCCATTGAACTTGAAAGTCAATTTTTCACTGTATAAGTTTATTCAATTTAATCCTTTAGGGCTAGATAAACAGTCATTAGCTTGTTTATTTCAAAGCCAAGTTTTTTGCTCTTTGTTAGGTTGAGGAATTATGTGCGTTATGTGATCCCAAGTTGTCTCTGTTCTCTGGTGAAGATGTTGGTTATGAAGAGAAGCCACAACATAAAATCACAAATTTCAGGTTTGTGCATGTGAAAGGTTTCACTGCTCTTGCTTGTCCCTACAGTGTTGTAGTTTGGCTGCCTTCTACCAGTTGCAGTACCAGAAAAGTAGCCATTATTGTTTCTATTTCCTTCACTCTGTGATTCTTTATGCCTTATCTATTACATATACTTTTATGGTATTTTTCTTACATTTATTTTCCATCTATTGCTTAAATAATATATTCTTAAAAGTATTCTTATAATAAAAGTAATCTGTACTCTTATAAGTATTCTTAAAATATGGCCAGCTGCAAATGCAAAAAATCTGGTTACTTTTGCATGCCCCCCAAACTTGCACATCTGCCCCTCCCAACTTGGTACACCCCTCCCAACATGGTACTCTTCTGTATGTGTAACTGTGCTTTTCATCTTAAGTACATTGTAACCAAGATCGCTATCAGTAACTGGAAATGCTTTAACTTTAATCGGTGAGATTTGTCCTTAGTGGCTATTGAAGAACTAGAATTCAGAATTTGCATTAATTTGATAAGTTATAAGAGAGAAACACAAGACTTCCTTTTGAATAACCTTGTTAATTAATTTGTTTACAAAATTGCAATATTACATATAGTTTGCATTTTATCTACATACATTATTGATCATCAAATATAGCAATTAACAGCACCCCCTTCCCCAATATAATCTTACTTTCAAAAATTGTGAGCTTCCCCACTCTCTTTATTTCCAGTACTAAATTTTTAAAAATTCAGCTCTCGTCTCCTTTTTACAGTTGTTGATACCTCATCATCCCATCTCATCTTTGCAATCTCATTAGCTTTGGCAGCTTCATTGTTGTTTTGTACAACAAACAATTTTGTAAATAATACCCTTGATCTTTAACAAATTGTTTTTAATTTCAGTGTTTACGACAAAAATACACATTTGTGTCCATTTGATACTGGATTGATTGAAAAAAACAAAGAATTAATGATGAGCGGTTTCCTTAAGCCAATTTATGATGAAGATCCTTCGCCAGAAGGTCAGTAGAAGCTTCAACATTTCTGTCCATGTCCTTAAGGTCATGAACACATTTTAACCTCCAGATCTCAACATAGAATTCATTATTGCTCAACTATAGATTCTCAACTGTACAAAATATGATGGCCTAGGCCAGTTTGTGCTAAATTGCAACAGAATGCAATTAAATATATGATAAGGCTTCCAGGCTATTTTTCAAATCCTTTGTTAAATATTTTTCTGAACAAGCTTGGCTGGAAACTACTCAAATGACATTTTCTCTCTTCATTGAATGAAAAGAGCAGCACATTGAGAAACAGTGACACTAAAGAGTCTAGTGGTCATAAAAATAACAGAAAATGTGTCACTTTTTACAAAATACAAGGCCAGTGATAATGACCTTGGTTTTCAAACACCTAAATCTGGTCTTGCGAAAGTTTTCTTTGATCTATAGTGTCGTAATTTACAGAACCTGTTAGGAATGATTTGATCAAATTTTGCAAAGTCTCCCAAGGGTTCCAAGCTTTGAGACTGTTCCTTGCGTAGCTGAGAATTTTGACTTTTTGATAGTTTTTAAATTCTAAATAAAAGCATTTGGAAGTTTTGTTTGATTTGTTTTTAACCATTGACTGATAAAATTGATTCAAACTTCGACGGCATTGTTGTTTTCAGTGCTGTTAACATTACTCACTTGCAAAGTTATGCAAGAAGTTTAATGTAGGCAAAGGAATTTATTATATGTATTGAAATAAATGTTGAGATTTTTATGAAAAAGGAAACGAAAAAGAACTTAAATTTACGTTGAAATTTGGCATGTTTTCACTTAAGTTCAAGTCAAGTAATTTTGTTTCTTTTTCCTTCGCATTTAGGCGGCATTGCTGTAAAAAACATTGGCCCAATTAATGAATGGTGGATTACAGGCTTTGACGGTGGGGAAAGGGCGTTGATTGGTTTCACAACCGGTAAGCTTTGTTAAACGCTCATTTTGGTACTTAATTTATTCGCTCGTACCTTATCGTTTTTTAGATGATGTACCACACACAACTTACATATTTAATCTGATTTTCTATGCTATGTAGGAACAAATACAAATAGTTATACTTTCTCTCAGAGCTTTGCAGCAAAAGGTTTGAAGCAATTATACCTCTTTCTGTTTTACTCCTTGTTTCTCATCAACAGCATTTGCTGAGTACATTCTAGTCAAGCCTTCTGATGAATATGCACCATTTGTGAATGCTGTTCTGGAGAAAATCTACATGAGTAAGGTAGGCTCATTAAATTTGTTGTTACCAGAAAATTTGTTGTTTTGGAAGTGAAATATCCTCCACCAAACTCTCATCAATTAAGTTTGACCTTCTCAATTGCTGCACATGACCTAAGAGATTCATTTAGCGATCTTTACCTTCAAAAGCAGTATTTTTAAGAACGCCAGGATAAAGTAGACGCAATTGCAGTAAGAAAGCAGATACCAACGTCTATAATTGTCAATCAGTTTAGGTAGAGAAGCATGACAACTTCAATTTAAACTCTATTTATCCTTGTCTCTTAATCAAGGTTGTAATCCAATTTGCTTGTTTAGATCTTAGCCATCTTGATCATTGACCGTGTTTCTAACCATCACCGTATCTCTTACAGGCTGTGATTGAATTTCTCAACATAGATCCTGAAGTTAGATATGAAGATCTGTTGAATAAGATACAGGTTGGTATCCTCGTCTTTCTTTTTGACTACTGAATTGATCAGATAAATTTTTTTCTTTGCTTGCTTCTCAGCGTTATCTCTATAGGAAGGTTGATTGGTGCGGCCTGAATATTCTGTGTCAAGGATCTGGTTTTATTTCAATAATTAATTTTTCCAACGTATTGTACGGTGAATGAGACTTAATATGACTTAACACAAAAAGCAACTTTGTACATCAAAATTAGTTAGATGCTACTGCATTTCGAGTATAACTCTTGATCAGATAAAAAGGAACCAAAAAAGTAAAAAACTAAGCATCGATCAAAATACAGCAGCTATTCTTTCTTCGGCAATGATTGTCCCCAATCCTCTCCGTGGTTCATTTTGACTTGCTTTTCATTCACTCTGACTTGCTTTTTATTCACTTTGACTGGCTTTTTATTCACTTTGACTTGCTTTTTATTCTCTTTGATTTGCTTTTTATTCACTCTGACTTGCTTTTTATTCACTCTGACTTGCTTTTTATTCACTTTGACTTGCTTTTTATTCACTTTGACTTGCTTTTTATTCACTTTGACTTGCTTTTTATTCACTTTGACTTGCTTTTCATTCACTTTGACTTGCTTTTTATTCACTTTGACTTGCTTTTTATTCTCTTTGATTTGCTTTTTATTCACTCTGACTTGCTTTTTATTCACTCTGACTTGCTTTTTATTCACTTTGACTTGCTTTTTATTCACTTTGACTTGCTTTTTATTCACTTTGACTTGCTTTTTATTCACTTTGACTGGCTTTTTATTCACTTTGACTTGCTTTTTATTCTCTTTGATTTGCTTTCTATTCACTTTGACTTGCTTTCTATTCACCTTGACTTGCTTTCTATTCACTTTGACTTGCTTTCTATTCACTTGACTTGCTTTTTATTCACTTTGACTGGCTTTTTATTCACTTTGACTTGCTTTTTATTCACTTTGACTTGCTTTTTATTCTCTTTGATTTGCTTTCTATTCACTTTGACTTGCTTTCTATTCACTTTGACTTGCTTTCTATTCACTTTGACTTGCTTTTTATTCACTTTGACTGGCTTTTTATTCTCTTTGATTTGCTTTCTATTCACTTTGACTTGCTTTCTATTCACTTTGACTTGCTTTTTATTCACTTTGACTTGCTTTCTATTCACTTTGACTTGCTTTCTATTCACTTTGACTTGCTTTTTATTCACTTTGACTTGCTTTCTATTCACTTTGACTTGCTTTTTATTCACTTTGACTTGCTTTTTATTCACTTTGACTTGCTTTTTATTCTCTTTGATTTGCTTTCTATTCACTTTGACTTGCTTTCTATTCACTTTGACTTGCTTTCTATTCACTTTGACTTGCTTTTTATTCACTTTGACTGGCTTTTTATTCACTTTGACTTGCTTTTTATTCTCTTTGATTTGCTTTCTATTCACTTTGACTTGCTTTCTATTCACTTTGACTTGCTTTTTATTCACTTTGACTTTCTTTCTATTCACTTTGACTTGCTTTTTATTCACTTTGACTTGCTTTTTATTCACTTTGACTTGCTTTTTATTCTCTTTGATTTGCTTTCTATTCACTTTGACTTGCTTTCTATTCACCTTGACTTGCTTTCTATTCACTTTGACTTGCTTTTTATTCTCTTTGATTTGCTTTCTATTCACTTTGACTTGCTTTCTATTCACCTTGACTTGCTTTCTATTCACTTTGACTTGCTTTTTATTCTCTTTGACTTGCTTTGACTTGCTTTCTATTCACCTTGACTTGCTTTCTATTCACTTTGACTTGCTTTTTATTCTCTTTGATTTGCTTTCTATTCACTTTGACTTGCTTTCTATTCACCTTGACTTGCTTTCTATTCACTTTGACTTGCTTTTCATTCACTTTGACTTGCTTTCTATTCACTTTGACTTGCTTTTTTGTTCTTCCAATAACCTAGACCGATATATTTTCATCACGTTCTCTTTTTGTCAGCCCACATACCTTTAAGTTGGGTAGCCGGGAAAGTTTTCTTTCAGGCGGTATGGTCATAATTCAAAAATTCTAAAAATAGATTTTAATGACGTCATCATTTATTTCCTTTCAGACAACAGTTCCTCCAGAAAACTGTCCTAGATTCACCGAAGATACTCTTCTCCGCCATTCACAGTTTCTTGTCGAACAGGTAGGCTCACATGCAGAACGACATTACACGTTTCTGCCAAAAGTACTTGGGACATCCAGCAATTTGCGTTTTATTATATATTTTCTCTTTCTTTTCCGAAATAAAATCACTACTTCCACCCCCTTTCCCCTAGTATGGCACGAGGATGGCTCAGTTGCTAGAGGCGCTGACTACAGTCCCAAGGTCCGTGGTTCGAGTCCCTGGCCTTGAGAAACTTTCACCCAGACTGAGGAGAGTCGCCAGCTTTCTGTAATCACGAGGTGCTAATCGACCAGGACACTGCTCGATAAGCATAAGCTTCTCAGTTCCCTAAAAATTATTTTCAGATGCTAGGTAGAAACAAATAAACAAAATAAGCAAATGAACTAGTACAGTGTTGATAGTTTGACAAGTATTGTAAACGCCACTTTCAAATCTCCTTCGCCGTTCTAGGCAACATTATTCCCTGGGAGAAAAGGGAATGGTTTGATTTGACTTTGAAAACTGACGTCAGTATTCCAAGTCTTTTGGCATTGTAGAGGGTACCCAATAAGTCTCCAGATTTCCCGTTTGTATCCCGATTCCCGATTCCCGACTGCCAATCCAAGAATCCTGGTGTTAGCGACTCCCGATTCCCGACCCCAGAAAATGACGACTCCTGCTTCTCCGAAAAACATATGGGGAACCCTCCTTGTAGCCTCGCAATCAGAACGACATTACTCGTTTCTTCTAAATGCAACTCTATGATCGTCAAATTTTATCTGAATATTAGTTCACAAACTGCTGCCGCAATGTCATACTTCGTAAGCATATTGTGATATCGAATGTTTTCAATGACATATACGCTTTTATCTTTGTTTGAAATGATCTAGATTGAGAGCTATGACTCAGCTGCCGAACCAGACGAAAGACTTCTCATTACATCACCGTGTGTTAGAGATTTGATTAAACTGGCTGGTGTTACCCTTGGCAAAAGGTGACATAGAATTTTGATAACTACCCTCGTGTTGATTCCGATATACGTTTCTGTGTGTCAAAAAATTGGTTAAATTATTTGTGGCAGTCATTTTGAGCAAGTTGTTTGTTGGTTTTTTAGCGTAGCTAATAACCACATTCCATTTCACATTCATTTTGCAATGGCTCTAGACTGTCGATTCAATGTTGCTTTCCCAACTGTTCCCAATGATTATCTTTTACAACCTGCCTCATTCTATTTTGCTCGTTGATGAGCAATTATGACTGGTTTTTTCTCGGTTTATTTATTTTTCTACGACTTCCTTTTCTCGAAATTGATACAATACAGATTTACATACTCTGAAACACAGGCGTCAATTACGTGGCATGAGAATTAAAGCTGAAGCCCCCAAAAAGAAAGCTCCAACTAAGGTTTGTACCAAAATTGCACCATTGTGTTTAGGAAATTTCCCCTGTTTTTAAATTGACTATACTAATACATTTTCTCTACTACAGGCAATAATCATGTTTCTACAATTTTCCGTTTTTTAAAACGTTTGTTAGTAGAACAGGCATTAAAGCTAAGTTATTTAAGAAATAATTCATTCACTGGGAAAGCATTTTATATCTACGTAGCTATGCAACATAGCGGTTGTTGTTGTAAATTTATTTTAATTCGATATAAGAAACAATAGCTACCAATATATACATGAATATACAATGTTAACTAATCAAATACGAATAAATAAGATCGGTGTTATGGTGTTATGTTATGGTGTCAAAATCGAAACAAGAACGGTGTTATGTTCTTGTATCTTGTTGGCGTTATTTATGCTTGTGCATACATTTTAAGCGAAACTATGAGAGCTGTCAGTTTCAAGCCTGTTTCTACTTCCTATAAACGACTATCAAATAACAGATTTGCTACAATCCCTGCCAAAACGTCCTCTGAAAACCAATACAGCGCTCTTTCTACCTCTCCCGACCACACAATCTCTAACACCGCACCACTCTCTCCCTGCCCTCTACAGAATATTCGTAAGAAAATTTTTATTCTTATTTGATAATAGTAAATTTAGCACATCAAAATGCACGTTTATAAAACATTCACGTAGAAATAGTCAACATTGTTCCGAAGGATGGGGGGGGGGGGGGGGTGCGTGCAATGTTTAGGGAAGTTATTGTAGCATTTCAACAAGGACTGCTTGTCATACAAGCCAAGCTAAATAAAAGCCTTTCTTCCAATTAAGGCTACCACCACTCCATTGGTGCGGTATATCTTCGACATGTTTTTCAAAGACCAAATAGAGAGTAAAGGCAATGAAGGGCCACGAAAGAAACGTTGTGGGGTTTGTGACGTATGCCAGCAACCAGATTGCGGTGAATGTAAGTGCTGCAAAGATATGAAGAAGTTCGGCGGCAGTGGAAAATCAAAACAGTGTTGTATCAACCGAAGGTATAAACAATCCTTGTTTCGTTTGACTTTGCATGCGTTGTGCTACATTTGTTAAGGACTGTTCAATTCATTTTCTTTGGTTTAGGTGCCCGTATATGGAAGTCAAAAACGCAGATGAAGAAGATGAAGAATTGGACAATCCGACTGTATGTTTATTTTCCACTTAACTTTGATAACATTCATGTTCATATTTCATATTAAATTATTTATGCAATAAAAATCCCTTCAGCATATCAGAAAAAACTAAATTAAATTAGAATAAGCTAAATTAAAATTAGATTAAATTTACAATCTAAATACAATATATTGTTAGGGCCTATTTGCTGCTCTTCCAGGGAGTCGTGTTTTGATTTAGTTTCAGCTCTTGAAATATGATTTTAAGTTTCTTTTGAACTGCGGGAGGGTTGGCAGTTAGCTGGTTCAAATGGGGATGCTGTTCCACGCAGTAAGAGCTGAAAATCAGAAGCCTTATTCACATATTCAAGGCTATATCTTGGAATTTGGATTTCCTTGCAGTTTTTTGTTCTGTAATTTGAGTGCAAGGATATCAGGGGAAATTTATCCCAAAGGCTCTCTTGGCACGTCCTGTTCATAATCTTGTAGGTCATGGCTAATCGATCGCATTTAATTAGCTGCTCTACATCAAACCAATTATGTGACCAGTTATCCTTAATTTTACCTTTCTCAATAGTTGTTCGGGTTCGGTCTTGTAGATTTTGCAGGATCTTTATTTTAGAACTAGGAATACTTCCCCAAATAACATTTGCATAGCGCAAGTAACTTTCTATAATGGCCCGATAAACATGATGTAGTTGTTTTTGTGGCAGAAGATTTTTCAATTTTTTAAGTGATTAAAGACCTCCACGAACCTTCCCTTTAACAACTTTGAAGTGATGTTCCCAGTTCAAACCTTCATCAACGATGATTCCAAGTGATTTTGTCTGTTTTACGCGCTTTATTTCTGAGTTGTTTAGTATTAGCGGTTCAGAGACATCGATTCTACCAATCAGCTTGTATTCAGTTTTCTTAGGACCGGCAGTCAGTTTATTAATTCTCGTCCTTTCTAAAATTCTGAGAACCTCTCTTTGAGCATTCTTAAGTAGAACGTTAAATGTTATCGTAACATGCTGGCTTTCGATTGTTCTAGACATGTTTCGAAATCGTTCAGGTAGATTATGAATAGGAGTGGAACAAGACAGGAGCCTTTTGTAATCCTGTCTCTATTGTGTTTAATGTTTATAAACTTCAGAGCTCCTTTCCAACCTCCAATTGTATATAATATTTTTGCTATCCCGTGCCTTTTCTTACCCATTCTAGGTCCCCGTGCTTGGTTCACCCAAGCATAAGAATGTAAAGTCAAAAACTATTCAGGTAAACTACTTCGTGTAATCATTTCGTGCAACTTCATGTAATGATCTAGCAAGCGATGATTGTGTGATACTTTGGTTTTGATGAATATTTTTTGGCATTTTTCAGCAATTTCTTTTCTACATTGGCCATTTCTTAGACTTATATAAGTTCTTAGAGTTCTGAAAATTATAAAGAAACTCAGATCCAAAAACAATTGCCTCCAAGTTGTGAATAGTTTGCAAAATTTATTGACCCGAGGAAGCTCAATATCGTGGCCTAACCTTTTTTTGTTAACTTGTAGACCAAAGTGAAATGGATCGGCAACCCAGTTGAAACAATAAACGACAATACTTACTACTCGGCTGTTTCTATAAACGGAGAAACGGTGAGAACATTTTCAAGTCTCGTCTTTTGAGTCAGTCTGTTAGTGAGAATAGAGATTGACTGACTGCAAATGTTGACAGGAAAATGTTTCAATTATCTTGTTTACAAAATTCGCAAGACCTGAAATATTTATCTAAAAATTTTGTTCCATAACTTTAAATATTTTATCTGTGATTTTGCGACTTTAAATCGCATATTTTGCGAAGCTCTAAGCTTTGGAATATTTAAGTCTTCACTTAAAACGCATTTTTTAACTTTACTTTTTGTTTTATAAACGAATGTAAACAAATTTAAGTAATTTATTTAATTTCATATTGAATTCTTGTGTTATGAAAAACCTGGTATTAAGATTAGTGTTTTAAATAAACATAAACAAAAACATATCTTTTGAATAACGAAAATTACTTTTTTTGTCGCTCCGTTATAAAGTGCTCGGTGATGAAGAGACAGAGCTGTACACGCCTCGGTGTATTGAACTGGATTAATTCTGGTATAGAAATTCTGGTGTAGAAAGTTAAGCGATTCTTATAATGGATTTAAATGAGTAACTTTCTTCTATTTAGGTTAACGTCGGTGATTTTGTCAAGGTCTGCTCTGACGATGAGAGTGCTCCATTGTTCATCTGTCGCGTTGCATACATGTGGCAGGATCAGCGTGGACAACGGGTGTTCCATTCGCAGTGGCTCTAGTAATTCCCCCATTTTTATTATCGATTTGCAACGCCAAAAACATTACTTTACTCGACTGTCATTGAAATGAAATCAAGAAAGTGATTTCTTGTGATTTGCCATCAGATTGATCATAACGCGTTGGTAGGGGAATTTAGATGTTGAAGAAAGCATGGACAAGAATACAATAATTGTTTTGATTTTACATATTCTTCTTTTAACACAAACAAAAAACTAAACATCAATTCGACCATGCCATCTATGTTGCTATGTTTCATTACGTCATCCTCTATTTGCACCGTTAAATAGGCCAATGAAATGGTTTCTTCTACCCCAGTCGAGCTACTGAGACAGTCCTTGGAGAAACAGGAGATGTCGCTGAAGTTTTCTTCTCTGATGAGTGTGATGACAACCCACTTGGCTCCATTTTGTCCAGATGTGACGTAAGAAATCTTCTACTCTCTTTACACTGTTGCTGACAAATCTATATTCACCCAGACTCTACATGGCAGCGTTTGCACTATAGCACTGTAGCACTGTAGCACTGTAACACTGTAGCACTGTAGCACTGTAGCACTGTAGCACTGTAGCACTGTAGCACTGTAGCACTGTAGCACTGTAGCACTGTAGCACTGTAGCACTGTAGCACTGTAGCACTGTAGCACCATTGCAATTGGTTTATGGAAACAAATCCATTATGTGTCACAATTTTAAGCTCTCTTCACCTTACATTGGTGTCACTGAAGTCTTTGCTTTCTGTATCATAAAACTGGTTATTGTTACTGTAAACACCTATCTGATTTTATGTAGATATTGAAAAAAATCCAATTGTGAATGAACCTTTTGGGCTCTGTTACCGTAGGTAGAGATAAGAAAATTGAGCTCAGAATGGTTCCTTCAAGGAGCCGCCGAAGAACTGATTCCTGAAGCAGAGACAGAAGATGACGAAAGCCATTCGTTTTTCATCCAGAAATGGTAGGTCAACCTCAACAGTCATGTGCTCGTGTTTTCTGATTGGCCTATTTCGATCCACAACTGGGTTTATATATATTTCCTAACGTAGAGTTTTGATCTATGTTCTGACGTTTTAAACTCTGAAGAGTGTCAGACGAAAAGCTTTAGTTTACGAAATGTTTGCTTTTTTTCAAAGCCATTTTCAAGAAATGGTAGGCTTAATCCAGTTTCATTCTTATCCAGTTGTCTATACATCGCTTTTGTATCACTTGTCAAAACCCTTGTATACCTGAAATTTCAATCTATTATCCTTCATCGCCCTTAATTTGGTAAGACATCATAACCCTCGCAGCGTTGTATATCAATTTACTATTTGGGGATCTTTAAAACTTGTCCTTGTGCTTATGCCATTAAGTTTAATTGAATATTTTCATATTATAAGTCGTTTAGTAGAAGGATTTTTTTATGGAGATGGTAAAATATATGTCATTACTGCTTGAACTTTTATTACTTTTCATCCAGGTATGATTGCGATAAAGGTAAATTCACAGACATACCTGATGTTTTCACAAGCAAGCAGCCTACGTATCAATCATGCCCTTGCTGCACAAGGAAGAATACGGCGTTAAAGGCATGTCTGTTTTGCTCAATCTAAAATTGACATTTTCGAAGTAGGTTATTGACAATGCTTTCCAAATGGAGTAGAACACTCGGACGCTTGGACCTATCATTATGGAGATTCGATAAAGCAAAATTTTATTTTACCATCTCGCTTTGCCTGTGCGCTTGTACCCCTGTGCGCCTGTACCCCTGCCCCTGTAGCCCTGCCCCTGTAGCCCTGCCCCTGTAGCCCTGCCCCTGTAGCCCTGCCCCTGTAGCGCTGCCCCTGTACCCCTGCCCCTGTACCCCTACCCCTGTACCCCTGCCCCTGTACCCCTGCCCCTGTACCCCTGCCCCTGTAGCCCTGCCCCTGTCATCCCTGCCCTGTACCCCTGTCCCTGTAGCCCTGCCCCTGTACCCCTGTCCCTGTAGCCCTGCCCCTGTAGCCCTGCCCCTGTAGCCCTGCCCCTGTAGCCCTGCCCCTGTAGCCCTGCCCCTGTAGCCCTGCCCCTGTAGCCCTGCCCCTGTGCCAGCTGATATGGACCTATGTTGAAGAGTACTGTTGTTGGTTAGTTTATTTTCACTTTCTATTGCAAGATAGAGCTATTTTTTCGATTTTGATTCAAAACAGCATAATATATTATTTTCAGTAAAAAGTTGTCTTGCTCTTTGATTCTGTTGTTTAGTGACACGTTTTCAGAAAGTTGTCTTTAATTTTCTTTCAGTCAAGGTTCCTTGTCGTTAGGCCCCGCTCATTAGCTCTCTCTATCCTTCACATTTAGCCATGGCAGTAAACTATTCAATTCTTGTTTAGATTATTCATGTTATTTTTTGCAAATAGACATGACACATGTTGCGAGACATATATTCCTTATTATTAAGATCTTATATTATATTTTTGATATGATGTTTAAATGGGAAATTAAGTTGTGATTCTTTAAATGCTCAGGTAAAATTTTACGTTAACTTGCTTCTTCGTCTGCAGGAAAAAACTCCAGAACTCACCAATGTCATTGAACAGGCGGACGACAAAACCGTCTACAAGTATGTTCAAATAGTCCACAGAATTGTCTTGTATTTTCAAGTTTGCACGTTCCTCTTATTTTCACCACACTTTCGTGGAATCATTCTGTCCTTTTCATATTAGACTTTTTGTGTATTTGTTCTAATCTAAGAATGTATAACTTGATATTAACTCCTACTTCTGGATTATTTTAAAATGTCTTTCAACAGCCTAATACTTCATAGAAAAGCAACAGGGCATCCAAGCGACAGTGCCATAACAATCTGTTTTGGTGTCTTTTAATTTAGACCACCTGATCTGAAAAAGCACCATGAAATACCCCTAAATATGCAAAACCGGTTTGGTCTGTTACAATTTTTCTGAGATATCACTTGCCCTATCAAATCACTGTCATTTTGTTTTCCTCGCAGTCAATTTGCAACAGAATTAAGTTATCTTCAAAGGATTAATTTCATGGTGTTCTTCAGATTTTGAGGTCCAAACTTAAAAATTTTGTAAAATTCTGTAAAAAGGGTAGCTACCCTTTTTACTTACCCTTAGCTATCCCTTATGCTTACCCTTAGCTACCCTTTATATATACTCTTAGCTACCCTTTTTACTTACCCGTAGCTACCCTTTAAACATACTCTTAGCTACCCTTTTTACTTACCCGTAGCTACCCTTTAAACATACTCTTAGCTACCCTTTTTACTTACCCGTAGCTACCCTTTAAACATACTCTTAGCTACCCTTTTTACTTACCCGTAGCTACCCTTTAAACATACTCTTAGCTACCCTTTTTACTTACCCGTAGCTACCCTTTAAACATACTCTTAGCTACCCTTTTTACTTACCCGTAGCTACCCTTTAAACATACTCTTAGCTACCCTTTTTACTTACCCGTAGCTACCCTTTAAACATACTCTTAGCTACCCTTTTTACTTACCCGTAGCTACCCTTTAAACATACTCTTAGCTACCCTTTTTACTTACCCGTAGCTACCCTTTTTACTTACCCTTAGCTACCTTTTATACTTACCCTTAGCTACCCCTTATACTTACCCTTATCTACCCTCTATACTTACCCTTATCTACCCTATATACTTACCCTTATCTACCCTCTATATTTACCCTTATCTACCCTCTATACTTACCCTTATCTACCCTCTATACTTACCCTTATCTATCCTATATACTTACTCTTATCTACCCTCTATATTTACCCTTATCTACCCTCTATACTTACCCTTATCTACCCTATATATTTACCCTTATCTACCCTCTATACTTACCCGTAGCTACCCTTTAAGCATACACTTAGCTACCCTTTAAACTTACCTTTTGCTACCCTTTAAACTTACCCCTAGTTACCCTTAATAAATCTGCTTAAATGCATGCATACAAGTAACGGCGTTATTTTGCATCTGCAGATCGGTTCTGTTCAAAAACGAGGAGTACTTGCCAGGAAACTTTGTTTTTTGCATGCCCGAAGCGTTTACCTTCAAGTGAGTTTCAAAAGTACAACAAATTTAATAAAATGAGTTCTGTTAACAAAATTTTCAAAGATTCGATGCACACCAAAACTCCAGCAGTTTACAAGCACCTCAACTGTTCCAAAAATATTGTATATTATAATTACGAGAAAAAGTTTGGTAATGGCACCTTTTTTTTATTATATATATGCCATGAATGAGTACATCCACTACAAATAGAGATCGTTAAATTTGAAGTGTAAGCCTATTATATAGATCTAAGCAATTACCTTGAAAGAGATTAGATTCATTTTCAAACAGTTTTTAGCGGTGCAGAAGTTTGAAATATCTTTGAATAAAAAGTTTTGTATTTCCATACAATTTTTGGATTCATTTAGTCTTATACACAAGAACCAATCAAAAGTTTACTTTCAGCGACTATCCGACGTTTATATTCTGAAGAGTGTCAAACGAAAAGTACTGCAGTATGCTTTGTTTCTGTTATTTCTTCCATCGTTAAATTTTGTGGTATCAAATACGTAGCTGATGAAAATCATTTTATATTGTTTTTGTTTGACAAATTTTATCTGCTGCATTGCAGAGTACAACAAAAGCCAAAGGAAAGAGGCAAGAGAAAAGAAAATGTAAGATAAAAAGTCTTTATCCGTCCATCTTTTGCTTAACGTTCCGTCCCTAACCAGTCTTTTGTCGCGCACAATTTAGACTTGCCAAAATAATCTTCTTCCATAAAGATTTAGAGTCTTGCTATTTATCCATCCATCGGAACATTCCGTTTCTCGGATGGCTTTGGCAGCATTTTCCTCTAATTTCTTTTTAAAGATAACCTCAACTGTATTTGCCGTTCTTTTTCTTTCAGTAAGTCGTTATCTACGCTCTTTTCTTTCAAAATATGTCCCATAGAATGTCTGTTTTTCTATGCATAAACATAGTGCTAAGCCACAATAAGATCGTTTTTTGCAATCAATCAATTTGAAATTACAGGCAATGTAGTCAACCTTGCATTTTTATAGTATGATGAAGAGATGTATCCTGAATATTACCGTAAAGGCAGCGACCATATCAAGGGAAGCAATTTAGATGTTCCGTCGCCTTTTAGGATAGGTAGGTTTCTCACTTTTTTCAGAAATTTGCATGTGGCATTTTGGAGTAATTCATTCTTGAATCGTTGCATGAAATATTTTTCTTGCAATTTACCGGAATGCACCTTTGCTCCTTTTAATCGTGACAAAGGAATTGATTAAGGTTCTTTGGATCCGCGTAATCTTGCTGTTGATCCATGCGACTTATCAGTATTTATTTGTTTAAGATGCTTAAGCTTTTGCTGACCAGGGCACTTTGAGCCACATCACTTCAGAATAGCAACTGGTTTACTTGAAGTCCCTGTCGCTTTTCTTGGAAATAGCTGACTAAATGCAGAAAGGAAAAATTGCCAGGTTTTTTCCACAGTAACCAAAAATAATGATTGACACATTCCTATCAAGATGGAATATCTTATGTATTTCAAGGGGGATGCCACCTTTATTGTCCCCAGTACCTCATGGGAATGTCCGCTGTATTTCATGGCTTATGCTCCTGTATTTCAAAGAGAATGTCCCCTCTATTTCAAGCATCTTGCGTTGTGCTTTGGTAAAAATTCTCCAATTTTTTTATTGAAATATCATTAACCTTTTGGTGTACTAACATTCGATGATTATTCGAGTCTGTTTTTGAGCTTATTCGCTTATTCTTATTAGCCTAGTTTGTATTTGGCTTCTCCTATTATTTCAAGTTATACTTTCAGGTCAGGTCCTGTCAGTTTATAAGCGAAAAGGCGTCTTTGGTGATAGCTTGGAAGAAATTTTTCTGCGTCTTCGTAAATTTTACAGGTACATTCAATGCTTTTATATACATCTATTGACTGCAGTTTTTACCTAAAACTTGATTAAATTGCTCCACAAGGCGCCATTCTCACTTGTTTTCCAAATGTTATGTTTTCAAAAAGCCAGACTTGAATCTATTTTTGTAAATCAGAGAAATAATTTTATTTTCAGGCCTGAAGATACCCACAAGGGTCTCACTGGAACGGGCCACAGTGACCTGAACTTGCTTTACTGGACCAGCGAAGGTAGGCTTATTTAAAAACCAATCTTTTTGAAGCAGCGAATCTCATCTCACCTGTATAAAACTTCGTTCGTCGTCATAATTATACATTTATTCTGCAGAAAACACCTTGAATGAACTCATTTCCGCATTTCCGCATTTCAGCATGTGCTCGATTTCAGCATTATTAACGCAACATTTTCTCATACCCTGCCACACTATCAGTACCTATTTCAGTTTCTATATAGCAACACTATTTTTGTAAGTTTTATTTTTTTATTTGTATTTAATTTTTGCAGTCAAACATTCTAGATTAATGTTAACTGCTTTAACAAAAAGAAATTGCTCCATTATGCGCCATCAATGATTTTCACAATTTTGCAACAGTTAAAAATCATAACGCAACTCCATTTATAAATCTCTTCCGCAGAGGTTGAGGTGAATTTTGCACTAGTGCGCGGGAAATGCTCGGTTATCTGCGGGGAAGATCTGCCAGTAGATCAAATAAAGAATGATGTCCCATGCCAGTTCTACTACCTTGAGGTACCTTTTTTATCTGTTAGTTTCTTTATTACCTCGTAACGTAGCTATTATTTTTTATAGTAAACAGTTTATCAAATACAAGAACTTGAAATTCTCCTCCGAAACAAAACTATTTTTAAGATTTGTTTCACTAAGGATGTTCCTTACCCACTTTTGAGGATTTGCAAAAGCTCAGTTTATCAGTAAGGAAAAATTGCTTAGAATCCGTGACCCAATTGCCGGGACTTTGTGTTGACACTTGTTTCGACATCAAAACATACCGAAAATCCTCGAATTAGCCCCCCCCCCCCTGGGAGCTTATTTATTTTAATAATATTTTTGGTTGAGGTTATTCAAGGCAGGGAACTTATACGAGGGGGGCTTACACGAGGGGGGCTTATAAAATTATAGTAGACCTTAAGAATACAATACATTTGAAGCTTTTTTATCCGCAGACATCTATCTGCTTCTCTGCGGAGGTGTTCCTGGCATTTTCAAGAGGGACCCCCAATTTTATTTTGATCCTTTTAATGTTCTGATGTCAAAAAAAAGTCAAAGCAAAGTCTCGGCAATTTGGTCACGGATCTGAAAAAATGTTTGGCTTTTTCCAAAAATCTTTTCAAAGAACAATGGCAAGCTTAAACTGAACATTTTTTATATCAAAGTGGTCACCGTACCACAAACATATTTTCTCTATTTGTTTCGCCGTCGTGTAGTATTAAAGAGCTACTGCTGTTCATTTTAGGCGTATAATGGTGATACTCGCCAGTTCGAAGATCTGCCAAGTATTGCTAGAGCAGCACTCAACAACGGAAAGGTTGGCACTTAATTTGTTAAGAATACATTCAAAGCATGATCCTTAGAAACCTCCTTGTGGGGCACGTAATATTGACAAGATCCTGTTTCTTTTTATTTATCAGACCTCGAGATAATTGTATTCCACTTTGAAGACCAGCGAGTTCATCATATTGTTGTACATTATGATGATCATGAATCTTCACAGAGCCAACAATCTTCTCAGGTCAATTCAACAAAGATCCTTGTAGCTACACAGTTGATATAACAGAGACTTTGAAACAAGACTTCAAAATATTGCTTCTTATTCAGATTTCGTTTTAGGTATCTGCTTTTGTTTTGTTAGATATGCAGAAATTGATACAACACCTTGTAACAAAATTAGGTTGCCCATCCTTCCTTTTCAATAAAATTCAAACTAAAGCAAATTCAAATTATCTTTTGGTGGTACAAAACTTGAAAATGGCTTTGAAAAAAGCCAACATTAGTAAGCTAAAGCTTTTCGTCTGACACACTTCAGAGTTTAAAACGTCAGAACATAGTAGATCAAATATTTATCTGACGTTTTAAGATTTTGATCTATGTTCTGACGTTTTAAACTCTGAAGAGTGTCAGACGAAAAGCTTTAGTTTACAAAATTTTTGCTTTTTTCAAAGCCATTTTTAAATTCAAATTGTCACTGCGAAAGGCCTATGCTTAGTTTCCGATGAGGAAATATTCATGTGTAGAAAAGAAGTTTATAAACCCATAATCCTAACAATTGATGTTGCTATTTTACGTTAATGGTCAATTATTCAATGAAATATCCTTCTGATTGCCAGAGTAAAGGTAAAGGAAAAGGTAAGGGGAAATCAAAGGCCAAACTCTCTCATCCGGTCGATCAGCCTTTAAATAAACCCGAAGAAGACGTCATGGAAGCCAGTAGAAACAAGTTTCAAAAGCTGAGGTCTTTGGACGTTTTTGCAGGATGTGGTGGTATGTTGAGTTTATTTCATCTCAAAGTTTATCGCAAAAATCTTTAGGAAATTGCCAGAGAAATGCCAGGATATAAAATGTTTCCACGACGATTAAAGACTTTTCCAATTCGGTTCACGATATTTTGAGTTTAATCTTTCGTATTAAGATTCTCCTAGACCTTCAAATCTCTCTATCTTTTAAAGGCAGCGTTAAATGTGCATTAAGTACAGCATCGATATGAGGTGCTATACAGTAATATGAAATCTTTCTTTGGCCATGTGCGTAGTGGTCCAATTTTGATTTATGGCATTGAGTCATGGTGAACAAACAGGTCAATCTTTTGCTTTCGGTGTGATCAATGTAGTTTCATGTTGGCAGCCATTGCTTATACCTGCCCGTTGCCGAATCCAGTTTTAAAGATCAGTACAAGGGAACTGCACATGATGAGTCTCAGGTCCGCCAATGTATTAGTATCGTGCTGCAACTTGAATATCAAGACTCGGCGTATCTGCTTACATCCTCTCCTTACATAATGATTCAATGCCTTTAATAAATTACTTCTTTACCAGTTTTTTCTGTATTATGTTTTTGCAGAACGCAATTCAATTGCTAAATGTCTACTTTACGTATTGATATAGCTTCCCTTCATTATCTGTATCATAAATTGACACAACTTTATTAAATCTTTCTGAAAAGTTAATATTTCGCTGTACATAATTAACGCGAATTTTGATTTTCTCGCCTCGTTTCAGGCCTGACACAGGGTTTCCATCAAAGTGGCATTGCCGAAACTCACTGGGCAATCGAAAAGGAAGAATCGGCAGCCCAGGCATTCAAGTTGAATTATCCAAATGCCTCAGTTTTCACCGACGATTGCAACCTTCTTCTTAAGATGGTTATGGAGGTAAGAAGTTTTTCCAATGTGCATCTGTCACTGCACCGTATCAAATGGATCTGAAAATATTGATATGAAAATATCGACAGCATTCTTTCATAATCGCTTCACCTAGTCTCTTTGCTTCTGCTTTCATTTTGTCGTTGTAATTTTGATGTATATCTTGACAAAGTTCGCTTGTTCTAATTAGGGGAAGGAACATGACAGTAAGGGACAGAAGCTCCCACGTAAGGGTGACGTGCAGCTGCTTTGCGGGGGTCCGCCATGCCAAGGCTTCAGTGGCATGAACCGATTCAATTCAAGAGATTACTCCCAATTCAAGGTGAGCTGAAAAACATTAACAAATGGCATCTTATTCAATAGCGGCAGATCGATGCTATTTGCGGGAAAGTACCTAGGAACAACATTTTGACCGAAAGCAGTTTTGAATGAAACTTTTTGTAAAAATCATTACAAAGAAAGTCATGATTAATTTTTCTCATTTTCTTTCCCTTTTAGCAGTTTTTAAACATTTAAGCATTGACCTGTTTTATAAAATCTCTGACCTCTCTGCATTTAACGAATCCGTAACGCGTCTTTTTCCTTTTAGAATTCTCTTGTGGCCTCGTATCTAAGCTACTGTGATTTCTATAGGCCACGATTTTTCGTTCTGGAAAATGTGAGAAATTTCGTGTCTTTCAAAAAGAACCTGGTTCTAAAGCTGACTTTGAGATGTTTACTGAAGATGGGGTACCAGGCAAGAATTCGTTTTGTGTCTTCTACAACACATTCGCCCTTTATCCTTCACTGTGCGCTTCAGAAACATAAAATTGATCTTTTCTCTGATAATTCAAGCATAAATATCTGATTAAACTTAAGCCTTACACCTTGGTCAACATCGCCAATATAGTATATTTTGCCTTTTTTGTCAAATACAATACATTTTCCATAGTTTTCTGAGAATATTCGTTCTGAAATATGTTTTTAATCATATTTATTTTGAAAAGGCCTTTCCGTGACTTTTTTCTCAAAAAGATAATTTTGTGACTTTTCTTCTGTTCTCACTGAAACCATTTATGTTCATCAGCCCTCAGTGAATCAATTATTGTTAACCCCACAGTGTTCATTCGGTATATTGCAAGCAGGGAGTTATGGTGTGCCACAAACAAGGCGAAGGTGTGTAGCTATCATCATCCTTAACCGTGTAGTCAATTTCTAGCTTTCCAACCACGGAGTCAAATGGTTTCTTAGATAGCCAATAGGAAAAAATGTTTCAGCAAATCTCCTTGAAAAATTAATTCTCTTTTAATTGAGCACAAAACCTGCAAATTTCGAAACAGACAAATTGTGGCAAGTGATTGAAATTTTAGCAGATAACATTACATTGGATAACTTATCTGTACTTCCAAAGAAATTATAAGTCCACTCCAATTGATTACGTTAAATTAAGTCACTGGGCTCATCTTGATGAATATTGAATTATATTTTGTGTTCTTTTTATTTTTTTTAGAGCCATTATTATCGCAGCAGCACCTGGGGAGGTGTTACCTTGCCACCCCGAAGTAAAGCATGTCTTCTCATCCCATGCTTGCCAGTTGTCTGTCTGTATTGACAATAAACGGGTAAGTTTCAAGCCTAATGTCACCAGAACATATGTCATATTTTGAGATGTTTAAAAGTTGCCTAAGTTCATTTATCATTCATTCTCCATGGTGATTGCTCAATCTCTGGTTCTTGGATCTGAAAAAATGTTCTTCTCGTCCATTTCACTGAAGCTCTTATCATCCACTGCATCAACCGCAGGCAAATATCATCCAAATGACAAAAAACTTCATTGTACTTTGAAACCATAGGCAAGAGCATATGGCACAAATTGTGATGAATTTTTTAAAGGCTGGAATATAATTCGAGCTGGTAAATTTTTAATATAATAAAATGGACTGTATTTCAGAAGCATAGATGCTATGTTTGAGCAGTGTATGTGGCATTTTAGACGCTGCATCGTAGGAAAGCTGCATTTAAAGAAACATGATGCTTGACTCAATGGCATTCCATTTTTATGCCTGTTACATTACCAATACCTGAATCTATATGTTAATTGCCGGTTAGGCAGTGAGCCTCCTGATCCCATTAGTCAACATCTTTTACAAGACCTGCTAATTCATAGGTGAAGTATAAGCCCCATTAGGTCAGAACGGTGCCTCGTTTGCACTACCATGTCGCCTTAATGTCATGGTCCTCACGTTCTCGCTACTTTCCTTTGCAGTATCAAGCCGTGCCGTTCACCGAGTCTGCGCCATACCGAACAATAACTGTGCGTGATGCGTTGAGCGATTTGCCTGAAATTAGAAATGGGGCCAACAGACCAGAAATGGCGTATACAGAGCCTCAGAGCCACTTCCAGCGCAAGGTAACGACATTCTAAGTAACCTCACTCTGACGTAACCACGTATTCATTGAACCATACATAGCCATAACCATACTAGACGTTATTGCCCATGATGTCGTGATGTTTTTGTTTAATGTGACGTCTTCAAAATTTAATCTTATCTGATGTCGTTTTAGAAGTCTGCACATATATGAATTTAATATATTCTGGCAGTTTAAACCTTTCTGATTGCAGTTTACCGAATGGTTTAATTTACTTTGATGGCTCAATCAAATGACATTTCGCTCCTTTGTTGACACTTCCCATAGTACTTTAATTGAAGTTACATTTTCATTTCGCTTCAAATCCAATAACAACATATTCGTGAGCTGTCGCGATGAAGTCATTTGTTACGAGGTAAACTCCCCCCCCCCCCTTCCATGTATTCTTTGGACCCTTAGAATTTCTTTTTAGACATCCAAAAAATGAATCCCTGAATTTGCTGTTGTAGTATAATAAAGATCGGCGAAAAACACAATCTCTTTTGCCTTTTGTGATTTTCACAAATCTAGTAATCTTTCATTGTCAAGTTGGTTATTGTCTTAATTCTACAATCGCGGCATACCATTTCCAGTTTCCTTTTAGCAAACCATCTCTAACTGTTTTGCCAATAACAGCTTCACAATAACAGGTTGTTTTGTTGCTATGTTATAAAATGTTTATTTCATTGCCAGATGCGTGCACATGAAGACCAAATGCTTCGCGATCATATCTGCAAAGAGATGTCTGCACTAACTGCTGCGAGAATGCGCCACATTCCAACGGAGCCTGGGTCCGACTGGAGGGATTTACCTAATGTTGTTGAGCGTCTACCTGATGGCGCGCATTCAACTGTTCTGTAAGTGAGACTTTTGTAAAGATTTGATCCACATTGATGCCTTTGGCACAACCTGAATACCACTGACTCTTTGTTAATAGTCTAATTTGAAGTAGAAGTTCCGAAGGCGCTAGGTGTCTAAGTTAGGTCATGCTGCGGACTGCCGAATGCGGCAAGTTTTAGCCTTCGCCATTTTGAATTTTATAATCACTTGTTTCAAGGATAGGTTTTCTCACGGTATAAAACTCCTGTCGGTGCGTTCTTTTTTTCCAAGAACATTCTCCCTTATAATACTTCCTTCCTTGCCGCAAGTAAAAATGCCTGTTTGTACCGGTTATTTGTTCCCAGGCGCTATACTCACCATGACAAGAAAAATGGCCGCACCAGCCAAGGAAAGCTCCGTGGAGTTTGCTCCTGTGCCGAAGGGAAGGAATGTGACCCTGGGGACCGTCAGTTCAACACGCTGATTCCGTGGTGTTTGCCCCATACCGGAAATCGTCACAACAACTGGGCCGGTCTGTACGGAAGACTTGAGTGGGGCGGCTTCTTTAGCACAACCATCACAAATCCAGAGCCAATGGGAAAACAGGTATACTCACTTAAGTTTTCTCTCTTTCTGCCTCTTTCTCTTTTCAACTTGATTTGTTAGGGTATTCTAGGGCACAAAGGACATAAGGCAAAGAGAATAACAATATTGAATTGATAGTCGCCAAAGTAAAGCTTTAAGGCATTGGCGGACACTTGGTCAAATATTGGGAGGGGGGAAGCTAATGGTTTTGGTATGATGACGTCACATTTCCACATGATTTAGAACTAAAGACCATTTTCTTCCAAAATATTAACAGGGCAATCCCCCCATCGGCCCCCTTGTTCTCACCACTGCTTTTAAAGACAGTGAGCTTTTAAAGACACTCAGATATATGGCTGATTTTATGTTTGCAGTCTTCAGGTTTGAGAAGATGAATCTGGAGTGGATGTCTTATCAAGGGCATTTTAATGACATGTAAATTGAAGTAAGCAAGTCAATGCCAGTGATAAATAGGGTATGGCAAGTTAGTGAATGTCGGTCTTTGTAAACAGTGTATTTGGCAAGTTTGGTGGTAAAAATGAGCCCGGTTAGTTTCCAGTTGTCGCTTCCTTTAACAGTTTTTTCCAAATTTATAGGGACGCGTTCTCCACCCTGAACAACATCGAGTCGTTAGTGTCCGCGAGTGCGCTCGTTCACAAGGATTTCCTGACTCATTCCGTTTCTTTGGATCGATACTTGACAAACACAGACAGGTAATGTCACCTTTTCACTGATGTCTTTACCACACCCTTCGTTCTTTTATCTTTGCAAATAAAACGAGCCCGTTAAGGTTAATCTTGTTTGGTAAGAATTTAATTTAGACTTGCTTGCATAAGAGATAATATGAAACTATTTAACTTAGTCACAGCTTCTGAGTCACGACTTCGAAACTTTTTAACGGGCACATCAAGGTCTATGGGGTCACTTTCTAGAATTTTCATTTGACATGTAACGGATAAAGGATAAATTGCAACTTTAATCAAAATAAATGTGACTATGTAATGTTCTTGTTGTGAATAAATGATCTGTTGTGCGGCTAAGTGGAAGCAGAGATACCTGCAAAAATTTCTCGGAACATCAAGCAATTTGCGTTGTGCTTTTCTGTTTTCCATTTCCTTTTCAGAAAACTTCTACTTTCAACCCCCACCCCTTCGCCCGGCCCCTTCCCCCCAAAACAATGTTGATAGTCCAGAAAATAACACCCAAGCCACACAAAAACTTTATTCCATAATCTCTTTCTCTTTTTAGTAAACCAACATTGTTTCTAGGGGGAGAGAGGGATGGCTGAATTTTCCCTTGAAAACTTGAAAAAAACGGAATTGAACATACGAATTAAGTCGCTCCAGACGATTTGTATCTCTCGCAGTTCTGACGGCTGCTTAGCCTTCTTGCCATCAACCAACCAGAACGTGACATTTGTTCGTAGTTTAGCAGACACAATAAAATAATATTCATTATCGTCTAAATAGCGGTTCGGATTTATTAGGATCATCTGCTCTAAGAAATTGAATTTTAAACGTATTCATTTCCTGACATTTTGCCTGCCATGTCTCTCTATTAACAAATGAAGCAATTTTCATTAAGCAAAATCTATCTGGACATCTTCGCACAAAGCTTGTTTGATACATTGTTACAAAGCATTTGGTTGGAACTGGTAAATGCACTAAATGCAGACATATGTTAAATACTGAGAGAAAATGTGATGACACGACCAAAGCCGGTCTTGAACCCGTAACCAGCGACACTGTACCTATGCGTATCCTGTCACGTTGTTAAGTCCAAGCCTAGTGCCCTGCGCATTGTGAGCCATCGCAGAGTCCTGCCTACGTCCCGTCATTCTCTCGCATATTTTTTTAAATCATACTTTCTCAGATCCATTTCTGCAAGCAAAGTTGCGCTCCTAGCGTTGAGCTTAGATTCAATGTTAGTTTCTTTTATGTCAGCGTTCAAGCTCAGTGAATTAAAATAACGAAGTCAATAATTCAGGTTGGTAATGCTGTTCCACCCCCAATGGCTTTCTGGATTGCCGAGGAAATTAAAAAGTGCATAGCGGCAAAGGATAAGATGACTGAAGAACAACCGGCTGAACAATAATCGGCTGGGCAACAACCGGCTGAACAAAAACCGGATGAACAAAAACCGGATAAATAACAACCGGATGAACAACAACCAGCTGAACAAAAACCGGATGTACAAAAACCGAATGAACAAGAATGGGGTGAACAAAAACCGGATGAACAAAAGACTGCAAATTAATGCATCTAGGCAGCAAACACAGTCAATGGCTCGATCTTTTGTTAGCTCCAACGCTTTAGAACCTTGTATATTACCCGTTTCCGCTTTGAATTTAGTGATTTTTCTAAATTTCAATGCAATAATTTTAGTCGAACTTTTTATTCAAGTTTCATAAACTGTTCGTAGTTTTGCTTTTTAAACCGTTTTTACAAAAAATGTAATTTTCATTCAGTTTAAGAGGATTTTTCATCTTCTCACAGATATTTTACAACAAGAGAACATCTTATAAACCTCTTGAAACGACTTCTTGTATCTAATGCCCCTGAATGAGATAACTATTGTATTTTATTTCATTTATAAAGATTCTGTTAGAGTCGGTATGAAGGATCTTTGTGATTAGAAAAATGTCAATAAAAAAATCTCCAATTATAATCAAAAGTTGTGAAAAATGATTGTTTCGATAAATTGTAATCATGTCTTTTATGAACGCAAATGTTTTCTACTCTCTGCCAAGTCCATTCTTTTTTCCTAAATTGTAACGGGGGACCAGAATATTGGGAAATCGTTGATTTTTTGCGAAAAAGATGGTGATACCTACCTACCTACCTACCTACCTACCTACCTACCTACCTACCTACCTACCTACCTACCTACATACCTACCTACCTACCTACCTACCTACCTACCTACCTACCTACCTACCTACCTACCTACCAGCGATACCTACTAAAAGCGTTACACGACACAGACAAGACCTTGCTCTGCTCTTCACAGTTTTTTTTATGTTGACCTCTTCTATGGTACAGAAAGACTGTCAAACTTAAAGCGAAATTGGTATAAATTTTTTACATTAAATGTTGTTTAGAACCCTGTTTTAAACAGAGTTAATCACCCCCTTTGTTGCTATCATTTGACCTCGCTTTCACTTTCTGTCACGTGAAGGCTAGCCTAGGACATACGGGACATTTGTAGGTTTATAAGGGATGCACGTATCTTTCGTAGCTGTTACTCGCTGCTTCATTGGTTTTAACATTCAAAGAAGCCCCGAAGGAAATTTAAACTAATTTAGTTTCATTAATTTTTTGGAAAGACCGTGGGCGATCTGTCCAAGTATGTTTCACTAGCTGATAAATGGAACCTTGTTAAAAGTCCAAGCAATCTGGCTATTTGTTTGCCGTCTATCGAGTACTTTGTTCAAAAACTTCCCCTAGTCACAGAAATAAAATAACTTATTCTATCCTCTAATAAACTTTAACAGAATTGCCCTTACTTTATCTAGCTGCTCATAACCAACCTTAATCTTTTTTGGTGAATTTAGCGCTATCTGTTTAATTTGTTACCACGTCGTTAGTGCCACACGTCGAATACCGAATGTGATACAAAAAATAATTAAAGCATTCTACGGAACTCCCATGCTTTCCTGTGATCAATCGATTAACTTACAAATTTTACTCTGCACGGCCTCTTGTCACCCAGTTCTGATGTCCTGACGTGACATAATTTCCTGCCATTAAGCCTTTGTCAAGAAAATCAAAACCCATCGTCTCCGTTAAGATTTCCACGTCTTAATGTCATTGCAGTTAACAGTCTGATTGAGGCCATCCAACCTAAGCCTTAGGGGAAATTAAGATTTTTAATTAATCTCAAGGCCCAGAAAGAATATTCATAACAGAAACGAATCAGCTCTAAATTCTATACAGCGAATAGCACTAATTGCAAAATGTGGCTGATGCGTGGTTCTCTTGGTCCCAGACCTCTTGTAATAAAGAATCTTTCAATAGGAGAAGACGTGAACTTTTGGAGACAGCATCAGTTATTTTGAAATTCTGAACAAGCCAGCCTCCTCAACCATGCAGCGAATAAACTTACCCTTTGTTTTTGGCAAAAAACCCCTTTATCCCCACCCATATACACTTTTTGCTCTTTGACCCTTTGAATGAGCCTCGAATTGTGTTAAGAGATTAAACTAAAATTTGAACTGAAAACGGCAACTTAAATTCTGACATTTTGGAAGATTTGCCGAATTTGATCACCATAAACCAATTTACGTCGAGCCTCGATACCACGACTTTCAACCAAGAAATGTTATCTTGCTATATTCTCAGATGCATTTTTAGAGCAACATGACTTTCAAGCTAAAATATCAAGAGATCTTTTGTGCATGCATGCCTCTTATATTCCAAAATTCACATCAAAGAGCAGAATGGGGGATTTTTCATCTCAGTAGGGATTTGTCACGACTTGATAAATCAATGGTTTAATTAATCCGCTTGGCCAGTCCCTTAGAGCCTAAGCCTAGGGGCCTTGAGTAGAAATCAAACCAAAGATTATGTCGTCAAACTGTCTGTATTTCTCCTACAGTTTGTTTCTTTGCCAGAAATCCCTTTTGTTCCAATACTTTGGCCCTTTCAATTTTGATACAAAGTATGTTTAACCGAATTCTGCGTGCCTTGGCTGTCTGCATGTTCCTCGAACGACTTCTTTAAATGTCCATCTGTTTTTCCATTCACCTATTCAAAACTTTAACTTCCTATTTACTTATATACTATCAAAAATTTGTTAACTAGCATTTTGCTACCAATAATCAAAATATACTTTACTTTTATTAATATTTTTTGCAAAAGAATGAAGTGCGCTTTCGAATCCCGATACATTTTCTTCTTATCGCATATTAATGCATACAATTTGTATGTTTTTTTATCTACTCAAGACTATGCAAGTTCGGGTATAGATTTTGAGTTTTGCCTGCTGTTTTCTTTGAATATATTTTATGGATCTCGTACATTTAGTAGTGAAAACTTAACTCAGTAAAGATAGTCAGAAAAAATTAAACGTTTATTGGTACAAGTTTCTTTTAATGAGGTATCATTGATTCTAAAAATTACTTTGTACAGGGCCCACGCAACAGGAGGGTGGAGTGGCCAAGGCCTCCCCACTTTTTGCAAAGCGAATGAAGCTGCCATAAAAGGTAAAAGAAGCCTTGCTCCCCATTTTCGTTAGCCTAAGCCCCCCTACTTTAAACTTCTTGGCGTAGGCCCTGTTGTAAAAAAAATTTTGTAGCCTTCTCGACAGGACCCTTCCCCGACAGCCCTGACAGGAGTGTGAGAACAGATTTGAGTATCAGATAATCATGTGTATAAATAGGTGTCTTGTGGTTTGGAGTCGTTTAATTCTATGATCATGTCTCAATTTCCTTTGATAAAGGAATAGTTCTTATGTTGTTAAAAATGGAGAACTAAGCCAAACAGAACCCACGCATTTTCGATGTGTTTGAATTTCAACCCGATACAATCTGATTTTTTCATCTCTACTTTGTTTAACTTTTAACTATATTTGGCACCGCAACTAAAACGCAAAGGAGCGTGTGGTTCAATTTTAACAAACGTCAAGGTTTCTTGTGGGTGGCTGTCTAGTTGTATGAGGTAAGCTCTTTTCATTATACTGATGTACCGGGAGCTGTTACCCTGGATCCCGCCCCTCCCAACATGTCTACCAAAATAGCTTTACGGTCGATTGTTGACCGAAAATTTCTCGGAGCGTATCCTTAAAAAACTCCATAGTAAGGGGTATATACAACGCACTGCAATAACTGACATGCTTTGAATTGAAATAACTTTTATTACTACTTATTTAAACCCAACTTCAAACTGGAAACAAATCAAGTTGTCGAGGAAGATTGATCTGCTCAATAATGTCCCAGTGCAAAAATAAATTGAATGGATCATTTCCATCATTCTGGCCGACAGAATTCCATACTTAAACTTGATATTGCTCAGATGTTTCGCAGAGCCATAACAAAATTGGTGAAATTTGCGAAGTTTGATGGTAACGGTATTTTGAAGTCAGCTGGTATTAAAAGGCAAAAAAAGCTGGTAACGATGCAAAACGCAGAATATTCCTAATAAATTCATTTTTTGCGAATATGCCCACTACAGTGTCATCTTTTCGCCTAACACAATTGAGAGTTTTTGAGGTGCATTGAAGCTACACAGGTAACATACTCCCTAGCTTGATGCTTTCTTATATCGCAACAGAACATAATTAATGGCTTTTGGCAGATCATTGATTGATGTAGACAACAAATAAAAGAGGACCAGGGCATGAACCTTGAGGGACACCAGTGGCAACCGCTTTTATCTGGGAGTAAGCCCTATTAAGCCTACAAAATCGATTCCTGTCCGAAAGATAAGTTTGAAACCAAAGAAGCTTTGAACCCCATATTTTGACGTATATACGGCATAAAAAGTCGAGAAAACAAATTTGGATTTTATCAATGACAAAACTTTTAGTAGTCTAAAGCTAATTCATAGCCTTTGTCATATCATGTGCTGAAAGTCCATCAGAAGCAACGGTTGCTCCTTCCACGTTAACTGGGAAGTTGCATCGTAGCAGTTATCTAGTGTCTAGGATTTCTATATCAAGGACATCAGCGATAGCATCGTTATTGAGAATTTTGCTACCATAAATAATAGCTTTGGATGTTTATCGCATTTGATCTTTGTAGCTTTAGTACCACAGAATCTTCCGTAAAGTACTCTAAGCTATCTGTTAAGGGAAGTGAGAAGTTTGCTGACAGTTCTATTGGCAATCAAAGATTGTTTTCTTAAAGCTGCTTTCATTGGATGGTTTCTTCTGCAAATGAATTTATTAGTTCGGTGAAGATCCAACGACAAAACTCCTCAGATACTCGAGTTTATTGGCCTGGGGAATGCCTGTCGATCAGTGTGGAAGACCAAGACATTTGAGAAAAAAAGTCATTTGAGAAAATGTTCGTTGGTGTCAGTGGAAATTGTAAGACCTGCTCCCAGGAGTGAAGCTATATTGTTTTATTGTTTTATTGTTTTATCTTTAAAATGGGCTGCAGTGTCCCCAAAACCTCAATTCAGGCACTGGCTGTAGTGCCGCCGTACCCCCAATTCAGGCTCATCCGTTTTTTCTAGGGAATCGTTTGCTACATCTTTGAGTAAACTTTTATCTTCATTCTAGGCATAATGGGTTTATGGGAACGTATCATGATGAGATCACATCAACATGCGATAGCTGAATACGACCTTTCCAGTTGGTGTTAGTTCTCCTTTGTGAATGATTGTGAATCATTACTAATCGAAAATAGCCCTAACAAACAATTGCAACATTTCGCTACAGATAAGCGATTTTGTACGCAAGCAAATCATGAGCTGCTAGTTTCTTTAGAGGACGGCAATGAGAAGTGCAGGTGACCGGCATTTCGGCCTTAAGCCCCGGCGGCCCCAGTGCGGTCATTTCACTGTAAAAATATCATGGACGTCATGGAATGTGAATCAAATATTCTTTGAACTAATAGAGGTAATAGTAGGTACAAGTTTTCTTATGATAACAATGGTTTGTTGTTAGAGCATTCAGAATTTTGCCTGGTCAACAGTTGCAGAGACTCTCAGAGCCGCCGATTTTGAAATTTTAAAGAAGAAGGATTCAGCATTTTCAGTTTTTGCTCAAATTGGCATTAAATTCAGAGGAGATATGTTTTGTAATGTTTCTTAATTGGCGTTTATCATAAAATAGCTTTTTTGGTTCCTTGAAAAGCATTAACCATAATACAATTATAGTTGCTACGGACAGAGGGCAAGGCTGAGGGCTGGGGACCGATTCTTCCTGACCAATATACGTTTTGCGTTAAGCCGTCTTTACATAAAAGGAAGGATCATATACCAAATAATGAACTTGTGTTTCTTTTTACAACAACATCGTGAGTATCCACAGTGCTATTGTGCTTTACTTTACTCAACAAAACTGAAATTGTGGACAGAAATACTTCACGTAGAGCAAAGATTGCGGAGAATTTGTTTATTAAAACTTGCGTTGTGAATGCTGTGTGACTGGGCAAATGTCTCTGCTTCATAAAAGAAGTAAAAGAGGAAATAAGAGGCGTTAACGGGCAAACAAGTGAATATGAGACGCGGGCATGGAAGGGAATCAGCTGCTACGGAACTTTTGTTAGATCCATCGCATTCCCTGATGCAGAACTCAATGAAGTTCGGCAGTGAGCGAAACTTGAGTGAGAGTGCCTTTTCAGAGCTGGTTTTCGAAACTGTTGGCAAAAAAAGCAAAAAGAAAAACAGGGATAGATACAAAACTCTGCCGGGGATATATGTTACGCCGGAACATAGCACATCAAATGGCACCAGCAATAACTCGGATCATAAGAAAATCGATTCCACAGAAAAGAAGCAAGTACCATCGATAAGTGTTGAAGAAGCCCCTAGCAAAGGTTTATTGACTGCCGACAATGGGGGCTCCTCAAAAATAGCGCGTTCGCCGAGTTTTCGAAGGAAAAAAGCTGCAAGTGAACAGGCTCCACCTGAATTCAATATTGTTTTACTCGGCTCATTGGGTGTCGGCAAAACAGGTATGACTTTCGATCTACTCAGAACCCTTGAATGCTTCATACAGCGGTTGCTTTCATACCGGAAATTTTTGAAAATCTTTCATTGTGTGCACATTGCAATATAGGTATGTGCATTTCACATTTTAGGTATTTAACTTGCAGAAAACACACCAAGACTTATTTATTGGCATCGGTCTCAAAACTTTAGCCAAATTCTTAGACTTTTATTTCAAACAAAGTTTTATTTTTTCATTTAACTGAATAGATGGCTATTTCATGAAATTTGACGTGGCCATTCACAGAGAAATCGATCCATTGGCATTTTAAATGATTTTCCTAAAATGTACCCTCGTTGGTTTAAAAGCGGGGATACAAAATCTCGTCAAATGTTACTTCGATTTATGGTTTTCTAAATAATATTCCTGAGAGCCCCTAGTTATCACGGCACTATTTCTATAACAAAATTCGCACATATGTAGCCATCAAAACTTTTGCACAACAACTTTGGCTGTTTGTGTTTCTCCGTTCCTGCCTACTCACTTCATTCCCTCTTAGTTACGAGAACAGTTCGCTAGGCACAATCAACAATTCACTGTTGAATAACTCGCAAAATAAAAAATATTCTTGAAAATAGCAACGCTGTTGTTTATTGTGGCAGAAACCTCTCCCCGCTGTATTGTACTGTGCGGCAATATTTTTTAAACATCAGTTTAATTAAATTATTACAGGGAAGCTTAATAATGTAAAAAGAATCACTGTGATTGCTTTGGTTAATCGCCAATGGAGATTAGGATAATGGTAATTTGTTTGCGACTCTGGCCTCGCTTCTTACTAACTGCGAGCCTGGAGTGTTATGCTCTATTGTCTTATGCAGAACTGTCGAAGCAAAATACAGTCAAAATTAAATAGAATTTTCCCATTGCAGTTCTCCTTTTCACAACACACACATTGCAGTAAATGTGTGCGGTTACATCGAATAACCGCGATTTGTTAAGAGGATTTTAGGATTACCAAACGGATTGACATAAGTAGGCAATTATAATCAGGTATGTCAAATCCTTCAAAGATTGATGTCGAATTTTTCCCTCTGATTTCCACTACCGAAACCAGAAGACGATGCTAGGTTCGAAATCGTGAATGTTGGCTATTATTTAACTCCGTTTCCCTTCAGTGTGCTACTTACTGTACCCATCCATTGCACGAAGGTTGACATCTTGTTTCCTGGGAGATGTTCCAAGACGCATTCCTTACGATCCGCAAGTATAAAAGGAACTGAAGCTCTTGAATACGTAATGAGTGTAACAACATGTTGCATTTAAACTTGTTTTTCGAGAAAATGATTCAACCTAAAAGCAGTTGCATAGAACAGGGATAACAGCCGTGCTATGAACAAGATCTACTTGGGTTTAGACCAAATGTTGCATAAAGCGAACTTTCGAGGAAAGCGACGTTATCTAATTGCCCCCAAAACCCCTACCCCCCTACTCCCGCTCCCGTCACCATTCTCGCATTTTACAGCAGTGAAATGTTTTTGATTAAGTAGAGCGAATGTTCGATCTTGACCTCGATATAAGGATGAGGTATGAGAATCTGTCTTCAAAATTAGTAAGCCATTTTGATGTAATGTATCTGAAAAATAAACAAGAAACATACATAGAAAAACATAATGTCAACCTTAATACGGCAGAATTGATGTTTTGGCTTAGGCCAAATTGCAATGCTATCGATACATTTGAAAGCTTCCTATGGAGTTTCTCTGAAGTTCTAGAAATCAACTCTCCGAAATGTTTGCTTCAATAGGGCGACATTTGAGACATTCATAAAATGTCACAACAAAACATTCACCCACCAATGTTGATAAAAAACCCACCCCTATCTGCATGCCGACATTTCGGTGTTAATCCTCACTTGATTTAGATTGTCTGAGTGCAGATAATCCGCAAAACATCGTGCGGTGGGGACTTTACAAATCCTTAATTACTGCAGATCCATACGGCATACAAACTAAAAAAGACAAATAAGAAAATTAAAGGCATAAATTACCGACTGCAACAGCTATGAAAGTAATGAAAAGGTGATGCATATTAAACACTTTTTATAGAGACCCACAAACTGTGTGTGGTAAAGTTATAAAAAGAAACTTCCTAGAAATTTCTAATGAGATTCGGATATTATATAACGCAAGGAACTAGAGAAAACATGCCACAACTACCCTCAAGCAAATCAGTGGAAAGCGGGGACTTTGAGCCGTTGTTTAAAATATTGTCCAAAGAATTGGGCAGCAATCTTGCCATACTTGAATAACTCTAGTTTCATTGTACGTTTCTTTGCATCTTGGGGCCACTGATGATATGATGTAATGTATACGTAATTTTGTTTGAATCGCTGTCAACTGATTTCACCCCAGTCCTTGAAGCAACTAGATGCTTGAAAATTCTCCAGCAGAAATCTCATTTTGTGGCAGAAAATGCAGTCCATGAAAGGGTGAAACAAATATATCACGTCTTTTCTGCTTCCTACGGGTTCATATATGTCATGTATTGCGGTACTAAGCCCCCAAAGATATGATTCAGCCCCCCCATAATTACCCTGTGCCCATCAAAGAATTTTCAGTAAAAGTAGCATTTCTTCGCAAAACGTTCAAGGGCATGGGGGCACTAGTGCTTGATAACTACGATGCCAAATACTGCAGACATAGACAGGCAGTTTTATCTTTTGCTGTTTTATAATCAATTTTGTTTACAGATACAAATTTTATTCAGTAATTCATAACTTTGATACTATTTATACCCTTCAATGCATGGTAGTTGTCATCCTCATAGAGAAGACTTCCTGTCTTCACAGTTTGATGCCCCGATTTCCTCATCTTGCCCCTGATAATCGCCACTTACCAGAAGTGCCCCCTTGCTTAGGGTGAATTTTTGTCTACTTGCACAGCGTGGTCTTGGCCCTTAAAAAATCTGCCATTGAGCCTCAGGCTTTCCTTTGAACGAATCTCAGCAATGTGATGGCTGCAATGATTAAATTAATAACATCGAACATTAACTTTCATGAAGCTAATAGAATCTGTTCTAAAGCAAAAGATTTGGCGATAGAAATAAGCAAAGGTTATGTAAACATGCAAAGCATACGAGCAATAATCCAATCGACAAACTCTTTCTTACATAGAAATCAAATGGATTTGCACGTCATTGCCTAAAGCTGCTGCAAGTCAAGGTTTACCAACATAGAATAGAAATGATTACAAACAGTCTTTTGTTTTGGTCAATACCGTTTTTTTATTGTTGTAAAACTGTTTTGTCACCTCCTTCAATTATAAGCGGTTCAGTTTTTGTTTGGCTTCAATCCCGAGTCTGAAGCAAAAATAAGCATCGAAATTTAATAATGGAAACTAGGTATTATCTAGTCGTTTTTCTGAAAGAAAAAAAAATCAGTTTTGATTGAAAGATTTCGTCAGCTCTATGAGGTATCAATCGCCTTGTAACGATTAAAAAGGTATTATGCAAAAGGCTAAAGAGAAATCACGTAGATGTTGAAGTGTTGTGTTGTGGATTTAAAGGAACAATTTATTTTGCTAAATAATTTTTGTGAGTTTCATGGTCAAGTAATTTCACACCATATGCAGCACATCGGTGAGAACATTGTCTTTGATCGATGCCATACTAACACCATGCATCTTTGCATTTTGAACTTCTGCACTATTCTATGGCATAAGGCAGGGGGGCTGAGGTGGCTGGAGCCCCCCAATAATTGTCAAACTGTAGTTCCGACGGCACTGTAAGGTCATTTTGACAAAAAGTGCTCTTGCCTAGGACATACCTAATTCGAGCTTTTTCGCACGTAGGCCAAAAATGGGAGTACGCAAAAGTGGAATTCAAGAGTGCAGACAAATTGATTCCATTTTTTGGAATTAGTTTCCTGCAAAGTGAATTGATACCTACTTAGATAGGTGCTGTTTGTTTGTTGGTTTGTCGCATGTTCTCTTATAAAATGCAAACGGGGGCTTAAGCATGGGGCCACCTTGTAGAGAGAGCCATGACAATCACCGCATACAGTGCCCAAACGTTATTTCAGCTCGATTTGAATTCCAAACAGTTTTAACGGAGCTTATAATTATCCCTGTCTTATCCTGTTACTAGTCTGCTTTTGTGCCTCTATAAATCCCCTTTTTGTGTTGTTGACTGCCTTCTCCGTGTCACTGAAGGTCCTAAACCTTTCCAAGATCAACTCACTAGGGAGGATTTGCACAAAGCATGGAGTTCATAATTCTTCTGTCAAAATAATCTGTAGGTATTTGCATTCACGTTTTGACTTTGCAAGTTTACCTTGACATGATTATTGGTGTTAAATTCTTGCATTGCAAACAGGTTCCTATTTTATGCTGATAGGAGAAATGTGATATTACTTGCCTCTTGAATTTGCTTCTAAATCCAAGCAAAGAGACTATTTTTATCTCAACTTAAATCTTTTGCTCTTCGGCCTAATTCAAATGTCTTAAGAAAAAAGCAAACATTGTATCCTTTTGTAGCCCTGTGGGAAAATATGTACCAAGTATCTATGCAATGACGGATCGCTGCCTTTAGTTTATCACCGCATTTTCGGATCAACTTCAATTTAAGTCTATAGCAAAACAAGGAATTGTATAAACAAAGTTTATTTGTTGCAAGCTAGTAGGATCTAAGGCTAATAGCTTCCTCTTTGGCTGGAAAAACTACGTTGCCTTTCAAAATCCTTCAAAAAACAGGATCTTTGAAGTATTTCGTTTGGATTTCAAGTACCTAAATCTAAGAGAATGCAAACATGGAGTATTTGAAGAAGATTTTTCTAAAATGTTGAGTTGGGGCATTAAAACATTACTTACAGCTCAATTTCATTCTTCCCATCAGTATTTTTTCACCTCTTCGTATTCAAAATGACGGCATGATATTTTTTAAGCCACATGATCGCCGTAAAACAAAAACAACAGCAAATATTGCAACAGGGAGAGGGAAAAGTTTTGAATAATTCTAAGCACAAACAGGTCAGCGTAATACTTCTTGGATCTTCCTCTTGGGTTGGATGAGAACAAAAATCTTGCTCATAATAACGAGAGCTTTTGATACCGAGGGTTTGTTATCCATGGCGTGTTTACAATATAGACAGGGAAATTTTGTGAGCAATCTAGCAAACAGGGTAACCGAGATTTTTTCTTTTGATATGTGATCCTGGTGGCTCTTTAACTCAAAATCCGCCGGGGGCCCTAAAATTGGGGGAATGGTGGGCACGTGATCTGACATTTCATTGTTCCCGGTCATTGAAAATTTTTTCCCCTAATCTTAAAACCAATAGCATCATTCGAAAGAACATTCAAGAAATCTATGTTGTTAAATAAACATGTCAAAAGATATGACCTCTTAAAATATTGCGAAAGTGACGTCATCAAACGAAAATGATGTCTTTTCTCGCTTATTTTTCATGGACCCCTGACAGATTTTGAGTCAAAGACCCACCAGGATCACATATCAAAAGAAAAAATCCCGGTTATCCTGTTTGCTAGATTGCTCACGAAATTTCCCTGTCTAATAGAATTATTTTAGAATCCAAGTGACCGGAACCTTCAGTTTGTCAAAGCGGAAAGTTTGTAATAAACCGGGCTTGTAATATAGGGGCTCTATTGTGTAGATAGCTGAGTAAGCCTTTAGTCAAAATCGTTTTCCCGTGGGTGATTGCGATAAGAAAATTCGTTTTGTTGGGCGGAGTTCTGTATGATCGTTTCGTTGGACTAAATGAGTTAAAGAACAGCATGCATTCATTCGATATTGATTTTCTAAACAAAGTTTTCAAATCTTCTACTTATTGCCTTTTAGCTTTGGCAGTCCGTTTTGTCACGAGAAGATACCTTCACGAATACGACCCAAAACTCGGTAGGTTTCTCTATTTCTTTTGCAGGCATTAATTTAAGGAATTTTCATCACTGCTCAAAACAGCGTAAAACGCAGATTTTTGGGGGCCAATAGGGTGTGGCTAAGGGTGTGGCTAAGTTTTGACTGGACCACTTTTGAATGGACCAAAACGTTTTACATTGTTTCCAGGGACATTTTCACTGTAATTTGGCCTAACTACAGCTGCCAATGATTATTATAAATCTTACCAAAACATATCAAACGTGGCCAAAAGAAAACAGAGTAGCAAACTTGATAACGGAATTTTTTCTACACTATATTATTTTTTTTAAAGCTGGTTTTAGTTGAGTTTCACACGTAGGTTGATTTTATTATCTCATTTGACTCTTGATTATAGTTTGTATTCATTTATCTTTAGTCTGAAAACATCCAAATCAGTAGTATTTAGAGTATTTCAAACTGAAAAGTAAAGTAATTCATCACTGCACATTTTCGATTCATCACTGCACAAATTGGTCATCACTGCACCTTAAATTAAACCTTGCGTCTTTTGCAAACGCTGTTTGGGCAATGTCTTCATGGGCTATGTTGTAGCTGTTTTTCTATTTAATATTCTTCAACTTGATAAAAATGAGTACTTGAGAAATGACAGTGAATTGAATGTTTTTATGTTTACGTTTTTAGAAAGGAGTTATGAGAAAATAATTGACGTCGATGGCGAAAACGTACAAATAAAGTTATGGGACACTGTTAATAAGGTCAGTATACGTCGCAGAGTACAAATGACGTCATTTCTATTCTGTGTATACGTGCACAAATGCTTTTCTTCCTGGTAGACACAATTTCCTTCTAGCTGTTTTTCTTTCATGTTTGCATTGATTTATAAGGAAGCGCTGATCTGCCTAGGAGAAAGAAGTTGCTTCGTTTTCCAGGTAAAGTTTTTGATGAGAAGTATTCAGTTTAATGAACTTTGAAGACGAGAAAGCTTAGTACTTTTGAATAGTTAACATGCAAGGCAGGGTAGCGACTGTTATTGTCTTTAATTGGCTTTTAAAATTAATCAGCGCCTTCTTAAACCATTCAAATAAGAAGTAAACATACATTGATTTAAGAAGAAAGGTTTATTTAGTCTCAACGTGAAACTTATTTCTTATAAAGTCGCAGCTTGACATTGGACAGTTATATCACGTTTGACGTCGGTCAGAACTGGCTTTTTCAAGGCCAATTTATTGCAGCAGCAAAAAACAGATTTGTTACCATGATAATGGATTACCCTTCCGAACTTTAATCTATCGGCCCTAGCATTCACTATGACATCTTTTTCTTGTTTGAGAAATGGTGAAGGTGTGCGATTGAAGGGTCATTTATGGTTAGAGAGAGCAAAAGACCATGGCCAGTTTCGTTATTCGTGCTTTAAGTCATCCCCTTGTTAATTAACATAGGGCTTTCTGCTATGTAGACAGGAGGCAAGGGCCTGGGGCAAGCCTTATCTTGTACCAGCGCCTACCAGCCACATCCCACTCGCCTTATAATGTTTGATTGCAAGCTTTAATCGTAGATTTTGATTCGATAATTCAAAAAGTTTCATTTTTGTCAAGTATTTCTAAGCTCGTCTCTTTTTCCTTGCAGGAGTGGGATAATTTTGCAGATACGGCAGATGCATTCGCCATCGTGTACTCAATAACCTCGATTGAAAGCTTCAAATATGCCACGCGAATCGTGAAGTCGATCAAGGATGCAATCGCATTCACATCAAAGCATTACCCCATGATACTCATCGCCAACAAGATGGAGATGGAGCAGGGAAGAAAGGTCAAAAGTGAAACAGCAGATCAATTTGCTGGACAAAATGCCTGCTCTTTTGCGGAGATATCGGTCGCCACAAATAATGTTGACACTATTTTTAATGGAGTTGTAAAACAAATCAGGACAGATCGAAATACTGCCGTAGAAACTCGGAAGCAGGGTACTGGAAAATATTCCTTTAAAAGTTTTTTATCGAAAAATATGTCGAAGATAAAATAAGTAAAGCGAAACTTTATTTAGAAGCCATCTTGCGAGCTAGTAGCAGGCAGACAGGGGCAGACAATTGCAAACTTTGCCATCTAGGGACAGTGTAATTGTGCCATAGTCACATTAGGCCCCTTGTTTTAGTTTGTTAAATGCTCTTTAAGTTACGGAAACTAACATATTGAATGATTTATAGATTTTTGCATTCACAAAGAATAAGACACTAATTTTCAAACCGTTTCCCCACCTGTATGCTGCAACCAAAAGCTTGGAGCGGTTGGGGAAGGGGGCAACGACCGAGGTAGCAAGCTTAGCCGGAAGAGGTCTTGGGGCTACGGAAAGTTTAGTAAACAATGTTGAATCATTCATTGTAGCTCGACCCAGTCAGTGCCCTTAACTCAAAGATGATGCACCTGTGCATCGCTAGGCTACAAGATGACCCTGATTTTTATAATTGTTCATTAAATATTCAACAAACTTGACTTTGATGTTACCCTCACCTAAATTCCCCCCTTAGGACTTTTAAGGTACAAATACACCATTTAGCAATACGAAACAAAGCTAGCTAATTAATTAACATATAACAAAAAATATTAAATATTTCCATACTGACACCTGACATACAACATGTATAGAACAAATATTGATTACAACTTGAAACTCCTGCAGATTTAACCACAGAATTACTTTGTTCTAACAAATAGATAAAAAAACAGTAAAATACATTTCTAAAGAAATACAAATCAAAGTATTAGAAACAGAATAAGAAAGAAAAGGTTTCAATGTGTGCTGATAAAATTTGCTGATATGCCCAGTGGATAAATCACGTCGAGAAACTGCCCTGTAAATAAACACACACGTCATACTAATCGTTTGAAAAATCCAAACGAATTTCGAATTTTACGACATTAAATTTGTATTCAATTAATTCGACAGGCCTCTTCTGTACATAATTTGTAAAGTAGCGAGAATATGTAATTTATAAACATCCACGGACATCGATTGTATCGTTCAGACTTACTGAGTATATTTTGTCCTTGTTTTTTGTTAGTTATCTCTTCCACTTTTCTTATTGCAAGGACTTCTTTAGTTCGTGTTGAAGTGGCATTGCTTGCAGAAAGAAGACTCGGGGACTTTTCAAAGGATTTTCAAAAGAAATCCAGATTATTCTTAAAACGCAAAATCACTCTATTGTTTGCACAGCATCAGCTGCAATTTATGAGCGTTTGTGTCACCTGAGGTTGATTCCTGCCTATTTCATCAACAAAATAAAGATGTACAGAAGCAAAGTTATATGGAAGGAAGTAATACAAATATATTTAGCATCGTAAATTGCGCATTGCCTTTTTTATTGGCACTTTACCTTTTTTTTCTTGGCGTTTTGACCTTTTCCTTCGCCTTTTGTTCCACTCCTCCCTCTGCACTGAAGCCCTTCCGGCCAAAATATACCTTTTCTCAGAAATTAAAATGATTTGAAAATAGTTTTTTTTATAAACTTTCTAAAAAAACTACTAATTTACTAAGTCATTCAGAGGTCTTATTAGCGACAAAAATATGTTTGACTCCTTACTGTAACATGACCTTTTGGTGATTAATTGTTACGCAAAAATATAAATCTGTGTGTATGAATTGAAACAGAGACACAGTCAAGCTCAACCTTAGTATCAAAACTGATGTATTCAAATGAGTGTATCATCTCAATCTTTCTCATGGCTGATGTTTTCAAATTTTTAGAGAAAATGTATCAGAAGAAGATTTGTAAAAGAAGATTTGGATATAGATGCAAGTAAGGGATCAGTGTTAATCAGGGCCTACGGCACGAATTTGAAAGTTGGGGGGCCAAAGCTAGCAAAAAGAGAGGGCCAAGGCCTTTTCCCCTTTTACGGACCATAGATGTAAGTTTTACTTCACTTTCAAGTCTTTCGCCTACCAAGGGTTCAAGGGGATAAATTTTTGCAAGAACTGATTTTTGTGGAATTTATTTGCAAATTTGATGGGCATTGATATTTACAGATGGGCTAAATTCGTATAATTGACGAAAGTTAATTAAAAAATTCCTGATTTCAAATATTTTTGGGTTAGAACGTCTCCTTCCTTTGTTTCTGAACATGTCATTTGAAAGTCCTAGGCACCGCTGCAAATATTCATACAGTTTACAGTTTAAATATCGACACCTTTTAGTTTACTTGATTGTGATAATTTTTTTTGAGAGGGGCTGAAAGAATGTTTCGGGAAATTCTCAATCAAACAACCCAACTAGAACCCGAGGAAATGCATTCCTGTTGTTGTTGAGAATGATTCTATGTTGAACTGCTGTTTTGGTACTTTTTGCAAAGAAAAGATAAGATCAAAGATGCTTTTGCGGACATGAACAATCCGGTATCATCCTTGGCTTAACTTAATTGGTATCATCTCTGGCTACCTTTAAAAAAATCTACACGTAACTTCTTTTCATATTTTGTTTTATTGATAGGTTTTATCTCAGTTTTGTACATAGTAATAAACTTTATCTTTGGCTTTTCTGTTTTTTTTTCGCAGGTTGATTTTAAAGCCGTTGGCCTATTTGTTACTATGTAATCTGTATAAAATATTTGATAATGAATAAATGGACTTGGGCCCGGCTTACTGAGATTATTCTTAGAACAATTGCATGGTGTTGACAGGGGCTGCTTGCACAATGAATGCTATGTGAGCCCATAGTATGTGTATCACCCGCACCCACAATGTCAGAATGATGTCTGTGTTGAGATCTTCCTCAACAATCCAGAGCAAATTGGCTGAACAGGTCAAATGGTAATAATTGATGAGAGCCTCTCTGCCGAAAGGAAGCATAATCCCAGCAGAATTCTTGTTCAAAACTGGATCTATGGAGGCTTCAACCTGGTTAACAAAAGAGGGTCATGGCATCCCTTTGTGGAACTGGATTCTGCAAACCTAGGTTTGCCTGGCTCCACTGTCTCTTCAGACATGCGGCAGATCCACAATCAATTTGGCAATATCGTCTTCAAACACAGAACTGTGAACCACATCCATAATTTTGTTTTTGTTGACCCAGTCACCAGACCTTTAACAAACCATGTGAAAGCAATATGGCGGCAGGGCAGAAAATAAGTCGCAGCATGGATCGACAAATCCCGAACTGAAACCAGACCACTTGGCAGATTTTAGGTGCCTGTAGAGTTTTAAAGACATTCAATTTTTCATCTTTTGCATCAAATTGCAGTAAAACTGAATGTGTTTTAAATTTATTCTATTTCTCCTAGATCTTGTTATCTCTGAAGACTATTCATTCCATCAAGTAGGTTGCACAAGCACCCATTTGTTGACCCATGTTGTTACATTAATTTCTTGTTTGCCTTTGTCGGTTGGGGAGATAAACCAGCATTCTTCATAACAGCATCAGTTATGTAAAAAAATCTACTCTCTTTATTTCAGGACCCACCTCACCATCACTGATCTTAAACTGGAAAAGCCACCAATTTAAAAAAATTTTCCTCTTACCCCTGCTAACCCCAATTATGGAATATTTATTTTTTGTAATCTAAATATTTATTCTTTTGTAATCTTTGCTTTTCTATAGAAATAATTTGAGTTTATTGTATTTATTTATTTAGTGAAAAACTGACTCCCTTGTGGCATGGGCCCTGTGTTCAGCACAAGCTTATGACTTAACATGAATAAGATATTTGTTTTGTGCTAGATCAACTTCATCTTTGATTAGAAATACCATGCTAGTTTACCTTTCCAAAATCCTTTCAAAACAGGATATTTGAAGAATTTTGCTTGCATTTCCAGTACTAAGATCTAAGAGAACACAAACATTATCTATAAGAGAAAGATTTCCCTCAAAATGACGCGCTGAGGCTGCAAAAAGATTTCTAACAGCACAATATGTATGTTATCAATAGTTCTTCACCTCTTCACATTCAAAAAGTCAGAATGATATTTGCAAGCCACATAGCTGCCAAAAACAAAAGAAACACATAATATTTCAATAGGGAGCTTATTTTCAAGAAGAAATTTTTTTAATAATTCTAATCAAAAATAGGACCGTTCTTGTTTGTTTGCTTTTTTCACACTGCTGTTAACATTATGACAATCTATTGATTGGCCAGCAATTGTGTTTGATTTTGTGCATAAATTTTTGATATTTAGAAGAATTATTGTTTACAATTATGCTGAAAGATCCTCAAAATCTCCAGTTTCGAGTTCTGTCGGTCCAAAACTACAGCTGTTGTAGTATGCGTTTTGGTAACCTATGCAAAAGTGTAACATTGTGAAACGCAATGTGTTTCAGATCGTGTGGTTTCATCATTGTGCGATGTTTTGAAACGTTTTTAAGAGTTTAATATTTACACTTGTCAATCACGCAAAGTTTGGAGTCATCATTAATGTTGTACTTTCTTGGCATAAACTTAACAAAGCAAATCACAGCGCCGCTCTTTACTTGCATCCCTTTTATAAAAATAGTTCAATTGTTCTTTACATTTTGAACAATATGAACCAGAACATTCGACCAGTTCGCATGCCAAATTCCACTATTCGTTGTGGTACCCTATTGTTTAAATGCTTTGGTACGTTTTTGCATAACCAAATTTGTCATACGTTTGTGTACCCGGACCGTTTTGCATGCTAAGTTCCACCATTCGTTTTGGTACCCTATTGTTTAAGTGCTTGGGTACGTTTCTGCATAACCAAAATTGTCATACGTTTGTGTACCCGGACCGTTTTGCATGCTACGTTCCACCATTCGTTTTGGTACCCTATTGTTTAAATGCTTTGGTACGTTTTTGGATAACCAAATTTGTCATACGTTTGTGTACCCGGACCGTTTTGCATGCTAAGTTTCACCATTCGTTTTGGTACCCTATTGTTTAAATGCTTTGGTACGTTTTTGCATAACCAAATTTGTCATACGTTTGTGTACCCGGACCGTTTTGCATGCTAAGTTCCACCATTCGTTTTGGTACCCTATTGTTTAAATGCTTGGGTACTTTTTTGCATTACCAAAATTGTCATGCGTTAGTGTACCCGGACCGTTTTGCATGCAAAGTTACACCATTCGTTTTGGTTCCCTATTGTTTAAGTGCTTGGGTACTTTTCTGAATTACCAAAATTGTCATGCATTAGTGTACCCGGACCGTTTTGCATGCAAAGTTCCACCATTCGTTTTGGTACCCTATTGTTTAAATGCTTGGGTACTTTTTTGCATTACCAAAATTGTCATGCGTTAGTGTACCCGGACCGTTTTGCATGCAAAGTTCCGCCATTCGTTTTGGTACCCTATTGTTTAAATGCTTGGGTACGTTTTGCATAACCAAAATTGTCATGCGTTTGTGTACCCGGACCGTTTTGCATGCTAAGTTCCACCATTCGTTTTGGTACCCTATTGTTTAAATGCTTTGGTACGTTTTTGTATAACCAAATTTGTCATACGTTTGTGTACCCCGACCGTTTTGCATGCTAAGTTCCACCATTCGTTTTGGTACCCTATTGTTTAAATGCTTTGGTACGTTTTTGCATAACCAAAATTGTCATACGTTGATGTACCCGGACCGTTTTGCATGCTAAGTTCCACCATTCGTTTTGGTACCCTATTGTTTAAATGCTTTGGTACGTTTTTGCATAACCAAATTTGTCATACGTTTGTGTACCCGGAACGTTTTGCATGCTAAGTTCCACCATTCGTTTTGGTACCCTATTGTTTAGTTGCATGGGTACGTTTTTGCATAACCAAAATTGTCATACGTTGATGTACCCGGACCGTTTTGCATGCTAAGTTCCACCATTCGTTTTGGTACCCTATTGTTTAAATGCTTTGGTACGTTTTTGCATAACCAAATTTGTCATACGTTTATGTACCCGGACCGTTTTGCATGCTAAGTTCCACCATTCGTTTTGGTACCCTATTGTTTAGTTGCATGGGTACGTTTTTGCATAACCAAAATTGCCATGCGTTTGTGTACCCGGACCAAAATGCATAAGGTTACCGAAATGCATATGCCAGGCCGTAAAGACTCCACCCTAGTGCGCCTGCGCCTGCATTTTCGACCATGTTGGTGAAACGAGGCTGTAATTTTTATCGCGCGCACTGATAGGAGGCCACGTGCGCCATTTTGTGTATGCACACATGAGAATGACTCTACTTTGAATAACGTTGAGGTACTTTCTGCAAAGCAAAGGTGAGATGAAATATTCTTATAGAAGTGCAAACAGCTTGTTTGTCAGACCCGTAGTCAATGCTCAGTCAGTGTGTGTTCCATCAGACTTAGGCCCGGGGACCTTTGGCGGCGTGTTATCGATATCAATGTCCAAATTATTTTCAAAAGCTCCTTGGCAATGACAAGGCTAGTTTACAAATTTACTTTCATGTCTAGGCACCTGATTCAGTTGTAACAAAATTTTCAGTCAAAGATCTTATTGAATTTAAGCAGTTCTTTCACTTATTAAGGTATACATCAATTCTGATGAATAGGTCTTTACCCTATTTCAAAGGGTATCTGCGTGGTTATTGGCTAATAAGCTATCACTAAATGTATCTAAATCGAATTTCTTGCTGATAAGCTCTCGTAAAACTGATAGAAACATAAAATTAAAAATTAATAACAGAGATCTGAAACAAGAAAATTACACTAAATATCTTGGAGTAATAATTGATAATAAGCTTACCTGGAAATTGCATATAAAGCAAATAAATTTAAAATTATCAAAAGGAATTGGAGTGCTATATAAATTAAGACATCTGGTACCAAAACAATCTCTTAAGACTTTATACTCCTCATTCATTCAATCACATGTACTATATGGTATATTAAATTGGGGTTGTGCTAATAAAACTACCCTGGAACTTTTAAAACGTAACTTACGAAAAGCAGTTAGAGTAATTGACTTTGCGAACTTCACCCCACATAGTGAACCTATATTTAAACGCCTTAAAATATTTAACTTTGATAAACTTTACCTGCTTGAGACAGGAAAAATGATATATCAAATTAGCTCTGACAAAACTTCTCTTGAAGGCAAGTTTGTAAAAACAAAAAATGTACACAATTATAATACACCGCAATCTTCTTCTGAAGGTTTTTCTCTTCCATCCATCTCTAAAAACTTTCTCACTTTCGATGGTATTAAATTTTGGAACTCCCTACCTATAGAGTTAAAAAAGATGGATAATAAACACCACTTTGTGAAACAGATGAAATATTTTCTTACGAACAAAATTTGACATCTGTAGGCTTGACTACTTTATGATTTTTTTATAATTGCACTTAGCTGTTATTAAAATATTACACATAGTCTTATTTTTATTTCGTTCTACTTTATTTTATTCTTATTATATCTTACTGTTATCATTCAAACTTAAAATCGTCATTATAAACACGTCAATTTGGAAACATGGCTGGATAGCTTGCCCAAAGTTCTTTCCATGTGTCCATCAGCCTAAAATTGTTTAATTCTCATTGCTGTTCTATAAAATATTGTGATTGACCATTCATTGTTATTTAGCCATATTAACTTGGATATTTTATATTTAGTATAATTATGTTAACCGGTATATTGTAATTAATCAATTTTATGTTGAAAAAAATATTTTGAGTTTGAGTTTGAGTTTATTTTTAAAATTTAGCTTCTCCTATACATTTCAATGAAATTTGTCGCTGTAGTGAAACTTTCTTGTCATTGCTCTCTAGGCTTTTTTCAGCTAACTTCCTTCATTTTCTTTAGTCTAATAACAAATAAGACTAAGATTTGGTTGTTGTTTTTTCTTAGAAGAAGCCATTACTGAATTTTAATCATTTTATTCTTTTATAAGCCAGGCTGGGCAGGAAATTTATATGAGAATATAGAATTCTTAAAGAAATTTAGTTGGAATCAAAAGAAGTTGTAGGTGCTGGTGTGGTCAACCTTTTACTCTTGTATCACCTAACCAGTATCTCTAGATCTTGACTCTAGAATTGATCTAGCAAGTCCCATGTGAATCGGGTCTTACAAAGGGTCAGTGTAAGCAGGGTCTGACAAAGCCTTTGGTGCAAGATGGAAATCGAGGGAACCAAAGACAATTTTAAGACTGTCAAGAAGATTTGCCAAAAGCTCTTTTGTTTTGCAATAAAATGGGGATGGCTGAATTAATTTCCCATAGATTACCAGTCCTTACCTGGAGTATTTTGCCCCCATGGAAGATTTTTAGAATTTCAGAGACAAGAGAATCATAGTAAAAAACAAGAGCACATGCGTGGGCAGAGGCACATGCTATTTACTTAGGTTTAATTCCTATTTTAGAGATTTCAATTTTTTAAAGAAGATTTCAATTTTCAGACATTTTTATATGAATTGACAGGTGTTGCTAGAACTATTATCTTTTTTAGATATGTGTCAGTGATTCTCAAGTTCCTATCTCAGTGTGGAAATGAAGAGAAAAAAATCAAAGTCAGCTGAAAGTGGGTAGTCTTTTGATGGTTCTCTTTGATTGCTTTACTGTTCATTAGGAATCATTTTATATCACCAGACACAAACATACTGTGATCAGTGATCTATTCACTTCATTATGCAAAACCTTTTAGAAGTAGAAGAGCCAGAAAGATTAGCCTCTTAAATTTAAAATTATGAATTTGAAAATGGCTTTGAAAAAAGCAAACATTTTACAGCATACTAAAAGCTTTTTCGTCGGACACTCCTCAGAGCATGAAATGTCAGAATCAGGAGTGAGTGGATTCTGACGTTTTATGCTCTGAGGAGTGTCAGGCGAAAAAGCTTTTAGTATGTTGTAAAATGTTTGCTTTTTTCAAAGCCATTTTCAAATTCTGTAGCAAAGGTTCAGATGGGAGTTGTTGATGTAGGCTTATATTGTAATGGATTTTGCCTTGATTATAACTTTTTGTAGAATGGCAAAATTTGATTTTATGTAATTTATTTCTTGAGACGAGAACGATCTTAAAATCAAGAAATCAGAAACCAGAAGTGGAAAATCAGAGGATTTAGAACCAGATGATGTTTCAGAAGAAATTCAAAGCAAAGGTCAGCTTTTGAAGTACTACTATTTGATGTGGTGAAAAAGATTGAAGAATATATTACTGCAATGTCCCAAGTGCTCTGTTGATATGTGGAAAACCCAGACTCTGTTCACTTGATATATAGAAGTTTCAAATCATATCACTTTGGGTATCTTAAAATAATTCTGTTCAATCAAAGAAGGGTGAATCGAAGATGTTCTTATTGTTTTTGCATTGTCAAATCACCCTGCTTAAAATGTGGTGTAAAATGTTGTTTTTGAGCTTGTGTGAAAGCATGAATCTGATAAAGAATTGCTTCAGAAGCTCTGTTTCTAAATGACAACATCCACATTGTATACAAGTCTAAGCAAGTCATTGTTCACATGCAGTGCTAAACAACCAAATTTTCTTCATATTTTAGGCAGACCATATACAATTAGTGTTGCACTGCCTGGCTCTATTTTGGAGAATGCACAGTCGCCTGAGCTAAGAACTTATCTGGCTGGACAAGTATGTTAGAATGATCTTTTGGTCTTGCAGCATGTACCCTCTCTGACTTCCGTGCTGTATTCAATGTTTTCTGTGTGACTTTTTTCATCTCCAAAAATTGTTGCAGGTCATGTCAAGTATGTTCTGTGATTACAGAACACCTGAATATGTCAAAAAAGACAGAATGAATAAGCATTATGCCATGTTTTTCAAAATTGATAAATTTGCTATTCGAAAATGTCATTTGAAGCAGCCTAATAAATTAATGTTGCTGCATCTTCTTCTCAAATATAGCTTGACTCTGAAGTTTCTGTTTCTCAGTTATCATCCCTGACCAAAAACAGAAATATACTGCATTTCCAAGTGTTTAACTTTCATTTCAGATTGCAAGATCGCTTGTTATATTTAACATTGATGAGGTAGTTGTGTTCAATGAAACCACAAAGAAAGATTCCAAATCTGGCTTCAAGGGATCCACAAAAGCCACTGATCCTAACATTCTGCTAGCAAGAATTTTGCAATATTTGGAATGTCCACAATACCTGCGCAAGCATTTCTTTCCAAAGCACCCAGACCTGAACTATGCTGGTATGTACTGAATAGTCTTATGGTTTCAATTTAAAAGTTTATCTTGATCTTTTTGTCTTAATTTATCATCTATTTGCAATTTTTGATTATATTTTCATATAAGTTTATTTTTATTGTGTGATTGCAATACGAGCAAAATAAGAGAAAAAAGCCTTGATTAAATATTATACAGACAAAGAATCTTATTTTTTTGCTTACATGAATAAGGTCAAGAGCTGATCTATTTATTACGTTGAACTAATGCTCTTTGACTAAACATAAACTATAAATTAATGGCAACTTGTTTGTTTCCATTCACAAAGCAAGGTGCAGATTTTTGCATGAGTTTAATGAAAAAACTATCTTCTTTCAGGGCTTTTAAATCCGCTAGACAGCCCACATCACATGAGAGTTGATGATGAACTGCCTTACAGAGAAGGAGTTGTCCTTGATAGGCCAGTTAAAAATGGAGAAGGGTCATTTGTCAATATAGGCTTGCGAAAAGAAGTAAAGGTGGATAAACATCTGCAGCCAGGAATTCGTGTCACCGTCAAAATTGAATCTTCCGGTAAACTTTTTATTTTTTAAAAGTGTCACTTAATTTGAATACCGTAACCCTTGAATCAACCCAAAACCTGAAAGTAAAGAATATTAACAAACCCCCATCCTCAAATACACCCACACCCTAAGATGCCAGGTTTTTTGCCTTTCCATCAGTCCCAATGGGGGCTTAATCAAAATTCAACAGAAAATTACGCCATCTTCTGGGTACATGGTTAAGAAAAACCCGTTCAGCGGAAAAAGATAAACAACTGAATTAAGCGAGGCATATTATAAAAAAAGCTAAAAATATTTGCTATGTTTATGGCAGCTTGGAGATTAATTTAATAAGCCTTTCCTTGTATGCACCTCTTCTCGAATAACCCCTCGTCTAAAAACTTCCTGAATTGATAAACCTACAGGTCGCTAAATCGAGGAGTTACAGTAAAAAATACAATTGTAGAATTTACTTTGTAAACCACCAAAAATTTTTATTACAATCCTTCTTTTTATTCTATCCATTTTCTATTACTTTGGAGTTCTAAGTTTTTTGACGCAACAAAACAGACCCTGCGAGGAAAGAGACTCCTTTATCTATCAGACTGTGTATCATTTATATATCTAAGATTAATTGAAAATTTTTGCCTAGAAAAGTTACTGCTTGCTCAACCTCATTAGAAAGTTACTGCATTAGAATGTTTGCATTCTGAAGATGCTTTTGTAGTCATTATTGGTTATGGTTTAATTTTAATGGCATCGAAAGGCTGATTCCTAAAGCAATCTTTTTTTATCCTTTTGTTTAGAGAAAAAGCACACAACAGGAAAAGTTGTCTCTCCGGCGGAACCAAGATTAAAAAACGGTTTATACTGGGGTTACAATGTTCGACTGGCGCAGTCCTTTGGAGCCGTTTTCACCCAATGTCCTTTTAAGGATGGTTATGACGTTACAATAGGTACGTCAGAGAGAGGCTCGCCGGTGCGCAAGCTGAGGCTGTCACCTTTCAAGTGAGTACTAAAAAGAATCGTTGTTTTCGTCAATTCGCTTTTTAATTGTCTTCATTTTCATTTGTTGCCTTCATAGTGAGGGGGGAGTCAGGGACGTCAGAAGTATCTAAAAGTTGAATACCGTATTTACTCAATTGAACGCCGCCCCCGAATGAGCGCCGCATTTGTGACAAATAAATTCGAAGAGCCCCGCCCCGAATTAGCGCCGCAGTTATCTTTTTGTAAATGCGGCGCTTAATCGAAAATCAATGCAGTTTGTCTCCGACAATGAAGGGGAAAGTGACATTGCCATTTTATGAACCTTAAACGATATTTTCAAATTTGTATGTTTTATAACCAAAAGATTTGTTTTATTAAAAAATGACGGAGTTTTTAAAAAGCGCCGCCCCCATAAGAGCGCCGCCGCGGCGCTCACTCGAGTAAGTACAGTAGCCACAGTAAAAAGGGATGCTAAGCCTAAAAATTAGGCAAAATGATGAAGTTATTCGCTATTTAATTGATGGTTGCTTAAAAGTTCTTTCGAGTTGAGAGTCCTTTTTATTGCCTCACTTAACGTGTAGAATATGACTGCTCTTGTTTCCGTCTGACCCAATTAAACTGAATAAATTTTTATCTTTAGGCATTTACTGATTGTATTCGGTGGACTAGGGGGACTGGAAGCGAGTTTAGAGTCTGACGAGAGCCTTATGCAGAGTGAGGCACAGCTCTTGTTTGACCACTACATCAACAGCTGCTCGAATCAAGGAAGTCGCACTATACGAACTGAGGTATGTCGTGTAGATATTAGGTTTGTTAAGAGGAGCCCCAAAACTTCTAGATGTGAAAATTGCATTCTTTTTTGTTAAAACTAAGTATTATGAAAATATCTGGTTTGTATACAAAAGTTTTGATCAGCCAACTCGCCGGCCTCTTATGCATGTCTTTAAAAAACTGTTGATTCGTAATAATAAAAAGAATCCATGGATGAAATGAGCATATCTACAAGAGGAAGGTCCTGCAGCAAATTTCTTAAAAAAGCTTCAATAATCCGCACTAAAAAGTCATGGTGAATTTCGGACTGTTTTTATAGTACTTGTCCTAATGCGGAATTTAATGTTCTTAAGTGTCAAAAGTTCGTTAAACTTCTTTTCCTCGCACACATTACAAAATTTTGGATCGTTGCCCGTCACTTCACAGACCTTTATCGACCTTTTATCCTTCTACTAACCTTGCCCGAAGAGAAATGATTTGTGTGAATTTGTGACTCGTTTCTTTGCCAAAAACCAACTTGATAACGTCTTGCTGTAGCAGATGACTTGAACGTACGTGGTTCTTTCGATTAAACACATTCATCTCGTTATTTTACAGGAAGCAATTTTGATAACGCTGTCAGGTCTGCAGCCCAGGATTCAAAAATGTCTCAAGAAAACATAATAACGAAATCCCATCATTGCGTCTCGCAGGACACGACATCCTTCAGAAAGTATCGACTCGTAGATTTCAAAATCTAGATTCCGCGCTTCAAAATCTAGATTCTGCGTTTCACAAACAGATTCTGCCTGTTTAGCCAACTCAAGATATTCATTGGTTCAAACAGTTCTACCTCCTGATTTTCGTAGGCCTTCTCCCGTCTGTTCCAGTTTAGTACTTCATCGATGAGAAAAGCATTTTCATGAATGTTCGAGACTATGAACGGATAAAAAACTTCCACCATCTACCAACCTTGTCAGGCAATATTTCGATATTTTTTCCCTATATTGACAAAGTTCACGCTCCAGTGGAAGAAAAAGCCAGATTCAATTACTGGGAAACCAATAATTCCTCAAAGACTTTTTTACGATGTTTTTTACGAAACTGAAAAATTCTGGAAGACCAGCTTATGCCAAGTTGGTAAACGAAACTTAAAACCAGTTTAACTGCAGCAAATAGACATCGCCTTTTTGTACGTTTTCAAATGTAGCTTCTTATTCAGCCCTCGCAAATGCAAAATTTTGGATTAATTCTTCGCACAGTTTAATAGTTGTTTCCAGATAAAAACCTTGACCTATTTTACACTTCTCAACCAAGCAAACTGAAATGGACATTTTAATTGGAAACTTCATCAACCGACAAAAATACAATTGATAGCTGAGTTTAGATAATTGAAAGATAATAAAACAAAGAAGGCCAGTAGGATTAAAGAAATGAAAGAAATTTCTGCTAAAGGTTTCGCCCTCTAATAACTGGACTTAAACATTTTATTCTTTATTGCCTAGTTGCCCGTTTTGCATCACTCAAGTAAATCTTCCACAATTCTTCTATAGCACAAGGAAAAACTATAGCGAAAAACGCAAAAAGTTATCGATGCCCCCGTCAAGCTTTTTAAGGGCCTTTTTAAAAGGGCCATCTTGAACGGAACCGAAATTAGAAGGGTCGTAATGAAAAATTGATAGACCAGTTAGTTATCTGAAGTAATGGGCCAGCCTTATCTTCGATATTAAGGCATATCATTTCACCGAGTATAATTAACTTGGTGTTTTAGCTTGCAAGAAAAATATTTTCCCATAAAAATATAACTAAGAATCAATTGATCTAAGTACTACGCAGTTATTACAATAATAAATGTTATATCATAATTCAATATCAAAACGTTGTTTTATGTTTTTTCACTTCCACCATAACGTGGTGAATATTGATAAGTTCACTTCTGACAGAGAGTCTTTTGAAAGGAGGTTGAGCCAAGATCTTCTGGAAGCGGTGGTAGTATTGGATCATTTGCGCGAGAGCCGTCTAAAACAAGAAGGGAATACGCTTATTCTGGTGGATATCGAAACGAAAACAAAGATAGAATTCATGGTCACATCGAGCAAATTAGAGTTGATTAAACATGATTGCAAAGTTGAGATTTGAAGGTCCCAGCCCTCTTGTTAATTCCAACGAGACCAAATTTCTACTCCTTAATTTTTACTAGATATGTTTCACGCAAGCTCTGTGTCTTTTTTTAAAGAACTATAAAATGCTCGTGCATAACTGAACATTACATAGTATCCACCAAATACTGATCATAAGACAGATCCAATACATTAATTGAGATATAATAACAAAACCAGGAGTTGTTCTCTTCTACACTAACCGTAAATTCTAAAATAAACAACATTTTCAGCTGGGCCTCTACTCATATGTTTCCTACCTGCAGTATTGTGGTTCCCGTCCTGAAATTTGAAAAACATCGCATAACCTCATGGTTTATGGTTTCTATAGCGTGTTTCCAGTCTGCACCGAATCCCCGCACTATTTGCTCAATTTTACCTGTTGAAAAAGCAAGAACATCCCGTCAGCCCTTCAACATTGTTAAAGACTGATAGAACTAGGTTTTGTCTCGCAAACCAGTGTTTTGAGAAATTTGCAATCAATGTTCTGAGACACTCTCAAATTTGTGACAACTAGTAAATAAAAATGGTTTTCCAGGCTATGTGGTCCAAATGAAAAGACATTTATTTTGTGACATAATAAGGAATACATTTTTGTGACATTATGGCCTAAAACAGTCGAAAGAAATTCTGGCGAAATTCTTCTCAATTTGGTTCAGATCATTCAGCTAGTTCAACCAAATACTTTTACATATATATATTGTGTAATCCATTTTGTCTCTCTTGGTTCAATATTAAAATACAAAAGATTTCTTGACGATACCTTTTTAACTTTGATAAATTCTTTTTAATCACCAAAAAGGTTATAGTGATTTCATAGGGTTTTACTGACTGCATCTGAATTGAACAATGTTTTAATAAAATTTATTAAAACAGTGACAATATGCTTACGTCCTTTGAGTATAAACTGATCTTTTCAGTTAAATATCCTAAGGAAATTTTTTGTCGCGCTGTGAAATCAATCTCACGCAAATTTTTACAACAACTCCACCTGTATTGAAAACATTGAGAAAACTTCGAGAATAAAACATTAAGGCTGAAACAAACCCTCGTCGATCCTTTGTAAAGTGGAACCCCTTTCCAAAACTGACTCCGTATCTTTCACGAAGGCTATCATTCCACCAAAGTGTGGGGACAACACCTTAGAAACAAAACAGATGCTGGTCATTTGAAATGTTTATTTACTCATACGTCGGATCAGGAGCCGCAGAGTAGTTTACAAATTGAGGGGGCTTTAATGTTTGCAGGGGGGGGGCTAAATATGCCAAAAACCAAGAGCAAGGGGATTTTTGTATGGCTTTAAGTACATTTTGGAAACTACTAGGGGGGGAGGCTAAAGCTCCCTTAGCCCCTTCCACCCGCGGTCCCTGCATCAAATTAATCATAAAAGAAATGGAATAAGACCTTCATATAGCAAACGTCACCTCTTCAACGTATTCTTGCGTTCGCCCATTCAGCAGTTGTTGAAAACTTTCAGTTTCTTTCGAATCTTCAGCAGTTCTTTCCTAAAGAAAACATCCAAAGGAATTCTAAATGAAAGATTTTGCTACCCTACGAGTATCAATTGTGTTATAAAGAGAAATAACCTTAGATGAAAGACCATTATCAAAGCTAAGACCCCCTTCCTTTCTCTTTTCTTTTAAGCTACAAAACACCCTTGATAATTCGGATGGACAATCATTTTCGGCGAAGCTATGATAAGCAACATTTCCTTTCAAAGATCAAATTTCTAGCAACATGAACTATAAAAACGTGATCGTCTTGATGTCGCTTGACCTAACAGTCTTTTCATTGCTGTTTTGACCTAACTAGTTTCGCTACTTTTTTCCCAGTTGCTACGAAGCGAGCATCCAAATCTATCCCGGGTTGGAACCATCAACTTTAAGCAATGCAGTTAAGTGTATTATCACTTAGGCTACTCTTCTAGTGCCACACCCTATTTTTCTATTGTATGAGTAACACACAGCATTACAAAATTTAAAACTTTTCTGTGTTCTAAAACTTTTCTATATGCAATATGATAAAGACAGTACCGATAAAACTTGAAGCATCATGTCGTAGTTATTGATTAAGAAGACCAGCTGATCTTTTCGGCTGACAAACTCTGCTGCTCGTCTCAAAACGAAGTTCTCTACTTCAGTTTGCAATGCGCCAAGGGATTTGATGACCTATCATGAGAAGGCATCTGCAATAACTAACAGGCTTTTCTGTCATAAGGCACCTTCTCAACAGACAACAAAACGAGCGGCCACTTTGATCTCTAAAACAATCTATTAAACGGGAAATCTCTAAAAGGTGGAATCTCTAAAAAAGGGGAACCAAATAAACAATTGTGTGTTGACATCAACTATAACGATTCTGTTATATGAATGGTCACCTTGTTCTCTTTTTAGCGTTTCCTCAGAAAACTTGGTTCTACCAAAAATAAGGCCAATATGGTTTCCTAGTTTTCCAAGAATGTTATTTGCTTTATTACCCGCAGTTAACTCAAGAGAGAAATGGTAAAAAAATAATAATGAAATGAAAAACAACTGTCTTTGTAAAAACTCAATAAATTTTCTACATTATCGCATCAAATGTTATAAAATTTTAATTATAGAAAACAGTTTGTATCCTCATGTTTTCTAAATGTAATTCTCAAAGTTATATATTAAAGAGTACTTATCTTTCTGCAATTTACCAATTTTTAATCTTTATAGCAATTTAGTAAAATTAAATTACGCTGATTTTGTGTAGAATTACTCCATGGTAGCAACTCACTCGCTCATCAGGAAAACTTTCGTTCAGACTGTTGATAGCAGCAGAGAATTCTGCATACCGCCTCGTTATCTGAAAGATAAATGGAAAATAATCCTGAAGTCATTCAGTTGCAAAGCAGTATTTTGTCAAGTGTTTTAAGGTGAGTTTGCATCTTGATCTGATCAAGAATTCTATGTCATGGACTGACAAGAAAAGATTCGATACGTAAGAAGATTGAAAAACATCAGGATTGCCAAGTACAGTGTAATAACCCGAAGATCATGGAGAATATGTGTCATGATCTGGAAACAAATCGATTGAAAACATTGACAGTAAAAGACTGCAGATTTTTTTTTATATCAAAAGGCATGATAAAATGGAAAGAGGGATCTAAATTGACAACCAGTTCTGCTTGTTACCTAGCTTCAGAAGTAACTGACAACATGGTATTTTTCAAGACCACGGCGAAATTGTTGTTTTTATCTGCTGTAAAAAAGTTTTGCAAAAAGACAATAATTTTCAATAGGACTAGGAGGATTGCTTCAGTGAAATGTGCTTAAAAGAGTGCATTTTCCAGGGAACTAGAAGCATCAAAATTCGAGAACCATGGTGCCGCCTCGGGTAGTAACTATATCCTTTGCCCGTTCCGATATAGAGATTTGACAAAACTATTAGGAAAATTCCGTTATTATCAAATTAAAATGAAAGCTGCGAATTATATACAGAGTTAGATTGACGAAATGCATTGCAGAGGTTTGTGACAGCAACTAAAGAATTTCAGGCAAAAATTTTTTAATCAGGTAATTTATAGTCCACAACCCCCCCCCCCCAACCAGGCTTGCCTCGCGACGGCCCTTTGCGTGGCATATACAGGGGTAATTCACGACGTAGTATAGTGCCAAGCACGTCGAGTGCTGATGACGTTTGGTATTGATGATGCATGGTATCGCTATCGGTGACGTTTATGTGAACGACTGTTAACTTAATTTAATATTCTTAGATAATCACATTCCCTAGTGTTGTAAGACCACTCCTACCAACTTTTATCCTGTTCCCGATTCTCAGACACACTGCCGCTGCGCAGCCTCATGGAGGGTCTTGGAGCGAATAAATGATAGAGGGCTCGTGGGGTCGTTTGTTACATGACCTGCGTTTGCCTGCGTTTGCCTGCGTTTGCCTGCGTTTGCCTGCGTTTTGTTTTTTATTGTATAATATGGTGAAATGATATCGTCGTTAGAAATCCGTAGCAAGCTAGCATAGAGCAACAATGGCGTGATGTATCGATGACGTAGAATATTAATGACGCACAGTAAAGACGACGTGTTAACTTACGTAATGCGGTCGCACATCAATGGAGCCTAGCTTTTGCGGGTCTGTATCGCGGATGCTATGTGCATTGAGATCGACAATATGCTGGAATCGCGGCCAGAGCAAATCTAGCAATGCATTCCAATATCTGAAAACAAGAAATAATAATGTAAGCAATTCCTGACAGATATCAAAATGCGAGTGAAAGAAATGAGTATTACAGAAACTGGAAATTAAAATTAAAACGCATTAAAATGAGCATATTTAACTGAATGAATCAATAACAGAGAAAAAATAGGACTTCAGCAACAGAATAATATGACGTCAGCCACACAGCCACACAGGGACGATACCACGGGAAGCAAAGGGCAATGTTTTCTCCATGGCTATTACACGAAGGCCATTATACGTGAGCTATTACATGAAGGCCACTACACGAAGGCAATTACACGAAGGCAATTACACGAAGCCATTATACGTGAGCTATTACACGAAAGCCATTATACGTGAGCTATTACACGAAAGCCATTACACGAAAGCCATTAGACGGAAGCCATTACACGAAAGCCATTACACGAAAGCCATTACACGAAAGCCATTACACGGAAGCCATTACACGAAAGCCACGAAAGCCATTACAAACATCACATGGCCGGAAAATCACATTGAAACTGTGTACAAAAACGAATATAAACGTATAAAAAGTTATCAAAACACTTACTTTTCTAAAACAGGAACCTCTCGCTTTAGCATGATGATTTTGTATCTATGGATGATGTGAATGCAGAGAAAAATGGCAATCGAATCGAAGCATGTCGTCACGTAGCTTTCCATGTGTTTCTGCAACAGACAATTTTCGACATTAGCAATGACGTAAAAGCTCTCTTGTTTATCAGCTTTAAACTCCCCCAATCATTATTATAATTCATGGATGGAAGAGAGAGAGAGTGGCGGACTGGAGAATAATGGACAGAAGGGGCAGTAATGGACTTGGAGTGGCAGTAATTGACAGAGGGGGGAATGGACAGGCGAGTAGTAAGGGCCAAGAGATCCTGTCAACAGGCCAAGCTATACCCTTCAATGGAAAATTTCCTATTTAGTGAAAACACTTACAAAACTCCATTGCTTGAAATAAACTTGATAAAATAGACTTGCAAAACTACCATTTCTTGGATACTTACTCCGAAAAGTGTGACAACTTTTCCCATGACAGCAGTGAACAACTCCTTCGCATTGTTTCCAGTAACCAAGAAGAAATCACACAGAAAAAGATACTCTCGGCAGCAGTTGTCTAGCAGTGCAAAATGCTGGCTTCTGAACAGTGTCTCGAATGAATACTGCGAAAGAAAGAATCCGAGGCTAGATCAAGATTGCTACACACGAGAGTTCAGTAGGGTGATACACGAGAGTTAAGTGGAGCAAAGCTGTAAGTAACAGCGATAAACATATTCAGTTGACAACACAATGAACACTATTGAATTGAAGCAGCTTCCCCTAAATAATTCAAATTGTTGTTCTACGTCAATATTTTTGATGACATAAAAACCATTCCGAAGTTCTCGGCCCAAAATGGTCTCACCCTTTTTTCAGATTTTTGAGCAGCATGAGGGACAATAATTGGTTCTTCCAGTTCACCAGCCAGCACATTCCCGCGGTTACCCAAACTGAAAATAGTTGATCGATTTTTCAATGACTGTTTGTTGGAGAAAAAACCTGAAAATAGGAGAGCAATTACCAGAACATTTCATAACCAAACTTGGTTTGAATTTAAGTTGAAATGTAATACCGAAAAAGTAGAGCAATTGTCCTACGTTTTTACTGCAGATTTACACTTTTGCAAAGCATCGTCCAGACAATTTTGACTCTTTAGACTGATTTCCACTAAGTGCATCTGCATTACAAAGAAACTAAAAACGTCCGTTTCTCTCAAATCGATGATAAAGAACCAATCTAGAACGATAGAGCAGGAACAATACCTCTCTTCGAGCTGTCTTCAAGACCCATGAGGTCGTCCTTATCTGCAACCTCTTCGTACTTGACAAGAAAGAAAAGGAATTCGTTATAAAGATTTAATTGAAAAGCATCTTAATGAAGAATTTCTTTTTATATGGGAAAATGTATGTACCAAGAAGGAAATTTGCAGCTCAACAACACACACTTTCTCCTACTTGAGTTTTGTATATAGAAAAGGATTGAGAAAATGAACTGTCTTTGAGATTGACTAGCAGGAAAAGTGACAATATTCCTATGATAGGCTGATCTAAGTTTAGGCTTTTGAAGTGGCATATTACTCAATAAAAGGCGAAGAATCTGCAAGGAAGCACAACATCCTTTCCAAAGAAGTTTAAACTACTAATTCTCAACAAGTACTTATAGGGAATAAAAGTACTAAATAGACCAAACCCAGAGGCATCCAACGAAGACTGACTGGGGACCATCCCATCCCTTTTAGCCCCAAACCCCAATCATATGTACTGATAGTGTGACACAGACACTGTCAACTCTAAGAAAACATTTCAGCCACATGGAAATTCAGACTACAGGCCTGTAAAACCCCACTAGTTATCATCAAAGAATCTACATCAATTCCAAGCAAATAGTTCAAAATATGTTTATTCTTTTCGCAAAACGCCGTTTTCAGTTTGCGACCAAAAACAAGATTGACAAACAATTCTTATCCATGTTTAAATTTAAGCTTGGTGCTTCCGAAGTTTAATATGCATCCATCCTAAGTTTCATATACATCCGTTCGAAGTTTGAACAGATTGATTTTCAAACACATCTCAAACAAACCTGCAGTTTCATTAACTTGCTAATGTACTCTCTGAAATACGAGAAATAGACTTTGCTCATCGTGTCCACATATTCATCTCGGATCTCCCTCGCAACCTGACGGTGATGTGCCAGTAAAAACTCGTAGAAATATCTGAAACGATAGGCAGCTAAAGGTATAATAATATAATAATAATATAAAAATAAATAATTTGTTTAAAGTTGGCGTACTAAATGAACGTCTGATAGCTATAAAGAAGCTAATTAAGGCCAACAATCTATAAAGAATTAGTATCAAATAAATATATGATACAATTTAAAAATGCTTATGCAACGACTGATATGGTATAGCGTTAAAATGTTTATGCAACGTTAGAATATTAAAAATGTTTATGGTATAATGTTCTAAATAAAACCTAACCCAGCAATCTTTACACAATCTACAGTCGCATTCTATAGGGTAAAGGCGAGGCCAGACACGATTCGCACATAGTTGGAATATATGTCAACAAGGTCAATTCAAGGGGGAAAATCATCAACATGTACCAACGAAAAAGCAAGAAAATTGATTGTTACTTTGTTTAAGTATATCATACCTGTTTTTGAGAAGAGCATTCTGCGGAACTTGGTAATTTGAGAAGGGTTTTCTACATTGGTAGATACGCTGAAGAATAAATTCGCGGAGCTTTGCGACGGCCTATGGGGATGAATATAAAACATAAAATCATGAAGTATATATTCATGAAACCTAATCAAAAACCAGTCAATGCTGTTGAACCGTCACGTCAAATAAAACTCGACAAGACGGGTAGAACCAATTTATATTGTAAATGCAGAAATTTTAACAAAAGCTTAAATTCCTAGCCAGGTTAAGATTAACACAAAGAAATGTTGCAAATCCAAACGAGCTTTCTGCAACTTAAAAGACAAACAGTCAAAGATAACACCAATATTTAATGAATTTAGAATACGTAAGTGGTTTCTTAGTAATATGTTCTTGAAAATTTTAATCTGGTAAAACATGCAACAGACAGGACAGCCAGTGGCTAAAGGCAAAAGCAACCATTTTTGCTTACGTTAGTTTTTAGTTTGTCCAAGGCATCTTTGACATCGTTGCATGCAGCTGATCCTTTGTAACTTTGCTCTTTGAACATTTTGATTTTGTGACTGAGTTCGTGAAGGTTTTCAACAAATTCTTGATCCGTGACAGACAGATCACAAATAGCGCTTGAAAAACATAAAATATAATTAAAAGCATATTCTAAAAAATTGAGTTATCTCAATTTATGCCTGTGTATATAGCCCATAGATGGTACTAAATAGATCTTCCTCTTGAATGAAAGCCCCTCTTGAAGAACCCCCTCTTGTAGAAAACCCCTCTTGTAGAAGCCCCCTCTTGTCGAAGCCCCCTCTTGTAGAAGACCCCTCATGTAGAAGACCCCTCTTGTCGAAGCCCCCTCTTGTAGTAGACCCCTCATGTAGAAGCCCCCTCTTGTCAAAGCCCCCTCTTGTAGAAGACCCTTCATGTAGAAGTCCCCTCTTGTAGAAGCATTCCCATTATATTTTCTTCATTTTATCCATTATTTCAATAGTTTAAATTTAAACGAGGATGTTGACCAAAATAAATATAATGACGTTGAAAATTAAGGTTACGGTAAACGTTTTTGACACGATATTTGGCTTTCTCTCCCCAAAAGCCAAACTATTACCGGAATCAGATTAAACTATACATCATTCGATGCACAAGATTGTGGCAATTTCAACCATATCAAATCAATTGACAATATTGTAAAATGATACTTTCCAGGCAAATTTATTGCCCAAATGAGTGTACCACCTTCAAAAGCTATTTTGTACCCTTGCGTTTGAGGTACAAAATCTGACTTATATCAGCAGAAAGCGCAGATTCTTAGCTACCAAAGGATGTCTCAGATTTTTCAAATTCCTCCTCCCCTTGAAACTTTAACCTGTCAAAAATTGGCAAACAATTTTCCTTCTCTCTCATAGCTATATTTGGCTGTAAAAGACGGACCAGAGCAAATACAAAAAATTTGAGACATGCTTTGCTCACCCGACATCTAACCTGGCCGTGTGCAAAGTTTTGAGCCATTCGATTGGTTTCTTGGGTACAAAATGGCTGTTTCGTACCTGTATGTAGACGACTTGTTAGTCCGGAGAAAACGGGATCTTACTGATCTCGCTTGCACTCGTAAACCACAGTGTAATCCGGGTCAAGTCACTTGAAGTATTCAAGATCGATAAGCCTGTTTAAATAAACACAGCCGTACATTGGATACATGGATGTGCCATGCGATATTGTAAATGAGACATGCGACCACAACCGCAAAGCAAGGATAATCGGTTTAACAGGTCAAGAGATTTTCAGGCCTCAACTAAAAGTTCTGATAAAGAAATTATGGAAACCTTCGTTGACATGAGATTTTCTCCATTTTCAAAATGTCTGTTAGTTTCAAATTTGGCATCATTGTGTGCCTTTAAAGCTCGGCTACTTGAATGTGAAAAAACGTTACCGTAACCTTAATTCATACATATTTTTGTAAACAAAAGAATACTTGTGTAATATTTGGTGATTATATGCCGTTTTTGATGTTGTTTCTTCTTGTACTGCCGTTTTAGAATAACAAAGGTTTGGAAATTATGAATGATAAATTTTATTAATAAATTATCGACCCTTCAAAAGAACAAGCGTCCCTTTAAATTAATAAGAGCATCTGCAGCTTATCGTGTATTGATGGTATTTCTGAGGCATCATAGTTATAAATTTGACGTGCTTTGAAAGCAACGAAACAGGTTTAAAATTGCTTCAAAACGGTATAGGTAAAGCCATGTTTGTCAGCAACTACAGGGCGACAAGCAAAATAAACGGTCAACTTACGTTATCATTGCTTTGGTGACATACATTTCGTCAATAAACTGACTAAGTTCGCCACGGATAGCCTGCGGAAGCAAGAATTATTAAGATTTAACTTTTTAATTAAGCTAAATTCAAGAATTTTAAGGAATAGATATAAATTATAGTAATGTATAAAAAAGTGAATGAAATTCAAATGGGAGGACGTGTCATAACATATATTTGAATATGATGGCTGTCTAGTGCCGGCGGAATGAAATTCAAATGGGAGGACGCTGGTGGCTGGGAGAAACGGGAGACATGTATTTTGATCAAGTCTGCAGCCCCCTAGCCCACCTTGGCGCGCTCCTGGTTGTACTACTGTATCACGACAGGGGTAATGCGACAGGCTTGATGAGGGCCCAAAGGCAAACATCATATGTATAATATATATTGTATGAAAATGTTGACGATCTCTACCAACCTGTCTGTTTTTTAACTTGATATTCATGCTCAGAGACTGTTCTTGCAGTGTTTGAATCTCAGTGCTGATACTCTGTAGGTCCGTCTAAGGGAGAAATGTTACATTTAGACAATGTACAAGACGTATGGTAATACAGCGTTTAAATAATCGTTAAAAGTATGGACCATGTTGCTCCTATTTTGAACGTCAATAGAAACAATGTATCTGTATATATCAAGGCAACGGAATTAACTAAAATTAGTATTTAGCTTTAAACGTCACTTTGTTAATCAACGGTGTACACGCGGTAAGTCGTTCGCTGAGAGGGCCCTAGCATTAGCTTACAATGACAGTTTTTTCTTGCATCAATTTCTGGTAAGCTTTTTGGTAAGCGTCCTTTCTTAAGGTTAATATTGTAATTCTGGGTATTTCAAAATCCTCGATAAATTTCAAAGAATTTGACTACTGGTTTAGCCTGATTATTTTCTCTTTTAAGGGGAATATTTCAGCGTAAAGATATTAGTTTACAAAACTTTATTTTTTCGGATGCCATTTCTGTTTGGGTGTTGCAATACTTTTGTCCTGGTAGTGTATTTTGTAATTTTTGATTCGCATATTGGAAGCTATATTAACATTTAAAAATAACATGATGCAAGAAAATTGACTATTTACTATAAAGGTGCTAGGAAAGGACGGGTTTTGACAATCTGACCAAAGGTAGGGAAAGCCACAAGTGCTTTGTAGTAAAAGTTGCAGGAAAAAATAGGTTAAATGATATTGAGGTTGAGGGCAGGGTTTCGGAAGCATATCAGCATCCAAAACCATACATGGTGGTGCTAAGTTGGAAGATATGAAGCGAAAAGGGTATATTTCTAAAGCAAGATGTTGGATCAATAAACAATAAGGTCATCAGAGCACATTTAGTAAAGCACTTTGAACCAAAGAATACAGGAAAAGCATACCTGAAAACTGCTTAACATACTTTCCATTGTCTATGAAAAAATTAAGCAATTAGTTCTTCTACTAGCTAATATTGGTACATACCCATGTGTTGTAAGTAACAATTTCAATGAGGGAAAATAAATTCATGAAAAGGAGGCCAAGTAAACGTCATAGCAACATCAGCTTGGAACTTAGGGGTGTAGGGATAATAAAGATGCCATCATGAGGTCCAGAAGAAAAGTCCTGCCTGAACTCGCCTGTTTGCAGTAAAACATTTTTGGAACTGGTCGACCTTTAAAGAAAATCTACCAAAAAGGTAAACAAAATATAAGACTCACATTAAAAGGGGGTTAAATATATATATATAATGAAAATAAATCATATTTGTGAACTAGTGACATAGCACAACTTGTCTTTTAATTTATTGGCATGTGCATCATCTCATGGTAGAGCAATATCTTTGATACCCTTTTTCGGACTACTTTGTTACTACTATGCAACTGATTTAAGTTTACTTTAGAAAACCTCAAAGAGATACTTGAATCCAACAGGGTGGATACATTGTTTGTACCAACGAACATCAGTATAAATTGCTGTAGCTAAAATACAAAATTAGATTTTAAAATGTACTTCTAGAAATTCGATTTAAGATGCTTACCTCCAGAATTCCATCACAGTTTTTTATTTGTTTATGCAAGCTTGCAATGTTTTTACTTTCTTTTATATCTAATCTTGTAGTAAAAGAAAACGTTCATCAATTGGCTATTTATTGGCAATTGGTGCCTCATTTAGACTTGAGCCCAAAAACATCTTTAGATTACAGGCTAAAAACCTATCATACCAGCTGTATGGGCTTTCTAAGCCAAATAATTACGTATGTTATTTGCCCATCAATTAAAGCATCCAGTCCTAGTAAAAAGACGCCTCTGAATTGAGCCACTTGTTTTTCATTTGATCACAGTAGTCTCCTGTGATTTTTATACCCATTTTCTAAAAATTACTAGTGGCAAAGTCTTTATTTAAGATCAGTACTTGATGTGATCAGTCTCAGGTCACAAAAATCATGCCTCAGCATATTGAAGTATACACTCTCCTCTTACCATGAGCCTATGATTTCAATTTTCATCCACATTTTCCCATGTTCTTGGGGGGCTGGAGCCCTTCAATAGGTGTCAGAATCTACTATAAATCATTTAGAACAGTGAACTGAACGGGAAGCAATACAATAGGCTGCCATCCCTCCTCCTAATATGAATTTCATTCCAACAAAACTGTACAAAGATAGATGATGCATTCATGGGCAAAAAGCTTATCCAGGGGTCCTTTTATGGGCACAGGCCATGAACCACATTTCTGAGAGAACCCTACTACTAATACAGATACCAAATATCTTATTTGCAAAATCATGCACAACTTATGATGATGTCAAATCTAATCTTAATAAAATACATTGAAAAGCAAGTTACAGAGAAAACAAAATGGTAATGAAATCTACGTTTCCACAGTTTTAACAAAATCTCGAAAGGAATATTAATTGACAGAAAAGGATACAATCTTGTATAGACAGCTTTTCCAAGCCCCTAAGTTCATCTTCAATTTCTTCAGAATACTGCCTCAAATCAGTACCCTAGAAGTAAGGAATTTTGAGAAAATTTTATACATGAAAGCTCAGCTTATGTTAATCAATAAATCAGGAGGAGTCCAAAAACAAGAGTCACAAACATGAGTTTACAAGTGGCAATTCCATGACGTTCAGTATAGATATTGCCCTTTATTAATTTTTTGTATTTAATCTTACTGTTTTTAGAGGTTTTCCATTACATTGTATCAAGGTATTGTACTAAGGTTTATCATACTTACCTTTGCTAGTGCTTGTTGAAAGAATTCATCCTGCATGTGTTTTTGGAGGAAATCTGGTTAAAAAAGTTTGCTCATTGAGAATAATTGACTGGAAGTGAAATGAATGTTGCTTCACACCAATAAAGAACAAAATAATTTGCCAGGTGTAGTCTGGCTTTGGAGACAAAGTGCATATTTTCTTAATTATAACTTAACATCTTTTGACTATGTTAAGAGTGATCCATTTGGTATTTAAAGTTGAATTGCTTTTTTCATCTATACACAGCTTTTCTAACCACTCTGCACTTATTACGTCAACTTACCCAAAAACATTATACATACTCTTTATATAAACTTTGTTTGTGATTTGAGATCTATTTTTTAATACCCACTCAAGTATAACCAAATCAAATGTTAAAGGCTTAAATAAGACAAATCACAGTGAGAAATCTTGTTTATAAACAGCATTTGTTCATTTTGAATATGGGAAAAAATAACTTGAAAGATTAATTCAAGCAAAGGATAGGAAACACAATATAGGTGCATCCAAACTGTGGATACTCATGTACTATACAAATAGTTTCAGTTTCTTGTCATTTCAAAGTTACAATGAATATCATACCATCTAATTCAACAAGGATATTATCATCTTGTGATGTGATGTCAAGATCTTCCAACTCCAATTCTAGTTGAGACTGTTCCTGCTAATAAAATTAAAGTATAAATTTTCAGTTCCACAAATTTGTTGAAAATAAAAAGAGCAGTAGATGGGATTTCAGTCTCTGATGCGAATCTAAATGTGGATAATTTGCATGATCAATAACCTAACAAGAAAAATGCACTAACACAGTATCATAGCATTCCCACTGGAGAAAATCCAGAAATGCGACAGTGTAGCAATGCTTAGTCATATAAAATGAAGTAATGCCTTAGTTGCCATGGGAAAACTAGCATATGCGTGCAGCTATGCCAAATTTTTTGCCTTTGCACCTGTCACATGCTATCAATAAGTCAGGTATATTATACTATAGTCATAAAAGGTTGTTGCTTGTAACTTGAATGACTTAGCTTGTATAGTGTCCTAGCAGCTATGAATAGCCAAAATCATTATTTTCTTTCAATCTGGTCTGTATAGACTCATTTGGTGATGACACATCAATTGAAGCAACTTAAACTGTCATATATACACATTTATACACTCAGTCAGTTATACACTGTTTAGCCTTTAGTTCAAATTAATCAGGACAGTTTTTCTCTGGCTTTGTGCATCTGGCACACAAATTCATGTACTGAACTGGAAGTTTAGGGATCATAGACAAAACCATTTTTCCCAGTTGGAGGAATGGGGCCTTTGGGGGGGGGGCAGCACCTTAAGGCTAAATGCAAGTTCCGTTATCTGGGACAAAAATTATTTGCCCTCGATGACCTTACCTTTGACATTAGCCATTTAAGGAATTGGTTTAGGAATTAATAAAAAACAAGGATGAAAATGAGAGTAAATAAAACATATAATTGTCCCAGACTTACGGTTTTGGACACATTATCTCCATCACTGATAAGTTCGCTGCCAGCTTTGTCTATGCTACCATCGTCAGACCCAAACAGTTCCGCCATTTTGACAGCTTGTCTAACTTAGCCTCTGTTCCGTGCAAACATATCGATGATCAGAGGTGCTATGCTTTCATGGGGGTCCTCAGAATTAAAAGTTACAATGAAAGTAAAAAAAATTGAAATTAATAGTAAACTACCTAAACCTTATAAAAGATCTTACACAGGTAAAAGCGATTACAGTCCTTCATTATAAATCAAAGTTATTCATTCAGTTCTTTAAAAAAAACAATGTGAAGATCTTTGGTAGCATAAAGTTCCCCCTATTTCAAGTATTATAGGTAGGTATTTATTACCCCTCATATTGGAAATGTTCACATTAGTGAGCAAAGTTTTATTTACAAATGAATTCCTGTGCAACTTCCTGCTTTCTTCAAGTGAATATGAATCCCATTTCAAAGTCATTAATTGCTCTTGCATGGAAAGAAACACCAACAATTTTTATGAAATTCTAACAAATCCATAAATGAACGCTTGAAATAGCTTTGAAACCGCCTTGAATATCAAAAAATGATTTTTCAGTGAGAAGCATTTTTAAATCCTGTGATCTTTTCCTTGTCATCTTTTCGATGCTCTTTCTCTGACATAAAAGTCCTAGACATTTAAAAAATTAAAGCATTGCAAAGTGTATGGAACTGAACGAGTTAGCAAAGAATTTCGGAAAGGATCTCATCGTTCCTAAGACATGTCATCTTTGCCAAAAAGAATTGACAGTTGCAAAAATAGCCTGCAAAGACGCAAATTTAATCTCCATTGATGGAGTGTTTCATGGCGTTGCAACGTACTACAAGGAATGTGCAAAATGTGGAATGTGCTATCGATAACAAAAATACAAAGATGGGGTGCATAATTTCAATGACAATCGTCTCCTTGACATTGATCTATGTCAGTTTCTTCGGGAATGTTTGCTGCAGCATTTGTTAATAGGCAGCATTATGAAGGTTCATGAACGTAGATTGGGAAGAGTTTTGGACATCCAATCGATTCTTAATGCTTACCTGCACTTCGACAGTCTTGTCGAAGAAGAAAACGAATTTTGTTGTGTTATATGCGGCTGTTATCCAACAGTCCTGATTATGGATCTCAACAGGAAAGTTGTATTAAATTGTTCTTCGTCAGATCTTGAACTGCCAAGTGGATACGTAGAAGAAAAGAATGATTTGGTCGATGCAGATAGTCTTTGGGAAAAGGTAGAACTGTCCATGATCTTAAAGGGTTTTCCAAACCGTGAAGTTGGATACGTTCACGGAAAGGCCCTTTAATGCATTATACTGAACACAGAAAAAGAAAACAGAAGAACTGGAAATGGATTGTCGAGAGATAACAGAAAAAAAGGCTTCTCGAGATGCTAAACCAGAAAACCTCAAAGCAGATTGAAGCTTTTGCAAGAAATCTTGGTGCTAAACCAAAGAAAGTAAGCAGGAAGTGCTGACGCGAATTCGAGATGTGATATCAAGGGAACGCCATAAATTCGAAAGAGCTTTTAGTAAGCTGTGGGAAAGATTTGGTGGTTGGGTTTCGGCTACGTGTAACCAGGGCATAGTTTATCCGCTATATCTTTACTAAGGGCAGAGAGTCCTCGTGATTATTAGGACCAGGTACGTCGCGAGGCAAGTCTTGTTGGGGGGGGGGGGGTTGTGGACTACAAATTTACCTGATTAACAAATTATTCCCTGATATTCTTTAGTTGCTGTCACAAACTTCTGCAATAAATTTAGTCAATATTACTCTGTATATGATTCGCAACTTTTATTTTTTATATGATAATCACGGACTTTCCTAATAGTTTTGTCCAATCAGCATATCTGGACGGGGAAAGGGCATAGTTGCTACCTGAGGCGGCACCATGGTTGCCGCCGACTCTTTTAAGCAAATTTCACTAAAGCAATCTTACTCCTCCTATTGAAAACTCTTTTTTTGCAAACAAATTGAATAGCAGATAAAAACAACTGGTACAATTTCGCCCTGGTCTTGAAAAATACCACGTTTCTGATTGGCCTATTTCGATCCACAACTGGGTATATAGATTTCCTAGCGTAGAGTTTTCGATCTATGTTCTGACGCTTTAAACTCTGAAGAGTGTCAGACGAAAAACTTTAGTTTACTAAATGTTATGCTTTTTTCAAAGCCATTTTCAAGTTTTATACCACCAAAAGATTAATTGTATAAAGATGGATCAACCTTTGTGAAGTGAGTGACGAAGAAAAGCATTACTTTCTTATCTCATGTATTGAATTAAAACCAAACTGCAAGGATTCGAAAAGCCAATATTTCGAAAATTAAAACTTCGTTAAGTTAAAATAAGAAACCAGTTAAATATACACGAAAAAATTAACTAAACATAAGCGAAATTTTACAATGCTAGGCATTGAACATCAACTGCAGAATTAGTTTTTTAAATATTTGAAATCTAGTAACATAGTTTTTAAGTGATGACGTCACGAAAATAATTTATTATAACTTTTGAATTTGAATCTCATAAACTGAAAGAGCATTATAACATACCTCTGAATGTGCAAAAGAAGTTAAATATGTTACGTTGCAAATTGGCTGACATATGGCCATATGTACACACGTTGTTTCCCCAGCAAACTTCTGTAATTTAGTGTTTATGGACAGAGCGATAATAACAGCAATGCGGTAGCAAATGTCAAATCTTTCATTGGCCCTACCTCACCAGTGCTCTGTTATTTTCAATTGACTTTGCACATTTAGAACTATTTTATGGTAATCTGTTTGTTTATGTGTCAGAAATTTTAAAATTCTATCAAAAGTTTTAATGATGTCATACGTAAAAATTCTAAACACAAATTCTAAGGCATACTTAAAAAGGAGGCCTATCTGAAATCTTTAATCTAAAGTAAGATACAACAAGATTAAACTAAGTAATTATATGAATTTGGGTAATTTGGCTTACCACAATTTAACATTCAATATAACAATAGAAAGAATATAACATTCAGCTTACCATTGTCAATATTTCCAATACGAGCTAAAAGCATTTTTATTATATTACAGCAGTGTCAGAAATACTATAACGAAAATTTCTGATTCAGATTTATCATCATTCAAAAAACAAATTGAAATAAATCTAAGAATAAAGACACATCCACTTACCCAGACCCACCGAGAGGATAGGGGGTTTCCTCAGATTGAGCGAATGCACATTGGGGCATGCGCAAATTGAACTTCCTTATTTGCGAATGCATTACCATTCGCTGAGTAGTTCAACTCAGTTGAACTACTGGGCGACTGGTCGTGGGCGACTGGTTGATTCGATTTCGCCAAGTCGCGCGACCAGAGCGAATCAAGTGGAAACCGGCCTTTAAGGTCTGATGTCATGAAAAACACTGATATTCAAAGATGTTTTTTTAGACTGATAAATAAAATAAAGAGTCTAAATTACTTTGACTAATAGTTTCTTGTTTGCTCAGTAACATGATTTTGTATTTTGATCTCATCAAAACTTTTCAGCTTAAACTTTATGGGTCTGTTGAATTTGTTTTTGATACTTATAGGTGAACTTTAACAACTGCGGATAGACCCACCTACTATAAAAAGTTCAAGTAACCAGCCCCCCCCCCCCACCCTTGTGGGATTCTCATCCGCTTACCCTTCAAAGAAGTCCTTTTCTGGAAGCGGGGAGGTTTTAGGCCTATCTGACAAATCAGCTTTATTGGTCTTAATCAATAATTATTTCTTGATCATAATTAATTACAAGTTGATAACATGGCGGAAGAATCTGCAGCTTTTACTATCGAAATTGTTAATAAATGTGAGAAATTTCTGGATCTATTCATAAGATTAGACTTACATGGATGTATTTGGCAATTGCTAAATGTGACGATGCATTCTAAATCTTGGTATCTTGTTCAAATTCTGGGCCTTCGTCACTCGAACTGTGATTGGTTTCTTCTGATTCGGTGACTTCTTTTAGGTATTGAGTAGGAAATTTATCAGGCAGAAACACTGCAATTACCAACGTGATAAGAGCAATGAACCCAGACAGAACAAAGGAGAAATGATGGTTGAATGGATACCCCAACGTTCCTTCATTCGTTAGCGACCAAGAGTAGAGGGAGCCGAGTACGGTGGGTGCAATTGAGCTGTAAGAAAAATGAAATAATAGGAAAGGATTTTCAACAAAACAGCCCTCACTTGCAGTTCATCTTAAATTTGTTGTCTTGCTAACATCACTGACCCGGGGTTAATATACTACTTCCAAATCACTGTTGCATGCGCGCCCAAATAACGGTTAGTGATTATCATGGAACTAAGTCAAAGTATACCTTTTGTCTTTGAAGCATAGCGATCACAGTTTTTCGTTTGACGATTTAGTAAAAAGGCAAATGTTCAATAACATTTGCATTCATTAATATATTTGCACTTCCATTCAAAAATATTTTCTAATTATCTTTAGTACTTGAAGATTGAGCAATGGTCAGTTACTTGAAGAGGAAGACACGTAGAACATCCCCAAGACAATACAAAAAGTGCGATTAACCAGGGGCAGACACTTGGTCAAATATTGAGGGGGGGGAGGCTATTGTTGTAATGAGGTGGCATCAGATTTTCCATTGTCTTAGAACAAAAAACCATTCCTCTCCAATGTAGTAGGGGCGAACCTCCCCCTCGCCCCCAGGTGTTCGCCACTGCGGGAGTAAGGTTTATATATTCGAAATGCTTACTCAAAATAGTTTGTTGTTTTTACAAACCCCCAGAGAAATTCATTCAAAAAAACAAAGAATTCATTCGTAGAGTGAAGACGTGTTTTATTTGCTCGGTCATAACTTTCATCAATAAATCGAATTTAAATGGCTAGCGATAGCGATAAATCAAATGACAGAGATCACGAGTCATTTCACAATATATTTGAAGCAATCAAAGCAGTAAGGAGAGCAGAGAACAGGTTTGATTATGAAGCATTCATCTCGCACATTTGCACAAAACAAGGCCTAAGGCCAGCCGACGTGGGAAGCACAATCACGAAATTGGAGAAATCACAAAAAATAGTATGCAAAACATATGAAGATGGTCGTCAATCATACTTCATCGTGAAAGAAGACGAGGTGGAGAATAACGAATCAAAAACATCTTCGAACGACGAACTATATGGTGCAAAATCGCACACTGCCCCCACGCCGAAGGCATTTCAATTTCAATTTCTGCGAGTTGCCGAGAATTGAAAATCGTGCTGACTTAATCAGTGCTTTTACTCCCATGGCGAACTCCGTTAATATTCTTTATATTAGCCTTTACTGATTTACGTGTTTTTATTATTGTTCATTCTCGGCGTATTGCGGTGTTTCATATTTGCTACATCTTTATCGACTTTTCGCCGCAAGAACTCCTTGGAGCCCGTCGAGCAGCCTGCTACAGTGGCCTTTTCTTCATTCACACAATATTCTTAATGACTTGATTCAGATCGAGCGTACTAAATCTGAAAAGTTATTGACGGAAAATGTTACACTAAAAACGAAAATTTTTGAATTAGAATCACTTGTCGAAAATATTTTAGGATCGCAATCACCAGCAGCCACCAAAATGACCAGCATTGAGTCACCAAATGTCAAAGACACAAAGAACGTTGAATGGAAGATCAAACCTGGCCAGTCAAATGCAGCAAAACCATCTGCAACGTGCAAAGATCTGGCTTTGACAAATGGGGGAATAAAACGCACAACCAGGACAACAGCCGAACATCACGGAATTCTAAAAAGAGACGTTAAGCAAATTACATTGGCCAAGCACAACGAAAAAACAATCTGATGTTGCCAGTATAATAGATTTAACAATAGAAAAAAACCCACCGACACAGCAGACAAGAGAATTCAAGTATAAAAGTGACTATCGATGGAGATTTCCAACTTTTGAGACTAGACGACAAGAAACTATGCGACCAACATGGTAAAGTCAAAATTCAGGGAAAATCAGGTATGAGGCTCAACCAAATCGTAAAGAGTTCAGGCGAAACGGATAGCGATGGGATTATTGTTCATGTAGGGAAAAACAATCTGAAAACATCCAGCCCAAAAGAGCTGAAGAAAAGGGCGATCACTGTCAACAATCATGCATCTAACGAACTCATGCTGAATGGGTTTGATTTTATAGACAATGATAATATTGTCTACAGCAATCTTGCTCGTGACGCAAATAAATACAGCAGGAGAAAGAAGGTTTGCAAGCAATCTGAGTTGATGATTTACCATTACTGATGGTAGATCATTACATGATTTATGCAGTAGGAAGGGTAAATGCATGGAGACTCGTTACCGAAGGAAACATATTAGCTATAAACCTCGAACATTATAACATATTTTCCAATAGCGTCCAATGTGAAACGGGCTTAAGTATTTACCGTACATGTATATGTTGCATTTTACTATGTCTGTATTATTATAATCTAGTAGTATATGTATATTAGGTATTTGGTACCATTGAGGGGGGGGGGTAGGTACTATCTACTCACTAAATCTAGATTCAATAAGTCTAGATTTCTTTCCGACAAAAAACAGTGCCTCTGTGAAAATTTTTTCAGCCCCCTCCCTTTCTCAATGCCTGTCAGATTAGCGAAAGATGCATCCCAATTCATTGCCCTCCCTATTACACTAGTATACAACTCTTCACTCACTGCAGGTAATTTTCCAGATACTTGGAAGATTGCAAGGGTGACCCCAATTTTCAAATTAGGTGCAAGAGGTGATATGAATAATTACAGGCCTATATCCGTTCTTTCGATATTTGCCAGGATTCTTGAAAAAATAGTTTACGATCAGCTGATTGACTATTTCAAAGAGAATCAACTGCTAAAAAAGAATCAGCATGCGTTTCGTAAGCTACACTCAACTATCACGTCTTTAATAAAAAGTACTGATGAATGGCTTAACAACATTGATTCTCAAAAGATCAATATGACCATGTGGATCACAAAATATTGCTCGAAAAACTTTCTAGATATGGTGTACAGGGCAATGTGTTTAACTGGTTTCGATGTTATATAACCCAATGTAAACAATTTTGCAGAATCAATGGTGAGTTTTCCAAGCCCTTAGGGGTAGCATGTCGCATTCCCCAAGGTTCCTGTCTGGGCCCTTTTCTCTTCATCATATACCTTAATGGCTTTGAAGAATGTTTAAAGTTTTCATCGGCAGGCATGTATGCTGATGATACACACACGACAATAATATCTGAAGACATTAACAAGCTTACCCAAATGATGAATGAGGAATTAGAAAATATTTCTGACTGGATGAGGATCGATAAATTGACACCTTAAAAACTGAGTTTATGCTTATCGGCCATCCACGTAGAATAAATAAAATTGAAACTCTAGCTCCTCTGAAACTTACTGGCACAGAAATAAAGTGAGTGAAAAAACTAAATCTCTAGGTATTATTGTGGACGAGCATCTCACCTGGAAGGAACACTTTTAATCTTTGAAAAGAAACGTAGCAAGTGGTGTGTCTGCGATTAAAACTGAAGCACATTCTTCCACAATCTAAACTATGTGAGGTTTATCAAGCGCTGGTTGAAAGTCACCTCTGATACGTGAATGTTGTCTGAGGTAGCCTGCCAAATACGAAGCTACAAACGCTTCAGCGTCTACAGGACAGGGCATTCTCAATTATTGAAAATGCCAAACGAAAGAACCCCTGGACCAGGGATTAGCTAAGCGTTGATCAGATCATCTCTTTTGATAGATCGATCATGACACACAAAATAGTTAATAAGCAGTGCCCTAAGAGCCTCTGGAACAAGTATAATCAGAGGATTGAATATTCCAGTTATAGCACAAGAAACAATAGAAATCTCAACATCCCAAAATTTAAGCTTGAGAGTTCAAAAAAAGGATTCTACCTCTCTGGGCTTAAAGCTTGGAACGAAATACCCATAGAACTAAGGGAGATCCTTTCGCTCTATCAACTTAAATGAAAATCAAAAGCTTATTTAAAGAGCTCAGGAAACCCGAATTAAAACACGACTACCTGGAAGATCAGACGTCAAATTCAATTCACTCATATTATCAAATAATTTCTTTTAAATTTTTGCCTTCCATCACTAGTTTTTATGAAACTTATCATAACTTGTACTTAGGTGTCTGATAGGATATCGCGTTGAAATAAAAAATTTAATAGAAAAATGAAAAAAAAGAATTAGGGCTCGAAATAACAATCCATGGTCTAAGGCCACCGCTCGACGGCCTGGGATTGACGCTCTTTACTAGCAAAATGATAATATAATTACCGGAAGACACATGACGCTGTCATTCCCAGTCCATTGACCAGGCCCATGTACTTTGGGTCAGCAGCACAAATGAGTATTATATTGATTGCCATTAAGCAGCAGGCGAATGTTAACCTCACGATAAACAAAACCGGAACAAGCGCGTACCATACATATCTGCGAAGAATAAAATACGATATCAGACAAACATAGCTTTCTGCACCAAATCAAGGCAGCGAAAAGCATTAAAGACACACGACGGATATGAAAGTAGTGTAAGGCAGGGCCTGGGCAGGCTACAAATAGATAACCAGTCAGGATAAGTCTGAGGGGCAATCCATTTTTGCAATTAGCAAACGAGAGGCATGTGAATTCATGATTGGTCCAAACTCACTGATTGGTCAATGATTGACGGACAGGTGACTTTAGTATCTGGTGATTGCCTTTAGGAGTGGTTATAAGAAAAAAAAATTGTACTGTAGTATCCTTGGCGTTTTCCTGACCATTGATAGATTTGTATTGAAAGGAGGGATAAGAACAAATAGACAAACCTGAACGGTATATAGCCAATAAATGCAAAAAGTGGCAAGCCGAACACGAGCAGATACAACCCAGCAATCAACAACTGCAAGAAAATAAAACAGACTTTAAAAACGAAAAGCACCGCTCAGGTGTGGAGGTTTAGTGGATTCTAAACACATTTTCAGCAATTTGAATGTTCTCTTTGTTTCATGCGTCTACTTTCTCATTATTTGATCTTGCGGAAATTTGGACAGAAATCTCGATCAACCTGAAAATGATTTTAGCGACAGTGGACTTCGAATAAAGTTTAATGAAATCTTTGCTTTATCTTGTTTCATGCGTAGAGAAATTTCGGAGTAAAGCAAAAACATTCATGGTGGTTAGATGGCACATTTTTCATTCAATGTAGAAAATACATAGGTGGAGATTAAACTTGTTGAAGCTAAGTTTAAAAATGAGTATAAGATAAGTTTAAAAATGAAAATAACATAAATATATTGTGACTACATCTTCACTCTTCATTTTTGCTCAAACTTCTCACCTTTTTGGCACCAAATCTCCGTTCGAGCTGCAAACATCGAAAGGAATTGCATCAGTCTTAATAAAATTATTACGTCAGGAAATTACATCAGTTTCCTACCATTTCTTAAACATCTATAAAAATCATAATGAAAGATGCCATCGTTTTTTTAAATGCAGAGGCTGAGCAGAAAGTGAGCTGGAAATTTCAAGATTTTGTCTGGAAAGTTTTCAAAAAGTTTGATTTTTCACTATCCGTCTTTAACACTTATAGACATGCGACAGCTTAGCTTGAAGGGTAATGACATGAGGCAAGCAAAAAATTCTAACTAGTCGTGGATCGAAAGTAATATGAGAGGAAGAATGGTATTAGATTGGTTCTTTGCTTTTGACCAATCGGTGACAGGTAACTTCCCACTTTGGTTAAGAGTCCATGAGAGAAAACGAACTCTTTCTGTCTAGGCAAGTCCAGATCCTTTGTTTTGATGTACACAGGTTCCAAAATATCTAAAAGAAAAGACAATCTTGCTTGCCCAGTGATTCCGAAATTTTCATCTCTAAACGTTTTGGCACACTGGATTCTTGAGCAAATTATGATATATATGGCCGAATCGCACTATATTTGGATATTCTGACATCTGCAAACATGTCCAGCAGTAATACATATCAATTTTGCAATAAAAACGTTCCTTGAAAACGTAACGTCACTTCGAAACTGTACGATACAATCTTTCATCTCATTTCGTGCACTATTCCCATCATCAGTTACCCAACCAAACATAAAGTAAGGACAGTACAGAATAAGAAGTTTGACATACCCTTGCAATGACGAAAACCAAAACAACCATAGGTGCGGCTGCAATGAGAATGGCTGTCCCTATCTGATCCGACGCAAAGTTCAGGCCACCTTGAAGGGAAGATAACTGTCAAAATTTTACAAAAACGAGCGCGTTCATTTTTCCTGGTGTATTCATTCAATATAATTTTCTGACATTGTTGATTTTATTCTGTGGTTACTCCTAAAAAATAATCCAGGATAATTACATCATGGGAATAAGTTCTGTGATTGACAGTATAGATTCTATATCATTTATTTCATTTCATTTCAAATGTTTAAGGGGAGTAGCCCTTCAGCAATGCTGATTTTCAAGAAACCCTCCACTAAAAACAACTCACAGAAACTCTAATAGATTTAAAAACAAATCAACCTAATTACAATTAAATATATAAAATTTATAATAAACTCTAATTCAATTATTTCAAAATATGGCCACAATTAAAGGCCGAATGGTAAACGCCAATTTACAATTGCGCAAGTTATTTTGTGACTTATATCCTGTTGATTCCTCTTATGAAGCTGATGCATAAGGAAATACAAATTGACAAAGAGGTCTCCGATTAACACAAAAAGTTATATATTTTTTATTTTGAGGTCCCAAGGTCTTTCTGGCACCCGTCCACATGTTGTATCGAGTAAGGCACTTAGAGCTCGTGACAAGACGTGTCTGCCAACAGAGGAGCATTTATTTTTACAAACTCGAGTTTAAAGAGAAACAAAAATTGTGACACTTTACCGTAAATCTTAGACGAGTCTGCGTAGACAGGAAATGTTTCATTAAACCCAGTTGAAATAAAAGAGAAAACAGCATAGAGCGCCAAAGATAGCTGCACGTTTCTTATCCTGGAAACAAAACAGGCCTAGATTAGTTTATAAACGAAACATAAATAAAACATACTAGAAATAAATGACAAACAAAACGTTCACTTATGTCTGTATGAACTTAAAAGACTTTATTATGATTTTAAAAGTTTTAAAAGTTTATTTATCATTTTAAAAGCTTACGACTTTAATTTCATGTGAAATATGACATGTCTTGGCTACGACAAAAATCGATATAAAGAAAACTGTTCAGTTATTAAGACAGCTACCCTTTTAAAAAAGATATCTCATGAAAGAATTATAAAACTACAAACAAATAACAACAAGAAATGCTAATACAATCTTCAGATTGCTATGATTCGCAGAATTTTTTCGAATCGAAAAAGGTTCAATCCAAACAAACAAATCACAGTCCTACTTTGTCGCCAGGAAATTTGTCATTTTGTAAAGTGGACAAGAATTGTTTTCGTTGTGACAAAGAGCATAACAAGAGCTAACAGAGCATACCAAAAATAATACCAAATCATGCAACAGCATATATAAAAGGCTGGCAATGTCATTCTGATTTCTGACTCACAGGTCTTTTCCAATGTATTTGCAATGATCTATTTCACAAAGGTGGTTTTTTTGTTTTGGGCAAAAGAGTTCGTATCGTGGCAATCCAGCTATTCTTCAAGGTAGTTAGCCAAATGATTTTTCTACACAATGACTATTGAAGTAAATAAGATTATTATAAAATAGTCGTTAAGTGGGAAATTGAAAGGGAAAGATTTATCATACTTTATGAGTTGCCATAACGACGACTCTTTCAAGCCTCGGCAACATGTTGAGGCTGGACGTGTCTGCACCATGACACAATCGCATTCGATTTGAAAATGGGAAACAGTAGTCTTTGCATTGTTTGAATCCTTCTCATGCTCCGCTTCTTTGTTGGGGTGTACAGCAAAGACAGTGTAGGATTCTTTTGCAACAATTTTATCATATGTATACATATGCAAATATTTTCTTGATCTACGAGATTGTCCTTCAATTGATTTACTTCCACTGTCATTAAGCAACAATGTCTTTTCATTAGCCTTCTCTCTGAAAAAAACCCGATAAACATTAGGTAACTTGAAAAAAGAGCTCATTTCGAAACACGAAAGCAAATCATGAAGTGTTAATTGCATATTATTAAATAATGAAGAATTTAAATAGAAACAAAAAATAAGTAGGAATATAATGGAAATTGCTGTCCAATTCTCCGTTATGATGTCAAGCTCTCTGTAATTCGAGGCGAAGGAATCACGAGGTGTGGTCACATCGAGAGGAAGGACCTGGACACTGCTCGATAGGCATGAATTCGCAGTGTCCTATGACATACCTTTGAATGTTAGGTAGAAACACATGCAAATAGGTAGGGAATGTACACGTGTAATATGGTCATCAGGCAACTTTATTCTGAGAATACGATTAAATATTATTATGTTAGATTATAACTGACATCTTTGAAATCCACTTTATACAAAATTAATCTTTCTTGAAAAAATTAGACGCTTAGAAACTAGTTTTCTTTTTACGTCATTTGAATTTCACGTAATTTATTCCTGATATGAAAAAAATTTCGATTACCTTTTAAGAGTCTCTGGAATTTTGACTATGGTCAGAAACAAGGATATGACCAACATAACGAAAGTTATAAATACTGGTAGAAGATATGGGAATTTTCCAAATAGAGAATCTAAAAAAAAGTTCAAAATGTAATTTTCTGAAAATGCAGACCACATGTTGTGCATATATTACATGTGACCAATTGCCAAATCTTGGAACGAGGATATCATTGCGATGAATTAAATGAAAAGAACTCGTCTAGGTAGCTACCTAAAACACAACTTAGGTTGAGAGAACGTGAATAAAAATAAAAGATTGTACTAAATTTCACTGAAAGATGTAGCTACTTAGAAAGATGTAGCTACTTAGAAAAACTGTGACACAGGTTAAAGAGTTCTAATACCAGAATTGCTCTTAACGAAGATCCTCTGTTAGATAGAAGCACTCAAAACAAATGCGATTTTTCAATTGTAATAAATATGTTAGATTTAATATTCGAAATATTTAGAAACGGTAATGATATGAATCAGAAAACAAATAAATGCTACAAAAATACCTTTGGAGAAAGTTGCTGGAAAAGACTCGGCCGGAAAAACTAAAAACCCTACAAAGAAAATAGGAGGAGAAATAGTAGAGATAAGGATAAAAGGTCTCTGAATTTAATAAATGAATATATGGTCTATAGTCTAAATAAAATGAAGGAAAGAATTTAGCCCAGCCCAGCCCAGCCCAGCCCAGCCCAGCCCAGCCCAGCCCAGCCCAGCCCAGCCCAGCCCAGCCCAGCCAGCCCAGCCCAGCCCAGCCCAGCCCAGCCAGCCCCACCCAGCCAGCCCAGCCAGCAGCCCAGCCCAGCCCAGCCCGCCCAGCCCAGCCCAGCCCAGCCCAGCCCAGCCCAGCCCAGCCCAGCCCAGCCCAGCCAGCCAGCCCAGCCCAAGCACCCAGCCCAGCCCAGCCCCAGCCCAGCCCAGCCCCAGCCCCCCAGCCCAGCCCAGCCCAGCCCAGCCCAGCCCAGCCAGCCCAGCCCAGCCAGCCAGCCCAGCCCAGCCCAGCCCAGCCCAGCCCAGCCCAGCCTAACCCGCTTTTATCAATGATGGAACAAAGAAGGACATACCTCCTACAGCTGGGCCAACTATCGAACCAATCTGACAAGAGCTTATTATTATTGCCATTCCAAGACTCTGAAAAAAAGACAAGAGTTTATGATAGGATGCATAGTAGTGACAAAGATTAGAATAATTTGTAATGAAATTAACAACATGAAAAATTATATTTTGTGTATACATTGATCAAATTTTACAATTTTGAGGATACAATTTTGAGTATTATTTAGGTCTATTCAAGTTTCCGACTTCTCTGACAGTGGCAAGAATAGGCTCAAGAACGAGAGAAGATAGGCCTATTGAGAAGGTCTTCCGTCTCTTGATCATCGTCTCTTGATTACACCTTGTGATTTCTACATTGAGTATTATCGAGCGTGCAGCTTACGATCATGTCGATGCAACAGTAAAGGTGAAATCTGATCGACATTTTACAATTAACGAAACAGTTACAATCCTTTACGAAGCCTTGCTAAACCCCATGGACCCGAGCTTATGTCTTTTTAAAGAAGACACCGATGCTACAAAACTTTATCTATATGGTCCATTATAGGGGGCTTTCCCAAGGGGGCTTTACCACGGGACTTTCTCAGGGGGCCGGGGCTGCTAGTTATTCCTATGCAAAATACAACTACTGGAAATAGTCTCAGGCCCTAAGGCAAAATCTACCTCCATTTTAACGGCGTTGGTTCACAGAAAGCTGCCTTAGAAGAGATTGGAAAAAATGTTTTTGATTTTCAGGGAACGATATTCATTTCATTTATTCATTTCAAATATTTAAGAAGGGTAGCCCTTCAGCAATGCTGATTTTCAAGGGTCCCTCCACTTAAAATACTTACAGAAATTCTTATAAAAAACAAATTATCCTAATTACAATTCAATATTTACAATTTAAAATAAATCCTATTTCAACTTGAATTTAATTTTACTACAAATATCTATAACGAAAGGCGAAATGGAAATTTCCAATATACAATTTACAATTACGCCTATTTACAGTTTCGCAGGATTTTTTTGAAGTTGGTCAAATAAGATGCCTGTTTACACTCAGCTGAAAGGCCATTTACCTTAACACCGTTTACCTTGGAATATTGCTTCCGGTATGATTTAAACCATATGTAAAGGTATGATTTAAACCATTCTAACGGCTGTTGCTGAATACCATAAAACTCTAGCTTTTTGCATAGTATGCCATGGTCAACTGTGTCAAATGCCTTTTTCAGGTCAATAAAAACTAGTCCTACTAGCTTCCCCAAATCTAGTCCTTTATACCAGTCATCAGTGTTTTTAAGCAAACATGTTACGGTAGAGTGAAGTTTACGAAAGCCAGACTGTTCTGGGGATAAATATCCATTATCACTCATGTGCTGGTACAATTGGTTAATCACAAGTCTTTCGAAGAGCCTTGAGATGACAGGTAAAACTGATATAGGGCGATAGTTAGACTTATCAGTTTTGTCTCCTTCTTTAAAAATTGGGGTAACTCTGGCCAATTTCCATGAATCTGGAAAAATGTTAGTTTCAAGTGATATATTGAAAAAACAGGCCAAAGCATTCTCAATGTTAGGTAAGGCCAGTTTTAGAAAATAGCAGGAGATATTGTCATTCCCAAATCTCTTTAAAGACTTGGTTTAGGAAATCGTATTCCTAATTTCCTGCACTTCTACCAACCTAAACTTGAACTTGACATTGTCATTAGTATTATCGAAGTTCCCAGATAGAAGAGGGTTAGGAACAGTTTCTATTTTGCTGGTTAAGTTTACACCAATTGTACAGAAAAAACGATTTATTGTGTTTGAGATTTCTTTTTTGTTAATAATTGCATTACCTGAATCTTCGATACAATCAAAATTGCTAGATTTTAATCTTTTGTTCAGGAGTTCATTGATTGTTTTCCAAGTTTCCTTCATGTTTCCTTGATATTCAAACATTTTGTAGCAAAATGTTGCTTTTTAAGCTGGATATTAAGAGAATTAGCTTCATTTCGAGCTTGTTTGTATGAATCCATAATACTAGGTGATTTACTTTTAAGAGCAGCTTTTTACAATCTATCCCTGTTAATCATCAGAGTGTTTGTCAATCCAGGGGCAGTATTTTTCTTAAACGCGCATTTCCCTTAGAGGAGCATGTTTTTCAAAGGGGGAAAAACAAAGCTGTCCAAGCATTGGCAAGTGTATTTACATTATTGCTCATTTGGAACATATGCTCCCAACGTTTGTTAGAGACATCGGACAGGAAATCTTGCTCTTCAAAGTTTTTCATGCTTCGAGTTTTTATCTGTTTATGGTCCTTTTTTACTGCGCCGTCAAATTTACGAATACAGTAAACCATAAAATGATCACTTAGAGAAACTTCATGAACCCCTGATTCAACAATGTTTCCAGTACACGTCGTGGCAATGTGACCAATGATTGTTGCTGTTTCAAGGGTGATCCTTGTTGGCTCCTCCACAACCTGTTTCAAACTAAACAGTTCATATAAATTTACCATGTGCTTAGCATTGTTATCTTTGAACTGATGGTTCATTTTCTTTGCGAAATCACAATTTGTGTCGCCCAGGAGAATCATTTCCTTCGCTTCCCTATCTAAGTAGCCAAGGACTTTTTCAACCCTATCAAAGGAGCCAACGAGGCACCCAGGTGGTCGATACCATGCAATAACCAGAAAAGGCTTGCTTTTGGGGGCTCAATTTCTATGCAGATGTGTTTAAAATTGATTGAATTTTTGACATAAATGGATACTCCCCCACCATGGCATGTTCTAACACTACGTGGCCTGTTTTAATTTAATGCCAAAATGTAAATTCCTAACCTCTTTTTTGAATCCTAAATGCTGGTGACCTGGGGCCACACTGATAGGTGCCTTGACAATTTCTTTGCAGATTTCGAAACTGCTTGCATCTTCCCTGAGCGACTCATTTTCAAGTAGTTAATTAAACTTAAGGTGATTCGTTATATTACGAGCAAACAATCGATTTCCCTCAGGGTTGAGATGCATACCATCACTTAGCAAATGTTTGAAGCCAATATTGCCGTGAGGAATGTAATCCCAGCCCTGAGTTAAGCAATATTTTTTAATGAGATCATTGGTTTCAACAATTTTGATATTTAATGAAGGGTTGTACCTCTGATATAAAATTGTTGATATCGCAGTGTTTGCATCTGTGTTTTCATTATGCAGATACTTGCAGGCGTCATCAATGTTACTGATGATGGATTTTGTTGGTATTCCTTTGGAAAAACCGTTGCTCCCAATGTGAATAATGATCTCTTCAGTTGTTTCAGTTACGTTTATGATCGTTTTTCCATGTCTTTTTATCAGCTGACTGCTTGTAGCACCACCGAGACCTGCGACGACGGTGTTGTTCAGCTTTGTGCTATCTAATCGCTTTATGTGTGAATCACCAAGCAGGAGGACTTTCTTGATTATTGCTTTTCTTTCTTATTCCTCTTGGCATTAGCAGTTGTTGTTAACTTAATGCTACCATTATCAAAGTGGATTGCATTTTTAGAATCGCAACCCTTGTGTGCTTGAGCCCTGGCAAAACGATAAAACATTTCACTAAACATTTCACTCAACTTTTGTTTAGTCAAAAGTTTAGTAAAAAGTTTAGTCGTTTTGCCTACCTGTTTAGTGTTGTTTAGTCGTGTTGAGTGTTGTTGAGCTAAGTTTGATCCTGGACAAAAATGTTTAGCGTTGTTTAGTGCTGTTTAGCAAATGTTTAGTCGTTTTGCCATCAATTAAACATTTGTTGTGATCGTGCAAGCGCACTAGCTGTGGAAATCCAAAGGTTTTCGTCTGTTTTCGTAGGTTTTCCTGTCTCTACGTGACCCAAAATGCCTTTGTGAGACATCTGCATATCTCGTTGTACGCTACTGTGTCTTCTTCAACAACAGTCAACTTTGTTGTTAATGTGCTAGAAAGTCTTTTCTTTCCCCCTCGCTTCAACCACTTCTTATTTTTATCCACTTCTTGTGCATGAACAAAATAAACCAAAAGCAAATTCCTATGCAAGATCCCCAATAACCCAACAGCGTCATAGACAGCTTGCAGCTCAAAATGTTTAGTCGTTTTGCCAGGGCTTTACTCTTGGTCTCTTTACCACCAACATCAAGATTTGTTTGCTTATCATTGCCGTTGGTTCTACTTCCTTGCTTATCAACTATGCGTCTGCTCTTGGCTTTGTCAAAGTTTGCACTTCGCTTTTTAATGCTTTCAATCCACTGTTCTTGGAAAGTGGGCATTGGCTTACTACCCACCGTTTTAATGCTCGTGGTAATTTCAGCCACACGGCTGTTGTTATTGTCTTTCTCTTGCTAGCTGTTTGTATTGAAAAGCTTTCTTCTGTGTTCTTAGCAATGATGGAGTAACTATCCTCTTGAGTAGATCTTTTATTTTGCCGAGTAGATCTTTCGGACGATTTCAGGCTCTGATTTTCGATTCTGAAATTGAGAATTTCTCCTCTTAATACATCGTTAGTTTGGCGCTCCGAATCCAACTGTGAGTTTAGGCGCCTTATATCCTCAGTTATTTTTTCAAATATCCTCAAAACGGCAAAAAAATCAGACAATAAATTATACTGAAATTGTTTCGATGTCGGTGTTGCGGGTACGTCGACTAGATCTAAGAATGCAGAACTTTCTTCCCTGCTATCGCCAACCTCCTCACTGTTTGTTTCATCTCCAAGATTCTCAGTGTTGAAAATGAAAAACGATTTTTTACCATCGGTTGTTGATTTACTATAAACTGAGCCACTTTCGACAAGATACTCAAATGATGATCGAATATCAGTTTCACTCAGGACGGATCTGGCCACGGCCGTTCGAATGATAAGCTCGGAGTCAGGACGTTTCCTCTTGTCTACGCGAATGTGGCCTATGGCATCATGAATAATCTTTTCATATTCTATTTTTACTTTCATTGCGTCGTATTTAGTAGCTATTCAAACAAACGAAGTTGACTTTTTCTCATTTAGGCCATAAAGCGCTTTAAATACACATCCATTCGCAGCAAGTAGCTACTAAGCAAATCAAATCACTCTTACATCTTGGCGATCAAAAATACATGACTTAGCCAATGAGTAGTCCAGTGAATTTTAGTAAGGTTTGAAGCTAACAGGACGAAAAAGTGCAGAAGAGAAATACAATGTAGCTCAAATTGATTCCTTACGCTGTTGGTCTCATCACAAAGGGCGAAAATCGTCGCCTTCAGAGCTATGATCAGTCCACCACACAATCCTTGAAGGAACCGAGTTATCAAGGCCCAAGCATAAGACTGGCTAAAGCCAAACATAAGAGTGCAGAGGGCGATGAGACTAGTTGATATTGCCAGTGAATGTTTGCGTCCAATTCGATCACATAGCCAACCCCACAAAAAACTACAAATAAGAAAAGAAGAAATCTCATAATATCTGTACTGTATAAACTGTTTAACCGAGAATACGCTATTACAGGGTGATTTCAATAAAGCAAAAATATTCACACGCCTGCACACCAGCAATCCTCATAAGGACTGCCAGATCCCTAGATGCAAATATTACGAATGGTCAATAATGGCGCCAAAAGCCCTGTTTTCACTACACAAACTAACCTGGGTTCGCCCTAGGTTAAAAGTAACCCGCGTCTGAGCCCTGATGCATTTACACTGGAAACTATCGACTTTGTAGTGTAAACGGAATCAAGGGCGAACCTGGGTTAGTTTGATATCGACGCATGCGTAACAAAGACAAATTGAAGGTGAGCATAAACAAAATGGCGGCAGTCGACGTGTATTGTGTTTGTGAACTTTACAAAAGTTTAAATGAATGTTTGTAAAACAAAAAGATAAAACTTTAAAGAGACATGACGTCAAGAGTTTCAAAACTAACACTTAAATATCATACCTTCCTAATGATCTTCCTACAAAAAGTGATGAAGCGACAATTCCGACATAATTACCTAAGAAAGAAAATTGAAGGGTTGAATCGAAATTAAAGAAAAAGAAACTAGCAAAAATAATCAGTTTAGGTTCAATTATTACAATACACAGAGACATTCAATCCGCTAATTTGAAGATTCAGTATCTAAAACACTTCTTAATTTTATAGAAAATAATGAGTTTCTATTCATTTAAAGGAAAAAACCGGACTAAACAACATTCGATTTCAAATTGATGAATTTATTCAACAAAAGGACTCACTTAAATTTCAAGGAACTGAAAAATATCAATGACAGTTATGTCGACCATAAGACTAATTCCTCAGAAAACCTAATCTGTTCGTTTGCTTGGTATTGTTGTGGCGAATTTATGAGTTCTTGAATTTGTGATCAAACAAAGCCGAGAATTATATTGTACGACATGGAAAACTAGAAAACAAAAATACATCAAGCTTGGAGAAAGCGAGCATTAGCAACGGATTTGCAAGACGAAGGTGTGGGGTCGTGGCACCCCCAATTATTTTTGTGTCTAATTTTGTTTGGTTGAGTAAAAAACAACCCAGGGGGCACTAGAATATTTTTAGGACAAGGGTGCTCAGGTTCCTTTTGATTCTAAAATTTAGGCACAAGTTTGTGGTAGTTTGAACGATAGTTGGGGTGGGTAGTTTGTAATTGTATTTTATTGAATCAGTCAATTGTACTATGACATTTTTTGGTTCGCGAAATTTTGCCTTATTTTTTGGGGGTCTGAAATAATGGAACGCACTCCCCATCCGGACTTCATACACAAAAATTTAACACTGGCACTAAAGCACTAAATGCATTAAAAAACGATCCTCTCTTTAAAAATGTGACAAATAAAAAACACCTTAAGCGTACATTTTCCAATAAGGCTTTTGATTCTTATTAAACAATCCTATTTCCCCAAACTATCCTTCAGCGTTTCTGACAGCAGCTATTTCTTCCTTTATAGCAGTTGTATTTAAGAACTGTTAACCTCAGTTGGTATGTCTGGATCGGCCCGATCGGCCAGGTAGGGGTCTATGAATTAGCTCTGCTATAGGATCCCTTCCCAACCATTTGGTTCTTTTTTAAAATTTTCAATTTCATCTATTTAATGACTTGGTATCATAGTTTATGGTAAACCTAGTCCAATTCATGTACTCGTTTCTTTATTTTTTTATCAATCATAACTTAAATTGTAATTCTTGTTGGTTGAAATGAAAGCTCTTATGTCTTATGTCTTATGTCTTATGTCTTATGTCCATCCATGCTTAAAGAGCCAAGGGCTTTTGAATCTTTTAAAAATGATAGTCTATTAATTTTACCTATTTCCTTTTCTTTAATGCCAAAATCCTGTGAAAAGAATTGAGAGATAACGAAAAGTTCAAAGAATGAATAGCTACAAAAATAATAAAAAGTTCACAGAACGAATATTTAAAGATATGAGAATTCTAACTGCTTTTGCAAAGTAGATACAGATGCAGGTATCACAGATGAGTATAAACAGAGTCAACGTTACAACAGACAGAGACACTTAAAATTACATATTCCTGTTCATAAATAATTAGTTCATAAATAAGACAGTTATCGTCAATATTATCATTTTATGTTACTCACTCTCATCATTCTCGGTAAAAATGAGAATGGCATTGTGGTATTCATGGCATTTCCAAGCTGAAATGTAGAGAAAGAAGACTTTCGATTAAATATTTTGGCTCAAAAAGTGAAAATGAAAATGAGATGTTTTTCCAACTAATTATCTTTATTCACAGCCTTCCTGCAAACACCATGGCTCAACCATGGTTGACAATGGTTAGGCAATGGAATGACTATGGTTAACCCTTGTGGAGACACGGATTTTCAATGGGACCCATTGCTCAACTATTGCTGAACCATGTCCAAAATTTCAAACTTTCGAACTTTAATTTTTCATAAATTTGCTTGAGCAATTATCTAAAATTGGAATGTCCTGGCTATTTCAAAAAGTTTTGCAATTTTAATTTCTTTTTCAGTTCAAACCATGGTAAGACCGTGGCCAAACCACGGCGAGACAGATTGCCTTTAACCACAGCTCAACCAATATGTTTCAACCATGGCTTTCCATGGTTAGACCTTGGCAAATTTTCATTTTGGCAATTTAGGTCAAATTTACTCATCATTGATAATAGTAAAACAAACTTGCAACAAATCAATGCAACGATTTTTGCCCTTTGTGATGAGACCAAGATAGCCACTTTACAAAACAAATATAAGTTTGTCTTTCCCTCAATAAGAAATCTAGAGGCATAGAAGCAAAAGCATATTAGTGGATACGCACACTGCAGACGAAGATTGTAAACACAACGACAGGGTCTATGGGTGTCTGTCCTGGTGGTGAAAAGGCATGTTTCAGCCTTGTCCAAAGGCTTCGCAGACACTCCATTTTGCTATATAGGTGCTGGTGAACAGTAGTTTGATCTAAGAGAAAAAAGATACACAGATTATGCAATGCAAAATTCCGTTTCCCAAAAGTAAGTGCATTCAATATGATAGAGTGCACTGGTGAACATGAAAGACTTTAGGCCCTGCCCTATTCTATTGTCAGAAAACCATTTTCTACCACACCCTTGACTAATCTTTGAGGTATAATGTAGTTCCAGTCACAATTCATTAAAAAAAAAAATAGTTTTTCTTTAATATACTACCTTTCATTCAACATCATCTATGCAATCAAAATGATTTACAAAAGCTTATTCGGCTGAGAACTGGCAGACTTGTAACCCCAAGTCGCCCCTCCCTCATTAAGCCTGCCAAAAATTAAGACAAACTGAAAATCTCAGCTTAAAATTTCAATGGATTATAACATTGTTGATAAAAGATAATGACATGAAATTTTAATAGAAAAGATAAATACACCAGAAACAGATAAATCAACTGGTTAGATTTCATATATTGCCAAATATAACAAATTGTAATAACGTACCATGATATAAATAGATATATAGGTTGGGCCTTAATATAGGTTGGGCCTTAATATAGGTTGGGCCTTAAATGCGGCCTTAACAGAAATAAAGGTTGGGCCTTGAATGCGGCCTTAAGTTTTGTTAGTCTTGTAAAAACAAATTGACTAAATAAAACCCGAGTTTTCATACAAAAAACAGCAGGTCATTTAACTACAGTGAAAAGCTCCATCCAAAACATGTACAAATCCTAATGCCATTGCGGCAATTAAAGTGTCTTTTTGAACCATAACCAATGCTAAGTCTTTGTTTGCACCCATAAAATTCTAATCCATTGTTACAAATTTCTAGTTACTCTTTATATATTGCTGCAATATAAAAATATATTTTTTCAAGGCTCATTCTATAAAATTTTCAGAATAGTATAAAAACTCGAAGAAAACACTTTGGCAAGACATTTTGCTTTCCCTTCATCAGTAATAACCTGACCATATATTTCTGCTATATATTTCTTATAACAGGACAGGTATTAGAGAAATGCACCCAATCGTATATATAGAAATCTTAATCGATCTAAAACATGTAAATTATGGATAGAAAAAAGTATAGAATATCTTACAGCGGCAATAAACCGAATAACTGGAATATAAATTGAAAGCGAGGATAGAATAAAATAAAACCTACTTAGTTATGGCGATGTCTCTAAATATCGGCGAGACCCTATAAGGGGTATTTGAAATATGAAATAATTGAGATTCTCGGGATGAAAATAAAAATAATTAGGTTTTTTAGTCTTGAAATACTTTGGTTCCCAGTACGAAATATGGAATAACAAAATAACTGAATACCTTTTTAGATGTTGTGTGAGAATTATCTATTTGATAACAGCATTGACTCAAGTGACTATTGATCTGTAGATCTGTTAAGATACCATGTTACGCTTGGGTTGTTCTTTTAAATATTGCAACCTTTTTGTGGGGTTTCAAAGGCTTTTCATACTTCACGTTTAGTAAAAATACCTGATTGTTCCACGCATACATACTATGAATGCTCTATAAGACCACTTAACCACAGTTTTGTAAACCATTCAAGTTGCAGGATTGATTTGTTGACAATAATATTTAAAAATATATTGTTCATTCTTCAATTTTTTATATGTGGCTAACATGTTCCCCTCAAAGTTATTCTTATCTCGAAAATGTTGTTTCTGGCCATATCTTTGAATTCAGTATGGTGCCAATAAATAATGCTGCCAAAAATGGTGCCAAAAAAGTGACTATAAGTTGCGTTACATGAAGCAAAACGAAATAACTACATAAGGTCAAACAATATAAAAATTTTATGCAAGCAACGAACACGCAATTGTAAAGAGAATTTGTCCCAGTCCAACTGTTTTTCAAACTCGATGAAAGTTTAAATCATAAAAGTAAAGGCCATTGATTATTTTAAGCCTTGGAAACATTCTGGTAATTGACCGGAAGTCGCGTTTCTGGAAGCATGAAAAATGCACGGTCAGCAAAATTTTAACTTTCGAATTTTTCAAATCTAATGATACCATCAGAAAGAGCTTGTAACGTGAACGTGACTTCCCGTTATCTGCCAGAATGTTCCTAAGGCTTGAAATGGTCAGTGGCCTTTAGTCTTACGATTTAAACCTTATAAATTTCGGTTAGGCTGGTTGCTAGTGGTTATGCAAAATTCCCACTCAATCTGAAGCATTTATTCTGATTTCTACTTGAGAACATCGTAAGAGTTGATTTCACTTAGTTTTAGCTTTGCATTAACTTCATTTTAGCATTATTTCTTGCTATTTAATGCACCTAAGACTGCAAGTGACTGGAAGTAACAGTATCACTATAGCATGAAGAATCGATTAAACAACTGAATTTCGCGAATAGAAGATGTCGCGAAATTCAATATTCACGCATCCTTCTAGCAGAGTGTGTCTCCCGGGCATGTCTTCTGGTTGTACCATCCACATGTCTGTGGGCCCCTTCTGGTTGTACCATCCACATGTCTGTGGGCCCCTTCTGGCTGTACCTTCCACACAAGAGACTTTGACTATTAGTTCTGGTACATATATGCAGGGGCCCCCAACTTTCAGAGAACTCGTCGGTAGAATTAAATTTATAACAAAATACTTATGTAACAAAAGAATTTCTGTCGGTAAAATATGGTTTTGCATCTCTTACACCCCCCAGCGAGAATGATCACGCGACGCCACTGCATATATTTTTCGAATTGTTTAGTTGTTTCCATGAACAAAACAAAGATAAATATTTCATCCGGTGTCCTTAGATTCCCTACAAAAGTACCAAATTATCATCAAAGTTCCAAAGAGAATGAATTCCCTATATATTCTAGAGGTTTTTAAGCAAAAATAGTCTGCAAAGACGCAAATTTAATCTCCATTGATGGAGTGTTTAATGGCGTTGCAACGTACTACAAGGAATGTGCAAAGTGTGGAATGTGCTATCGATACCAAAAATACAAGGATGGAGTGCATAATTTCAATGACAATCATCTCCTTGACATTTATCTATGTCAGTTTCTTCGGGAATGTTTGCTGCAGCATTTGTTAATAGGTAGCATTATGAAGGTTCATGAACGTAGATTGGGAAGAGTGTTGGACATCCAATCGATTCTTAATGCTTACCTGCACTTCGACAGTCTTGTTGAAGAAGAAAACGAATTTTGTTATCCAAAAGTCCTGATTATGGATCTCAACAGGAAGTTGTACTCGACTGTTCTTCGTCAGATCTTGAACTGCCAATTGGATACGTAGAAGAAAAGATTGGTCGATGCAGATAGTCTTTGGGAAAAGGTAGAACTGTCCATGATCTTAAAGGGTTTTCCAAAGCGTGAAATTGAACAATCTAAAATCAAACCACATATGCATTGTTCAGCTGGGAAACATTCATGGTAAGGCAATTTAATGCATGAACACAGAAAAGGAAAACAGACTCGATAATCAGTTGGAAATGAATTGTTGAGAGGTAACAGAAGAAAGGCTTCTCGAGATGCTAAACCAGAAAACCTCAAAGCAGTTAAAAGTTTTTGCAAGAAATCTTGGCGCTAAACCAAAGGAACTAAGCTGGAAATGCTGACGCTAATTCGAGATGTGATATCAAGGGAACGCGGTGAAGGTAAAAGAGCTTTTAGTAAGCTGTGGGAAAGATCTGGTAGTTGGGTTTCGGCTACGCATAACCATGGCATAGTTTATGCGCTATATCTTTACTAAGGGCAGAGAGTCCTCGTGATTATGTGGACCAGGGCCATCGCGGGGCAAGCCTTGGTGGGGGGGGGATGTGGTATACAAATTTACCTGATTAACAAATTATTCCCTGAAATTCTTTAGTTGCTGTCGCAAACTTCTGCAATACATTTTGTCAATCCAACTCTGTATATAATTCGCAACTTTTATTTTTTATATGATAATAACGGACTTTCCTAATAGTTTTGTCTAATCAGCATATCGGGACGGGCAAAGGACTTAGTTGCTACCTGAGGCGGGACCATGGTTGCCGCCGAAGGAGCAGAAAATTTTCGAATTTTGATGCTTCCAGTTCCCTGGGAAATGCACTCTTTTAAGCAAATTTCACTAAAGCAATCTTCCTAACCCTATTGAAAATTCTTTTTTTGCTAACAAATTGAAAAGCAGATAAAAACGGACGTCAAGAAAAAGGCTACAAAGCAACCAGAAAAATAACCAGAGCGAATTTTACAAACGGAGGTAAGGTAAAAAATAAATTGCAGTAGCCCTTTCAAAACATGTCAATTCGAGCTGACTAATGTTGCAAACACTACATCTGTTTTTTTCATGGTAAGGAACTTTCCTGGTTTGACCTGTGTGTACAATGCCTGCCAAAAGTACTTGGAACACCCACCAATTTACGCTGCATTTGATATCTTTCATTCCTTTCATGAAAAAAATTTGCTACTTCCGCCCCCTTCCCCCTCAAACAATGTTGATGATTTAGAGAAATATCATAAAAGAAGCGCAAATGAAAGTGCTTCCTAAAATCCTAATCCGTTTGATAGTAAACCAACATTGTTCCGTGGGGGAGAGGGGGATGATTGGTTTTAACCTTGGAAATTGATGTCAGTGTTCCAAGACTTTTGGCAGGCATTGTACCTCATGTACAGCAGCAGCATTGGGTTAACGACTGTGGACTGTTCGCTATTGCTTTTGTGGGTTCTTTGGTTACTGGCTATGATCCATGTAGAGTCTGCAAAGCCGAGCCGATTTTCGTGTTCACAGGTTTCTCAAAATCAAGGAACCGAATTTGATTGGTTGGGGGAAATTCGATTGCTTTTTTCAGTTTTCAAAATGGCGCTCAAATTTCAAATTTCAAAATTTCAAAATGGAAAAATTTCAAAATTTTTCAGGTATCAGGATAGTAGAATAGGTCTGTTTGTTCTTTTGAACAACCAAAAGTACAGAAAAACATTGCACTAGTGCTTAGAATAAAATGTTGATGTCAGCGAACAAGAAAAGAGGCTCTGTTGCACAGACTCTACATTCTCTCCTCTTTTAAATTTCTGAGTCTGCACGCAGGCTATGTAAATGTGAATACGACTTGAGAAAAGCATTGAAAGAGAGTCTTGAAAAGAAAGTTGTCAGATATTGGAAAATTAATGGTGCAATGCAAACAGTGCAAAACACGGTTGCATGGACACTGCGAGACTGGAAATTATGAAGATCCTAAATGGGTATGCTTGAGAATCCTTTGTTTCTTTGTTGTCCTCTTGATAATTACAGGTATTGTTTTGCCTTTCAGCATTAGGTTTTACAAATAGACATAAAATTTACTCTTAACATCCCTTCACACAAAATCGATAAAAAAGGATCAGTAACTAGAATAGAAGCAAGAAAACCCAAAAGTACAATGACATCAAAATTATGAGCAAAGTAAGATGACAGCAATATAGAACAACTATAAAGGGCATTAGGAAAGGAACTTCCTGAAAAATATATAAAAGAGTGGAACAATAATACTGTCTCTAGCAAGTAATTGAGCACAGAACAGAATAAGAAATATTTTCCCATTTATGCATATGGAGTTTGAGCTTTATAGACAGTTTCCACTGAAGTGGGTTTAGTGTGAGATTGAAAATAACTTGAATCGGGTTTTTGTCTAAACTCCACTTAATAAATCTAGAGTTCTATGAAGTATATTATGGAAAGTTACTTAAACTAACATCACTGCTGCTTGCCAGATAATGAAACACAATGAAACATACATCTATATTGCTGTTGAACACTAAAACATATAGAGCTGGGTATCCAATTTAATCAAATTTGTGTTGAAATGGAGTCAAAAAAGACACTCAAGAATCTTTGTTGTAGTACAAATAAATTATATTGAAATCTTTCTGTACATTTTATGTAATCAGAAAGTTGCTTTTGAAAATTTTAATATTTTATCTGCAAAGGCAACTCTTTCATAAATGGCAAATGATAGTTCACAAAAGGCACCCATCAGCTGACAATTCTTTTGTTGATTAAACACAAAAATAACATTGACTCAAAAAGCTTTTATCAAACATATATAAATAATATATCCTATTTATCATGTAATCAATGAAGCCATGGTATCTTACTAAGTACCAGACTCTTATAAGAGGTTTTTTTATAATGACTTCTGAATAAAAGTAGACCATGGCATTTCTGAGGGTCCAGGTATCAGAATAAGCCTACATATCATTTAATAGTACATATCAAAATCCAAAAAGACTTCCAAAAAATACATGATCATTTGAAAAAGGGAAATGGGTCAAATGAAGTGCTGATTTTTTTTAAATTAGAAAGGGGGTACATATATACTTTGACATCAGAAAATAAATTAAAACCCAGGAAAATAATTTCAATGGTATATAGCAAAATGGCATAAATTGTAGCCCTAAGTAAGATATTTCAAAATACAAGCATATGTACAATTTAAATATTTGCTTAGATGACAAGAAAGAGCACATAAATTCATTATATTACATGCTTTACATAAGTTAACACTACAATGTCATTTCTTGCACTGTTTTTCAGTGGCAAAAAGAGCTTCATTTGTCCCCTTTTTGGATGTTTCATATCTTTTCAGGAAATTAATCTGAAGGCAGGACCACTAGGGAGAGTGTCGATTTGAGAGTCAAATTATTTGGACCTAACTAAGCATTCAGAAATGAGAAATTGCTACAAGCTTTTTAATTGAAACCTAACAACGTCTCTCAGAAACCCCCTTCAGCCATCAACCCAAATTATCTGTTGCTGTTGTTGTTGCTTGGTTTGTTGATGAAAGTTAACCAAAGCAAAGGGAAATGTGTAAAAATTTTCAGAATGACTGTAATAAGCAGACTGTACAAATAAATTTGCCTTGAATACCTTGCCACAGCTACCCTCTGATTGACTGCTTTCTACTCATCCACGTCTTTCTTTGAAAGAAAAGTGGCTGCAAACTTGTCTTCTCTCTTGATCTCTACAAAAGAGATCAGTGGGGACAACCCTTTCAAGTCTTGCTAGTTCCGTATGTTTTAAATCAGTTGGCCCTCTGAACTCCTCTGCCTTCATTAGGTCTTCCACTCTTTGCAACAGCTCCATTTTAAGGTGTTTAATGCAGACACAACACGATATTTGTCACAAATTTGCCCAACAACATCGAATGCAAAATGCCGGGTTTGCACTAGGCTCCTTCGGAGTGGTAGGCAGCAAAATGAACTTTACACAACATACGTCTCACCGATGACCCAATCGCACAATTTGATTGGTGGGATGATGCCTGTACGAACTTTCAAAAAACCATCAATCTCACAGATCCCCCGAACCTGACTACATTGGTTCCCTGCGATCACCAAGAAATCATCTTTATGAATCTTTGACTTTCATATGATTCACTGAGACCAACAACAGTAACGATACTTTGCACGAAACAAATGGTAATTCTTTGACACACGTCTGAAAATCTGACTGTCTTACTTGCGGACGGAGAGACAGTCTGGATCCTTCCCTGGTTTGAATAGTAAGAAGGAGGTTTACCAACCTGTGCTGTTAATAAAGTAACAGTCTCGAAGGACGAATTATTAAAGAGCGAAGTCGATAGTAAGAGACGTACGTCGTGTTATTATCTTATTCCAAAACAACTAACTATTTCTAAATAAACACAGCGGTATATACAAGCAGCGAAGCGTAGCATGAAAAACACAGCGAGAACAAAAGCTTAGATGTTATCATTACAGAGGCACGAAAATTTCAAAGACAAAAGCAGATAGAAAATGAAAGGAAACTGCAAAATGAAGGAATTAGAGAGATGGAGGCAAAAGTCATGCAGTTGGATGAAATATGTAACAAAATTTGTTATTTGAAATATCTATTGAAATCAAGGAGCTTTGTCCTGCAATAACAAGATTAGTTCCAGCTACACAGCTACCACAGGGTCAAATACACACAACGGCTGCATGTGTATGGATGATTATCGTAGCATAATGAACACACTTCAAAACGATCTGTGTGGGGTAGCCATTCCGTTTGAAGCTATCAACAGTGTATTCATCTTGATGTTTTTGTATGCCGGGGCGAAATCTTAGTATTCGTTTAATTCAATTTATTTTGGAAAATTTATCTCACAACATTGGATTCTCGTCGCCGCTTTGCTTTGTTTCTGAATTTTATCCTCGTAATTATATTATACTCATTGCCAGATTCACAGAATCCAACAGACAGCCTATCCTGCGGTCCTATAGCCCCTCCACATTTTCGCAGTAACATATTAGAAAAGTTTTTACTCTAGAAAAAGTTTACTCTAACTATGCAGTTAAGGAGTAGCAGTTTTTCTTGACTGGGAACCCTTGTTCATGCTCTAGGTGTTTTTCTTCCTTTTTATTATCCCCAAGCTAATTGTATCTATCTTTATAGGTACTGATATCTTCTCTGAAGCAGATTGTTTATGAAACCCCGGTAGAAATAAGCCAGTATTTTCAAAAAAGGGCGTTTTGCAGTACTATAATATAAAATAATGATAATAAGAAATGGTATTAAGAAATAAGAAATACAAGATGAAAATAAAAAATAGAAAAAAAAATAAAAGACCATGATTACAGGATTATATAGAGTAATGATAATGCTTGTAAAACAGTAATGTTCGGGGGTAGAAAAGTGACAATGTGGGTGATGATGGTGTGTTGCTGTAAGGTTAACGGTCAGTGGTTTTGCTCGTGCCGTTCGGTGTGAGAGTGTTTGCCAGGCCAATGAGGTATTGTTGTTTGGCTTGTCGAACACTCCCACGTTTCTCATAGAGTTTCAGTAATGGTGTTAAAGTAAGGTCATTGATGGTATGTTCTGGGCTGCAGAAGTGTTCTGCAAAACCAGACTCGTCTACTTTTTTGTTGACTATGTCTCGTCTGTGTTCGTTAAATCAGTCTTTCAGTCGTCTGACTGTTTGTCCGATGTATTGGCAGTTCTTGTGTCCGTTAGTTAAACGGCATTTGCACTGTAATGCGTAAAGAACGTTAGTAGATTTGCAGTCCAGTCTTTGTTTTATGACGTCGTTTTTTTCAGTGTTAGTAAAGTTAAAAGTAGTAGCACCGTCTGTGATGTGTTGCCATGCAGTGACGTCACGAGTTGCATTTCTATAGGGGTGATATCTATGACAAAAAACCAGTTATCGAAATCTTGAATGTATGAACTGCACTTCATCAATTCGGCAAAGACCCAGTGAGATTTTTTAAACGGCTTTCGTAGAGAAATTGCAGTATTTTTATATTATAAATTTTCGCAAAATCAAGCCAATGGGCTTACCGAAATAGACATTTTTGACTAAGACTTTTTTAGTCCAAAAATTGATTTATTTCACACTTTAGCAATTTTAGAAAGATATGAATCATACCTCAGTTTTCGTTTCATAGAGAAACTGCAGTATCTATGGGTTACAAATTTTCGTAAAAAACAAGCCGGTATAGGCTTATCAAAATTGTTATTTTTTGACTGAGATTTGCTAATCGGAAACTCGAATTAATTCCCATTATAGAAACCCTAAAAAGATACTGATCGTATCTCCATCTAATTTTAAACGGTTATTTTGAGAATTAGCAGTACAGTTGACATCCGCTCGCTATTTCGAATATCCGTTATGTCGAACCGTTTTCTGTTTCCCCTGGACGAAAAGTGTTCGCTATCTCGAACTTTTTTGTTTTTGGTTATGTGAGAAAATTAAAAATACGAGTAAAGAATCTGTTTAAACGGCAGATGACAGTTAACAGATTAAAAATACAGTGTTATAATACAATTGAAATGTTTTATTAAGTAAGTGATAACTGTTCAACTGGGTTGTATATTTTCAGAATTGAAACTTTTGGAATAAGACCCTTTGGTTTGAAATTTGCAAGAATTGGCACAAGCTCACTTAAAGGTGAACTGACACACAAAATTAACTTGACCTCAAATGAAAGCATATCGAGCAAAAATACCTGGTACATTATTATTTTTTTAATATTCAACACAGTTTTCGAGTTATTGAGCGTCAAAGTTAGCTACCGAACATTTCCCGAGCACGGACGAGTTTGCCCGAGCCTTCCGCATAATCGTGACGTCACAAACACCATGTTCACATCACTTGAACAACACGGCAGTCTGGAGGGTGGTACTTTCATGACTTTGCGGATGAGCATCGATACATTAATTGAGTAGGTTTTGGCTCCATTTCGACAATCTGATAGGAAAACAGATCATGACTCCTTTACAAACCGTTCATAATAAGATTTGAAAGAATATCGTATTATTCAACGCCTTTGAGGCCCTTCCTCCATCTTGCAGGACCCAGTGTGTGGCGGGCCAACATATCGAATAATGGTAGCGATGAAAATATTGGCAGGATTTTTTATTTTCTGGAAACCTAAGTAAAATACTTATATTTTGTTAAATACGGCTGCTGTTTGACTTATTTATCAGGGCTTCCCTCCGCCCCCCAAAAGTTAATCTCGGTCTTTGATCCTGGTTAACTTCAATATACGCAGTAAAGGTTTCGAATTAACGTCACTCATTTTCGGCATATTTTTTATTCAATTTCATGGAAGATTTTCAGGGGTTAAGCACCTGGTACGATCGCTTCGCTATTTGCAAGATAACAACTTAGTAAAACTTTCATCTCCCAGGCCGCTGCCCCCCTGTAACTCGAGTGAACCGATGAGTTTGCAAACCCAAAATAAAATAACGTTCATGATTTATATTGATGTATATCGAAGTAATAATATATTGAATTTATTCGAAAAAGAAGCTAGATTCATGATAAAATGAAAAGATTCTTACATTCGTCCGCATGATTGACTTCAGAATTGAGAATTTCTTCGAGCAGCTAAAAGTGCCTATTCCTTCCAAAGATAAATTCCCTCCTAATATAACGCAGTACCAGCCAGCACATATCTTTCGTACATTTCATTAGCCTCGAATTTTCATGAATCTTGGATCAAAGGCTACGTATATCTCCTCGAATAGTAACTGAACAAGATGAACTGAACTATCCAGTCCATGCGTGATTTCCATTCAAGGAATCAAAACATGGTGTTTGTGACGTCACACGCACTGGGTCACATGAAATGCCGACAATGGTCGAGCACTCGACGATAATTTCATGACATTTAGAGCGGAAATGCGTCAAAACGGACAATAATAATTAACCGAAAACTTGAAATTAAGATTCCATGCATCGTTTTCTGCATTATATCAAAAAATAGTTTTGCGTGTCAGTTCACCTTTAAGTGGTATATTTTGGACGTTATTTTTATTCAGAAACAGTCTAATTATTTGAAGAGAATGTTTTGTTTGGCTTTCGAAATAAAATTGAAGTAAGAATTTTACAACACTTCTGTCTGTCCTGACATAAAAAAGGCCACATTACACAACGTCACATTTTGGACCAAAGTAGTCTGTACCATGTGAACCAGCTTATCTTTTACCAGACAAACTGCAGAAAATCGTCTTCAACGAATTGTATAAAGATGGATCAACCTTTGTGAAGTGAGTGACGAAGAAAAGCATTACTTTCTTTTCTCATGTAGTTAATTAAAACCAAACTACAAGGATTCGAAAAGCCAATATTTCGAAATTTGCGGATAAACTTAAAATAAAAAACCAGTTAATTATACACATAAAAATTAAAAAAACGTAAGCGTAATTTTACAATGCTAGGCATTGAACATCAACAGTTCTTTTAAATATTTGGAATATAGTAACATAGTTCGTGATGACGTCACAAATATATATTATTATAACTTTTGAATTGGAAAATCATTAACTGAAAGAGCATTATAAAATACCTCTGAATGTGCAAAAGCAGTTAAATATGTTACGTTGCAAATTTGCTGAGATATGGCCACATGTACACACGTTGTTTCCCCAGCAAACTTCTGTAATTTAGTGTTTATGGACAGAGCCAAGTAACAGCAATGCCGTAGCAAATATCAAATCTTTTATTGGCCCTACCTCACCTGTGCTCCGTTATTTTCAATTTATTTTGCACATTTAAAACTATTTTATGGTAAAATGTTTGTTTATGTGTCCAAATTTTAAAACTCTATAAAAAGTTTTGTCATACGTAAAAATCCTAAACACACAAATTCTGAGGCATACATAAAAAGGAGGCCTATCTGAAATCTTTAATCTAAAGTAAGATACAACAAAATAAAACTAAGTAAATATATGAATTTGGGTAATTTGGGCTTTAAAAGACAGGGAAAGAATATTACGTTCAGCCTACCATTATCAATATTTCCAAGAGTTAAAAGCATTTTTATTATATTACAGCATGTCAGAGATACAATAACGAAAATTTCTGATTCAGTTTTATCAGATTTATCGTCATTCAAAAAACAAATTAAAATAAATCTAAGAATAAAGACACATCAACTTACCCAGGCCCACCGAGAGGGTAGAGGACCAGGGGGGTCAAGGGGCACTTACCCCTGTGCCCGTAAGCAAAGAGGGACCTGTTGATAAATGAATTTTCTCTATTTAAAATATGATTCTTAATAACATGGTAATTACAAGTCAAATCTGTATTTGGAAAACTTAAAGACGCTTTACGAATATTAATCAAAAGTAAATGTAAAAAATTCTATGCAATTTAATTCCATATCAAACAGGTTTATTGCCTTGTATAGGAAGGGTCCTGCCTCTTGGCACTGGGTGGCTCTCGGCGACCCTGAGCTTCCCTTTGAAAAATGAATAAAATTACTAGAATTCCCCTTTTATTGAAACTTAGTTCCAAACAATCATGAAGAAATTCCTGTTTTCTTTTAGAAATATATCAAGGGAGTATTATCGTTTCATATTGACACCCCCTTTAAGAACTTATTCATCGGATGAGCTTTGTTTACTTGATCCTTACCTTCCAATGTTTACAAAATATATTGAGACCAGTGTTCAGTCATGTACTTTTCCAATGTTATCTTTAAAAAACTGTTTTATATCTCACTGTAACGACATTATTTGCAATGCCCCTCCACTTCTCAAAGAAATGTTGTTTTGTAACTAGATCTTAAAACTTGCGACTCAAATCATATGAAAATCACAAAAACAGCACTGCTTTGTTGGGCAAGGAGCAAAAATCAATGCAGTCTCGCAATTTTGTGAAAGATTGTTTTTCGAGTGAAGATACTGCAGATTTTTATCTATTGTGTATCTCTCTTTTAAGGCGGGTTTCCACTTTATTCGCTCTGGTCGCGCGACTGAGCGAATGCACATTGGGGCATGCGCAAATTGAACTTCCTCATTCGCTGCGAATGCACTACCATTCGCTGAGTAGCTCAATGTGCATTCGCTCAGTCGCGCGACCAGAGCGAATCAAGTGGAAACCGGCCTTTAAGGTCTAATGTCATGAAAAACACTGATATTCAAAGATGTTGTTCAAACTGATAATTAAAAGAAAGAGTCTAAATTACTTTGACTAATAGCTTCTTGTTTGCTCAGTAACATGATTTTGTATTTTGATCTCATCAAAACTTTTTAGCTTAAACTTTATGGGTCTGTTAAATTTGTTTTTGATACTTATAGGTGAGCTTTAACAACTGCGGATAGACCCACCCCCCAATATAAAAAGTTCAAGTAAACCACCCATCCCCCCTTGTGGGGTTCTCATCCGCTTACCCTTCAAAGAAGTCCTTTTTTGGAAGCGGGGCGGTTTTAGGCCTATCTGACAAATCAGCTTTCTTGGTCTTAATCAATATTTATTTCTTGGTCATAATAAATTACAAGTTGATAACACGGCGGATCTGCAGCTTTTACTATCGAAGTTGTTAATAAGTCTGACAAATTTCTGGATCTATTCATAAGAGCAGACTTACATGGATTTATATGGCAATCAATAAATGTGACGATGCACTCTTAAATCTTGGTATCTTGATCAAATTCTGGGCCTTCGTCACTCGAACTGTGATTGGTTACTTCTGATTCGGTGACTTCTATAAGGTTTTGAGCAGGAAATCTATCAGGCAGAAATACTGCAATTACCAACGTGATAAGAGCAGTGAATCCAGACAGAACAAAGGAGAAGTGATGGTTGAATGGATACCCCAATGTTCCTTCATTCGTTAGCGACCAAGAGTAGAGGGAGCCGAGAATGGTTGGTGCAATTGAGCTGTAAGAAAAATGAAATAATAGGAAAAGATTTTCAACGAAACAGTCCTTACTTGCAGTTCATCTTAAATCCGTTGTCTTGCTAACATCACTGACCCGGGGTTAATATACTACTTCCAAATTACGGTGATATGCGCGTCCAAATAACGGTTGGTGATCATCATGGAACTAAGTCAAAGTATAGCTTTTGTCTTTGATACATAGCCATCATAGTTATTCGCTTGACGATTTAGTAAAAAGGGAAAGGTTCAATAACATTTGCGATCATTAATATATTTGCACTTGCATTCAAAAAGATTTTCTAATTATCTTTAGTACTTGAAGATTGAGCAATGGTCAATTACTGGAAGAGGAAGACACGTAGAACATCCCCAAGACAATACAAAATTGCGAGTAACTAGGGGCAGACACGTGGTCAAATATTGGGGGGGGAGGCAGTTGTTGTAATGAGGTGGCATCAGATTTCCCATTGTCTTAGAAGAAAATACCATTCCTCTCCAAAGTAGTGGGGGGGGGGCGACCATCCCCCCTCGCCCCCAGGTGTTATATATTCGAAAGTTTATATATTCGAGAGGAAGGTTTATATATTCGAAATGCTTCCTCCAAAAAGTTTGTTGTTTTTACAAATTGATTAGCTAAGAGTTGATCAGATCATCTCTTTTGATAGATCGATCATAACACACAACATAGTTGATAAGCAGTGGATAGCTGATAGCTGATAGCTGATAGCATAGTTGATAGCTGAGAGCCTCTGGAACAAGTATAATCAGAGGATTGAATATTCTAGTTATAACACAAGAAACAATAGAAATCTCGACATCCTAAAATTTAAGCTTTAAAGAATCCCGAAAAAAAGAATTAGGGCTCGAAATAACCATCCATGGTCTAAGGCCACCGCTCGACGGCCTGAGTGTGACGCTCTTTACTAGCAAAATGAAGATATAATTACCGGAAGACACATGACGCTGTCATTCCCAGTCCATTGACCAGGCCCATGTACTTTGGGTCAGCAGCACAATTGAGTATTACATTGATTACCATGAAGCAGCAGGCGAATGTTAACCTCACGACGAACAAAAATGGAATAAGCAGGTACCATACATATCTGCGAAGAATAAAATACGATATCAGACAAACATAGCTTTCTGCACCAAACCAGGGAAGCAGCTAAAGCCAGGGCCTGGGCAGGCTGAAAATAGACAACCAGTCAGGATCGGTCTGAGGGGCAATCCACTCTTGCAGATAGCGAACGAGATCTTCGACAAAAGCAAATCAGTAGGCATGTGTATTGTACCTCACTCACTGATTGGTCAATAATTGACGGACAGATGGCTTTAGTCTCTGGTGATTGCCTTTAAGAGTGGTTATAAGAAGAAAAAATTGTACTGTAGTATCCTTGGCGTTTTTCTGGCCATTGATAAATTTGTATTGAAAGGAGGGATAAGAACAAATAGACAAACCTGAACGGTATATAGCCAATAAATGCAAAAAGTGGCAAGCCAAACACGAGCAGGTATAACCCACCAATCAACAACTGCAAGAAATAAAACAGAACTTAAAAACGAAAAGCACGGCTCAGGTGTGGAGGTTTAGAGGATTTTGAACACATTTTCAGCAATTTGAATGTTCTCTTTGTTTAATGCGTCTACTTTCTCATTATTTGATTTTGCAGAAATTAGGGCGGAAATTTGGGCGATAATTTGGACGGAGAATTTGGGCGGAAATTTGGGCGGAAAAATTGGGTGAGAATTTGGGTGGAAATTTGGGTGGAAATTTGGGTGAAAATTTGGACGGAGAATTTGGGCGGAAAATTTGGGCGGAAAACTTGGGCGGAAAATTTGGGCGGAAAATTTGGGTGAGAATTTGGGTGGAAATTTGGGTGGAAATTTGGGTGAAAATTTGGGCGGAAATTTTGGTGGAAATTTGGGTGAAAAAATGGGTGGAAATTTGGGTGAAAATTTGGGCGGAAATTTGGGTGAAAATTTGGGTGAAAATTTTGGTGAAAATTTGGGCGGAAATTTTCGATCAACCTGAAAGTGATTTAAGCGACAGTGGACTTCGAATCAAGTTTAGTAAAATCTCCGCTTTAATTTTTTTCGTGCACAGAGAAATTTTGGAGAAAAACAAAAACATTCATGGTGGTTAGATGGCACATTTTTCATTCAACGTAAGAAAGACATGGATGGAGATTAAACTTGTTGAAGATAAGTTTAAAAATAAGTATAAGATAAGTATAAAAATGAAAATAACATAAATCTATGGTGACTACATCTTCACCCTCCACTTTTGCTCAAACTTCTCACCTTTTTGGAACCAAATCTCCGTTCGAGCTGCAAAAATCGAAAGGAATTGCATTAGTCTTAATAAAATTATTATGTTAGGAAATGATATCAGGTTCCTACCATTTCTTAAACATGTTTAGAAATCATAATGAAAGATGCCATCGTGTTTTTAAATGCAGAGGCTGAGCAGAAAGTGAGCTGGAAATTTCAAGATTGTGATTGAACAATTTTCAAAAAGTTTTATTTTCCACAATCCTTCCTTAACACTAAGAGACAAACGACAGCTTAGCTTGAAGGGTAATGACATGAGGCAAGCAAAAACTTCTAACTAGTCGTGGATCGAAAGTAGTATGAGAGGAAGAATGGTATTAGATTGGTTCCTTGCTGTTGACCAATCGGTGACAGGTAACTTCCCACTTTGGTGAAGGGCCCAAGAGAGAAACGAACTCTTTCTGTCTAGGCAAGCCGAGATCCTTTGTTTTGATCTAGGCAGATTCCAAAATAACTAACGGAAAAGACAATCTTGCTTGCCCAGTGATTCCAAAATTTAATCTAAACGTTTTGGGGCACTGGATTCTTGAGCAAATTATGATATATATGGCTGAATCGCACTATATTTGGATATTCTGACATCTGTGAACATGTCCAGCAGTAATACATATCAAGTTTGCAATAAAAACGTTCCTTGAAAACGTAACGTCACTACGAAACTATAAGATACAATCTCTCAAGTTCTTTCCTTCACAATTCCAATCAACGACTACCCAACTTAACACAAAATAAGGACGGTACAGTATAGGAACCCTGACATACCCTTGCAATGACGAAAACCAAACCAACCATAGGTGCGGCTGCAATGAGAATGGCTGTCCCTATCTGATCTGACGCAAAGTTCAGGCCACCTTGAAAAGAAGATAATCGCAACATTTTACAAACCACTTTCCACAAGCCTTTTGGAGTCTTGAATCTTTATTTCGAAAGATAATATTTGATGTAAGAATTTGGCAGAGAGCCAATTTTTTCTAGATTTTAATTAAAAACTATAAAGCTCATTTTCCTGGTCCATTCATGTAATGTAACTCTCTAACATTGTTGATTTTAATCTGTGATTACTCCTAAAAAATAATCCAGCATGATTACATTATGGGAATCATGTTTATGATTTGCAATGTAGATTCTGTATCATTTATTTAATTTCATTTCAAATGTTTAAGTGGAGCAGCCCTTCTGCAATGCTGATTTTCAAGAGACCCTCTACTTAAAAAAACTCACAGAAACTCTAATAGTGTTAAAAATAAATCAACCTTGTTACGATTAAATATATAAAATTTATAATAAACCCTAATTTAATTATTTTAAAATGTTGTCACAATGAAAGGCCGAATGGTAAACACCAATTTACAATTGCGCAAGGTATTTTGTGATCTATATCCTGTTGATTCCCCTTATGAAGCTGACGCATCAGAAAAATACAAAGTGACAAAGAGGTTTTCGATTAACACAAAAAGATATATATTTTTTATTTTGAGGTCCTAAGGCATTTCTGGCACCCGTACACATGTTGTATCGAGTAAGGCACTTAGAGCTCGTGACAGGAAGTGTCTGCTCACAGAGGAGCATTCATTTTTACAAACTCGAGTTTAAAGAGAAACAAAAATTGTGACACTTTACCGTAAATCTTAGATGAGTCTGCGTAGACAGGAAATGTTTCATCAAACCCAGTTGAAATAAAAGAGAATACAGCATAGAGCGCCAGGGATAGCTGCACGTTTCTTATCCTGGAAACAAAACAGGCCTAGATTAGTTTATAAACGAAACATAAATATAAAATATTAGAAATAAATGACAAACAAAACGTTCACTTGTGTCTGTATGAACTTAAAAGACTTTATTATGATTTTGAAAGTTTTAAAAGTTTATGACTTTACTTTCATGTAAAACATGACATGTCTTGGTTACGACAAAAATCGTGGTATAGAAAACTGTTCAGTTATTAAGATAACTACACTTTTAAAATAGATACCTCATGAAACAGCTACAAAACTACAAACAATTAACAACAAGAAATGCTAATACCATCTTCAAATTGCTACGATTCGCAGAATTTTTTTGGAATCGACAAAAGTTCAATCCAAACAAACTAATCACAGTCCTACTTTGTCGCAAGGAAATTTGTCATTTTTGTAAAGTGAACAATAAGTGTTTCCTTTGTGATGAAGAGCGTAACAAGAGCTAACAGAGCATACAAAAAACTATACCAACTAATGCAACAGCATATATAAAAGGCTGGCAATGTTACTCTGATTTCTGACTTACAGGTCTTTTCCAATGTATTTGCAATGATCTATTTCACAAAGGTGGCTTTTTGTTTTGGGCAAAAGAGTTCGTATCGTGGCAATCAAGCTATTCCTCAAGGTAGTTAGCCAAATAATTTTTCTACACGATGACTTTTGAAATAAATGAGATTATTGTAAGAATAATCGTTAAGTGGAAAATTGAAAGGGAAAAATTGTTCATACTTTATGAGTTGCCATAACGACGACTCTTTCAAGCCTCGGCAACATGTTGAGGCTGGACGTGTCTGCACCATGACACTATCGCATTCGATTTGGAAATGAGAAACAGTAGTCTTTGCATTGTTTGAATCCTTTTCATGCTCCGCTTCTTTGTTGGGCTGCACAGCAAAGACAGTGTAGGATTCTTTCGCAACAATTATATCATATGTATACATATCCAAATATTTTCTCGATCTACGAGACGGTCCTTCTATTGATTTACTCCCACTGTCATTTAGCAAGTTTGTCTTTTCATTAGTCTTCTCTCTGAAAAAAATAAGAAAACATTAGGTAATTTAAAAAAATTTAAAATCGAGATCATTTGGAAAAACGAAAGCAAATCAGGAAGCGTTAATTGAATATTATTAAATAATGAAGAATAGAAATAGAAACAAAAAATAAGAAGGAATATAATAGAAATTGCTGTCCAATATGATGTCAAGCTCTCTGTAAATCCAGGGGAAGGAATCACGAGGTGTGGTCACATCAAGAGGAAGGACCAGGACACTGCTCGATAGCCAGGAATTCTCAGTGTCCTATGACATACCTTTGAATGCTAGATAGAAACACATGCAAATAGGCAGGGAATGTACACGTCTAATATGGTCATTAGGAAACTTTATTCTAAGAATACGATTAAATATTATTATGTTAGATTAAAACTTGAAATCCACTTTTCATATAAATAATCTTTGTTGAAAAAAATTAGACGCTTAGAAACTAGTTCTCTTTTTACGGCATTTTAATTTTACGTAATTTATTCCTGATATGAAAAAAATTTCGATTACCTTTTAAGAGTCTCTGGGATTTTGACTATGGTCAGAAACAAGGATATGACCAACATAACGAAAGTTATAAATACTGGTAGAAGATATGGGAATTTTCCAAATAAAGAATCTAAAAAAAAGTTCAAAATGCAATTTTCTGAAAGTGCAGTTCATACATTATGCATATATTTCATGTGACCAATTGCCAAAAGCATTAATCTTGGAAAGATGATATCATTGCGATGAATGAAATGAAAGAAACTAGTCTAGGTAGCTACCTAAATAAACACAACTTAGGTGGAGAGAGCGAGAATAAAAATAAAAGATTGTATTCAACTTTACTGAACGATGTAGCTACTTGGAAAAACTGTGACACAGATTAAAGAGCTCTAATACCAGACTTGCTCTCAACGAAAATCCTCTGTTAGAAGAAAGCATTCAAAACAAATGCGATTTTTCAATTTTATAATTTTTTTAGATATAATCTTCGAAATACTTAGAAAGAGTAATGATATGAACAAACAAATAATACAAAAATACCTTTAGAGAAAGTAGATGGAAAAGACTCGGCCGGAAAAACTAAAAACCCTACGAAGAAAAGAGGAGGAGAAAAAGAATTAGTTTATTTGAGTCTGAGACAAACATAAGAGGCCACTGATTTCAATAAATGAATATATGGTCTATGGCCTAAATAAAAAGAAACAAAGAATTTGCCCAGCCCAGCCCAGCCCAGCCCAGCCCAGCCCAGCCCAGCCCAGCCCAGCCCAGCCCAGCCCAGCCCAGCCCAGCCCAGCCCAGCCCAGCCCAGCCCAGCCCAGCCCAGCCCAGCCCAGCCCAGCCCAGGCCCAGCCCAGCCCAGCCAGCCCAGCCCAGCCCAGCCCCCAGCCCAGCCCAGCCAGCCAGCCCAGCCCAGCCCAGCCTAGCCCAGCCCAGCCCAGCCCAGCCCAGCCCAGAAACAAAGAAGAAAGAAGGACATACCTCCTACAGCTGGGCCAACTATCAAACCAATTTGAAAAGAGCTTATTATTATTGCCATTCCAAGACTCTGAAAAAATAAGACACAGGTTTATAATAAGATGCGTAGTAGTGACAAAGATTATGATAATTTCTAATGAAAGTAACAAAAAGAAAAATAATCTCAGGGGCTAAGGCTAAATCTACCCTTCTCCATTTTAACGATGTTGGTTCACAAAAAAACTGCGATATTAACAATAGATAAGATTAAGCCATGGAGTAGTCTAATGAAATTTAGTACGTTTTGGAGCTAACAGGACGAAAAAGTGCAGAAGAGAAATAAAATGTAGCTCAAATTGATTCCTTACGCTGTTGGTCTCATCACAAAGGGCAAAAATCGTTGCCTTCAGAGCTATGATCAGTCCACCACACAATCCTTGAAGGAACCGAGTTATCAAGGCCCAAACATAAGACTGGCTAAAGCCAAACATAAGAGTACAGAGGGCGATTAGACCAGTTGATATTGCCAGTGAATGTTTGCGTCCAATTCGATCACATAACCAACCCCACAAATAACTACAAATAAGAAAAGAAGGAATCTCATAATTTCTGTACTGTTTATACAGTTTAACCGAGAATACGCTGTTAAGCCTGGTTTCGTCGAGAAATAAAATCGTCGTAAGCGTCGTAAGCGATCGTCGTAAGCGATCGTCGTAAGCGATCGTCGTAAGCGATCGTCGTAAGCGATCGTCGTAAGCGATCGTCGTAAGCGATCGTCGTAAGCGATCGTCGTAAGCTACGGGGACGTGTCTCAGCAGAGGATCTGCGATGCTGCTGGGACGCTTACGATGATATGGGAACGTGTTTTATTAGTGATGTCCCCAACGTCCCCGTCATGTCGCCGGCGTCCCCGTAGAGATAAAAAATGTTCTACTTTTGAGAACATCCCTGATGCATCGCCGTCGTGTCCCCGTCGATGCGGGGACAGTTTTCCAAATGGAAACCACACACTTGTGATCGGCGACGTAGGGGTAGCTCAATTATTCACTTCGAGATTAATAATACTGCATTGGAGACTCTAGCAAAATGGCTACTCGAAGCCCCCCTAGCGACGAGCAATTGATAGAAGTTATTCAAAACTTTCCGTGCATATATAACAAAAGAAGCAAAGATTACAAGGATCAACGAATGAAGCAGAATGCATTAAAGTTAGTTGGGGATCAGCTACATATTGATGCAGGCGAAACACGGTCAAGGTATGATGCAGTTAGAACGAGATTTTCTCGCTATTTGAAAACCATTAGTGGAATAAAGTCAGGATCCGGAAGCAATGACCTTGTAATAAAAGATGAATATGGTTGTTATAGACAGATTAATATAGTCCAAACTCCAAAATTTTCTTTTAAGAAGTCCCGCACCCACATTTTGTGTCTTCTTTTCTGCTTTTTTCTTCTCAGCCTTATTCTTCTCAATGCTAAAAGCTCGTAAATCATTTTCATCTGAATAAGTGTGTGTACAGCTACCATGGTTGTTTGCCCCGAATTGTCAAAAGCGCGCGAAAATACAGCTCTCTGACGATATGACTGGGACACGTCCCCGTCGCTTATGACGATATGGAAACTATATCATCGTAAGCGTCCCAGCAGCATCGCCGAGCTCTGCTGGGACACGTCCCCGTCGCTTATGACGATATGTCATTAATGGAAAACAAATAAAAAGTAAAGGGTAAATTTACATTGCCACGTAAGGAAATTGCTCAACCAATGGAAACCAGGCTTTACAGGGTGACTTCAACAGAGACAAGAATATTTACACGCCCGCACACCAGCAATCCTCACGAGGACTGCCAGATCCCTAGATGCAAATATTATGAATGGTCAATAATGGCGCCAAAGAAGAGTCCAAGTCTCATGAGAATGGGAACAATTTTTTCAACCTTAACAACTAAACATGTAATAATGATCATTAAGGGTCTAGTTAAAATGAAAGTTTGTGAAAACAAAAAGATAAAACGTTAAAGAGAGTCTCTAAACTTGCACTTAAATAGCATACCTTCCAAATGATCTTCCTACAAAAAGTGATGAAGCCACAATGCCGACATAATTACCTAAGAAAAAAAAATGAAGGGTTGAATTGAAAATTGTAGAAAACGAAACTACCATATAGCAGTTTCTGTTTAGGTGCGATTTAATTATTACAAATCACAGAGATATTCAATCTGCTAATTTGAAGATTCAGTATCTAAAACACTACTTAATTTCATAGAAAATAATGAGTTTCTATTCATTTAAAGGAAAAAACCGGACTAAATATCCTTCAATTTCAAAGGGATAAATTTCTTCAACAGAACGACTCTTTGAAATGTTAAGGAACTGGAAAATATCAATAACAGTTATGGAGACTATTAGACGACTTCCTCAGAAAAACCTAAGCTGTCCATTTATTTGCTATTGTTGTGGCGAATTTGCTCATATTTAGATGCACAAAATGAGTTCTTGAATTTGTGATCAAACAAGGTTGGAGAAATATATATCGAGCTTGGAGAAAGCGAGCATCAGCAACGGATTTGCAAGATGAAGGTGTGGGGTCGTGGCACCCCCAATTAATTTTTGCGTCCAATTTTGTTTGGTTCAGTAAAAAGTACCCCAGGGGGAACTAGTATATTTTGAGGACAGGGGTGCTCAGATTACTTTTTTGGTCTAGAATATGAGCAAAAGTTTTCATATTAAATCAGTCAATTGTACAATTACATTTTTGGGTTCCATAATTTTGCCTTACTTTTTGGGGGTCTGAAATAATGGCACACACCCCGAATCCTTGCTGCCTAAATCTATCCCTGGTGAGCATTATTCCCTTGAGAGCATGCCTAGAGAACCAGGGGCTTTTGAATCTTTTAAACAGGATAATCTATAAATTTTACCTATTTCTTTTTCTTCAATGCCAAATTCCTGTGAAAAGAAATGAAAGATAACGAAAAGTTCACAGAATGAATAGCTACAAAAATAATAAAAAGTTCACAGAAGGAAAATTTAAAGATATGAGAATTCTAACTGCTGTTGCTAAGTAAATACAGATGCAGGCACCACAGATGAGTATAAAGAGAGTCAACGTTACCACAGACAGAGACACTTAAAATTACATAATATTCCTGTTCATAAATAATTAGTTCATAAATAACACAGTCATCATCAACATGAAGATTATCACTTTGTGTTACTCACCCTCATCATTCTTGGTAAAAATGAGAATGGCATTGTGATAATCATGGCATTTCCAAGCTGAAATGTAAATTTAGAAAACTTTCAATATTTTGGCTCAAAGAGTGAAAATTAAAATGAGGTTTTGTTTCTTTTCAATAAACTATCATTGTTTATGGCCTACTTATCATTGATTACAGAAGAACAGATTTGCATCAAATCAACTATATGTCAAAGATCATATACTTTAACAAACAATTATAAGTATAAGTGTTTCCCTTAATGACAAATCTAGAGCCATAGAAGCAAAGCAAATTTGTAGATACACACACTGCAGATGAAAACAGTAATCACGATGACAGGGTCTATTGGTGTCTGTCCTGGTGGTGAAAAGGCATGTTTCAGCCTTGTCCAAAGGCTTCGCAGACACTCCATTTTGCTATGTAGGTGCTGATGGACAGTTAAAAGATCTAAGAGAAAAAATGCTACACAGATTATGCAATGCAAAAATCCCTTTCCCAAAAGTAAGAGCATTTAATATGACGGAGTGCACTGCTGAACATGAAAGACATTAGGCCCTGTCCTATTCTACTGTCAAAAAACATTTCTCTACCACATCCTGACTAATGGTTGTATAATGTAGTGCCATTCACAATTTATTAAAACTACAAACAATTAAGTTTTTCTTAGCTCTCTTTTGATATCATCTATCCAATCATAATGATTAACAAAAACCTAAATTTCTTAAAAAAAGGCTGCCTACTTGAAATAAAATAGAGAAATTGTGCAAATTTCAGCAGATTTTAACATTGCCAATAAAGGATAATGACTTGAAATTTTAATAGAAAAAGGAAATACACCAGAGATAGACAAAACACCTGGGTAGATTTCATATATTGCCAAATATGACAAATATTAATAACGTAGTATCGTATAAACAGAAATATAGGTTGGGATATTGCCAATAAGTTGGGATATTGCCAATAACAAGTTTAAACTATGTTAGAACTTTTTTCATGTTATTGGCTATTAAATGGGGCCTAATCTAAATATATTCATTCAAGAGCTCATTCTACAAAAGTTTCGGAATAATCTATAAACTCAAAGAAAAGTCTTTCACAAGACGTTTTGCTTTCGCTTCATCAGTAAAAACTTGATCAAATATTTCTGCTATAAACATAAACAGGTATATATAATACCTATGTGTGACCTTAGACCAGCCACACAGTGTATTCATTCTTTGTACACAGAAAAGGTTTTCCCCTTTGCAAAATTTTTCATGATTTTCATCTTATTCTTGTGGAAATTTTTAGATATCACAAATAGCCTTTTAAAAGATCATTTAGAAATTCTTTGAGGCTCTATAAGAATAGCATGCTTTGTGCATCTGGCTGACTGCCTGGTCAAGACTTGTGGTGGTTATGTGGTTTTTGTGTCTTCATTCCACAACACTGCTTATTGCATTTGGTAATCAATTTTGATGAAACTGACCAGTCTTAAATACCAGACATCCTTTACAATTACTTCCTTGGATATAGCTAAGCTCAAAACCAGATTAAATGGAACCAAAACCAGATCGAACATTGTCAGGGACGAAAATAAGTGACTAAATTGGGGGGGGGGTGGAATGACGAAAATTCCAACTTTACCTGATAAACTTTTCTTTCAAACTGTACATCTGTACGTAGGAAATTTATATTAGAAAAGAGCCCTAGTTCCAGATTCCTAGTTTATTTTAAAATTACCAACATTTTACTTATAATAATTAGCCTTAAGCATAAAGACACTGAAAACGATCAAGGAAATTTATAAATTTGGATTAATGTAACCGGTAATAGATATATTTAAACAATCTTTCGGTGGTACAAAACTTGTAAATGGCTTTGAAAAAAGCAAACATTTAGTAGGCAAGCGGTACTGATTGGTCAACCTATACAGTCATGTGCTCGTGTTTCCGATTGGCCTATTTCGATCCACAACTGGGTATATATATTTCTAAGCGTAGAGTTTTCGATCTATGTTCTGACGTTTTAAACTCTGAAGAGTGTCAGACGAAAAGCTTTAGTTCACTAAATGTTTGCTTTTTTCAAAGCCAGATATATTTAACGATGACAGGTAAAATTCTTTAAGTCAATCAACAGCAATTCTTCTCTTTTTCTGCCTTGCCCACTTTAAAGCTGTATGATGAAAATCAATTGCATCTAGAATGTCTCTTTCGCATTAGAGTAGCATCAACGAATCGAGCCTTTCATCTTTCGTTCTTGCGTGAAGGAAATTTTTTACAATTTTTAGACGGCTAAATGTCCTTTCGTTTTTCGCAACTGAAAATGATGTGAGGGCAAGGCAATATGCCCGATTCGTTAAAGGAAACACTCTCCTTTGGCGAAATACCTCTGCTGCCGCTCCTGCGATATTTTCTGGCTTTCCAGCAGTTTTATCAAAGCAATTTATGTAAGTCTCCATTTCCGCAAAAAGACTCCTTGCATCGGGCAGCAAATCAGCTGGACATAATTTGCATAAATCTTCAACATCTTGCATCTGCAGTGATTGAATTTCAAGTGGTGGTTGAAGAATAGATAGATGCTTTACTTTTGCTATGCAGCTCTGCAAGTTATCAGAGAATTCGGCAATCAGCGTGCCAAGGACGTTTCTCATCTGGCTTCTGTAAAAAACTTGAAATGTTAAATGGGAAGCTGTTTTCTGGGTCCACTCCCATTCGTTTTGCCAAAATAACACTGGCTTGTATAAGGTTGTCAAATTCATCATCTGAAGAATACATTCTTTGAAGTGAATTGATACTTCCTTTAATCACTCCTGATATCCTTGAGCAAGCAATTCTTTGATTTCTCGTAAACAGCCTCAAGCTGCTCGAATAAGGAAACAATCAAGGGACACGCACTGGAAGCATGCTCGATTACCGTGTTTGCCCTGTGTCCTTGACAAATGTATGGAACATGTCTCTTCAGTTCATTGGAAAGCATTGCCTGTGCTCCGTTACGCTCTTCAGACATCGTTGCAGCAAAATCATATTACTGAAATCGCTGTTAAGTCCAGCAGTATCTATTGTTGCCAATATAGCCTTTGCGTGCCCTAAACCAGTCTTATCTTTAAGCTCCTTTACTTCTAACAGTCTTTCTTCTGCCTCCCCATTACAGCCTACAAAACGTACAGCACACGAGTGTGGTGTGTCTGGTGTGATGTGTCAGGCGTATTATCAGCAAGGACAGAGAACAGCTAGGCATCTCTCACCCTCTTTGTTACTTCCTTGCGAATTTCGTTAGCAAGTAACTCAATGAAGATGTTTTGGGACTCTGGACTACAATAGGTGACATGATATGGTCTTGAATATTTGTCATCTAACCAACTTTTCAATGTTGGTGAATGTCGTGCCATCAGCTTTAGAAGCTGGAAGAAATTACCATTCTCTTCGATATCAACTCTGAAAGCAAGACCCTGTCTTCCAAGTGTCCCAGTGATGTCTAAGAGAATTTCAATCACCTTTCTGTTTTGGATAACTTCTTTCTCTTTTTTAATTTCCACAGCCCTCTTACTTTTGTCGTACATAAGATTTATATGTCCTTCAATTTTGCAAAATGACGACAAGTCTGCAACAGCAGCACAATGTGCTCTTGAAGAAAAATGTTGCTCTAGCTTCCCCCTTCTTTTCTTTCCCAATACTCTCCATTTTGTGCCACAGTCGTATACCATGCTTGAACCAAGCTTCATCTGACTTCTCTCTTTCTGGACCATGAGGGAAAAGAGAGCAAGCAAAGCAATATGCTGCATCCTTATCGATGCTGTATTCTAAATGCGGATACTCCTCAAACCACTGGGCGCGAAATCTACGTTGTCTTCCTGAAAGACAGGATTCGTTCAGGGGAAATTTTGGTAACGAAGGCTGCTGTGGACCAATCTGAAGAAGAAACTTTCTTTAAAGATCTGTTCTGATATTGGGCCTGTTTCCAGGGTCCATAGATGCAATAGCCTCTTTCAGGTCATTCTCAATGAATGGCACCTTTTCATGGGATAGTTTTTCCAGGGTAAGTTGACAATTCTGGATTTCACAGTGGGAAATTCTTAACGCTTTATAAAATAAGAAACGAGTGTATGCTGAGCTCCCCCTGTTCTTTGTAGACCTCCTTTAGCCTACTTCCTGTCTGTGTTGTCCCGTTTCATACAGCGTTTCGTGTTCTTTCTGGGCACAGGATACTTCTATGTCGGAATCTTGAAAACAAATGTTCTTTCAATTTTCAATTTCTGTTGCCCATGAACAATAAATCGTTTATTTGCTATCATGCCACCAAAGAAGAAATTAAAATTTCAGTGTGGAGTTTGTGGTGCTGAGTTTGACCACTACTACAGAAAGACACATAACGAAATACAGCATCGTCATCTTTTGTTACAAAATAGAGCTATACCTTAAAAAACGAGTGGTGCAGCCCCTAACCCCTTTGCAGCCGCTGCTTCGTCAAGTGAAAAGGGGATTCGCTTGACTTCTGATGCTTCTCAGATAACTGCTCCTTCGGCAGAGGCTAGTGAGCAAACTTTTCAATTGGATTCCATTAAAAACACTAAAGAATGGCGTAGCGTAGGGATGGGAAGGCGCGAAAACCAAAAAGAACTAAATTGAATATGAAAATAAGAAAATTAGTATTAGTAGATGTGAAAATAAGAAAATTAAAATCATTGTTCGAATGGGGTTTAGATAATCATAGAGACTGAAACTTTGCTTTGAAAGAGATAGGGACTGGAAATTGCAAAAAAATTTAATGATAATGAGGATCATAAGTCACGGAATACATCTGGAAGACTATGCCAGGTAGAGACTAAATATTCAAAATTTGCTTTCAGTTCTTTACATCATATTTTGGGTTTAACTTTAAAAATTTTTTTGATTAATTTTGTATGTATGATTGCATCAAGGTGGATTCATTCGAATGCTGCAATAAATCTTTAGCTTTACAATGAACAAAACAATGACACATTGTAGTTCTTTTCACACAAAGTGCGAACACGCATTGTTTATATTACACAATAGATATCTTAACAAAGACTTGTTTAAGTACGTTCGCACCTTTTGCTGTTGGTAGTTAGTTGAGTTATAAAACGGCGAATTTCATATTACGATATAGAATTCATTACTAAACGTCTTCTTTCAGAATGATCTCAGGGCAACAATTCTTAACAGGTTATGGGCCCAAAGCCCGCATCTGTTTTAATGGAGAATCACAATCTTTTCCAATATGGGAAACACGGTTTACGAACTAACTATACACATTGGATAAAGGCGTATACAACGCCATCACAGGCGAAGAAGAAGACGAAGATTTCGATGAGAAAAACAGGCGAGCTTATGCAGAACTCGTACAAGCAGTGGCGGATCCAGCCAAAAATCTGACTACCGCTGAAATGAGATAGAGGGTTGATCACACCCTTTAGACCACACCCATTTCTTGGTCACACCCGGTTTTCTAAAATGATTATTGCTTTCTATAATTTCTTATGTAGACCATTTTCAAGAGACAAGCTGCTTTACTGAAATTTAATGTATCCTTACAACAAGCTTGAGAAGAAATAAATAATCTTATTCTATATTCTGAGGATGGATATTCTAAAAAAATTACGGCATTTAGACGAGGAAAACCATAGAATTAGAAAAAAAGATACATTTGGCAGAATTTTGAAGTGTCGCCTAAAACTCGCATTTAGTCGGACAATTACTTATGAAAATCAGACCTGTTGGAAATTACAAGTTTAAAAAGCTAGATAAAATTTGAAATTATTGAGAGCAACTTTTGTTAAACAAAGAATCATACTTTTGGCGAATATTGTGGGCCTGACTTTTAATCCTGATGCCTTCTTAAATTTTAGAATATTTGAGTCTTAATTAATATTCTTTTAAAATATATTCCTACGAATAGTTGTGTATTGTACAAAATAATGGGTCTTGGTCACATCGGCTTTGAAGTTACAGTTTGCAGAATATTTAGGCATCCCCCCATCTTTCTGTAACGTTTGAGCCGTGTTGAGCGGCAGTACTACTCAACCCCCCATCTGAGCGGTAGTCAACTCGGTTGTTCATTGGTTGTCAACAAAATTTGTATGCATCCCCCCAGGTTGGCAGTGATTTCTGACGATTTGATTGGTTTAGGCAGGCTGACTACCGCTCAGTGCAGCTCGAATCCGCTCTACACCGACTCAACCCCCCTAGCTAGCAAGCCATGATTTCATCATCCCCCCATGCTAGCCTTCTATTTACAAACATGTGGCTCGGCAATTGGCACGCAATTTCCATAGTGATAAGGATAAAAAAATATTTCTGTCTCTGTGGAAATTTCAGGCATGTTCCTAGGAAGAAAGGCTTGGTTTGCAGCGCGATCAAATATTTTCAATAATTAAATATGGTTTAATTAAAGTAGTAGGATAAACATGAAAATGATTCTTGTTTCTATAATTTTTTGAATAATCTGACTACCGCTCGAGCGGTAATGGCGGTAGTCTGGATCCGCCACTGTACAAGCTCTTGATGAACGTTCTCTACAACTACTAATGAATGATTCACCAAACGACGGTCGAGCAGCATTCAATATTCTCAAACAGCATTATGCAAGTACAGAAGAACTGAGAGTTCTCTTGTTGTATGAGGAATTGGCCGCGTTACATATGGCCGCTGAGGATGACATAACCGATTACATTTTCGAGCTGAATGAGCGGCAACTGGATTACGAATTGCTGTTGAAAATATTTTAGATAATTTAGTCATCGCAATGATTCTGAAAGGATTGCTAGAATCGTACAAGCCCTTTGTAGTGGTACATACACAATTAGATAAGTACAAAACATTGTCAGAATTTAAGGCAGCATAAAATAATTTTGCCAACACGGAAGCATTGTGATCGCCATCTAACTCTCATCTCAGAAAACCTTCCAGATCAACTCTCATGAGGCCTAAGCAAGAAAGTATACAGTGTATTTCTTGTGGCAAAACAGGGCACAAATCGAAAGAATGCCGTGGAAAATCCAGGTTAAAATGCCAATACTGTGAAAAACTAGGTCATATCGAGAGTGTGTGCTTTAGAAAGCAAAATTCGTCTGCTCTTTCTTCATCTGCTCCTTCAAACTACTCGTTTGTAACCACATATGTAAATGCAGCAAATAAACAAAGCAATACACTTCTGGTCGATTGTGGAGCCACGTGTTACATGCGATGAAAAACATTTCACATCATATGACAATACTTTTGAGCCAGAAAAACATTATATTGAAGTAGCGGATGGAAGACGAAGCAACAAACTGGCAATTGCAAGAGGGAATGCAAAATTTACAATCGTAAACTCTAAAAGACTGCCACGTAGCATATGTTAGAATTCTTCATACCAAAGGCTCTAATAAAGAATGGAAAGCAAGAACGAAAACTTTCTCTACCAAAAAACGGTGATCACAACAACAGAACAACTTTACACAAGGAAAACAAAACGTGCTATATGGTAAAACAAAAAAAGTTCTTGTTATAGCAATAACACAACAATCAAAAGGCTGTCCATTGTTTCTATGATGGGGGTAACTAAAACATCATATCATCATAATTCCAACAGCATAACATTGAGAAATGCCTTACTAGCTCCAGAATTTTCTTCAAGTCTTTTTTGAGTTCTTGCAGCTACTGACAATGGAGCAAACATTCTTTTTAAGATTAGAAAGAAGTGGTAAATTGTATTTCTTACCAAGTGATGATACTGTAGCAAGTACCACAAAGCCACTCAAAGAATGGCACAAAACTCTAGGTCATATGAATTACAACAGCATAATCAACTTGGAATCAGACCAATTGTATGAAAACTGCATAGAGCCCTTACAAAGAGCGTATTAAGGGAAAGGTACAAATACATAATAAATTTTGTTGATGAATATTCGAGTATGGTATTTGTTTACTTTCTACGATCAAAAGATGAAGCATCTACTGCTTTAAAGAATTTCATAGCAGATGTAACCCCTTATTGGATGAGCAAAAGAATTTCACAGTGATAATGCTCTAGAATATCTCAGTCAAGCTTTTACGCAAGTGCTTCTCAACAATGGTATCAAACAGACATCTACAATGCCATATCCCTTTCAAAACGGCAAATCAGAGAGAAGATGGAGAAGTCTCATGGAAATGGCAAGATGCTTAAGAGCAGAAGCAAATATTTCAAAGTCATTATTGCCATATGCAGCACAACATACTCGGTATCTGAGAAACAGAAGTTTTCAATGATGCACAAATGCTGCAGCTTGTGAGTTATTTACAAATATAAAGCCAGACATTAGAAACCTACATACATTTGAAGCACCTTGTGTATTCTATGTAGAGGGATATAAGCAAAAACTTGATATATGTGGCAAGGAAGGTATCTATTTAGGTATCAACCCTAGTGGTGAAAATTACGTCAAATTTACGTCATCGACTATGATGAAACATTTTCACCCACAACCAGATTCGCATCAATTTGTATGTTACTGCAAAAGGCATCCAACGAAAGATTATATTTACATCAGATGGACGTTAAGGGAGCATGCACCAATCGATAAGGAGATCTATCTACAACAACCTAGAGGATATGAGCAGAGTGACAAGAGCGGACACCGGCTTACATGTCATCTATACAAGTCTCTTTAGACAAATTGCAACATTATAATATATACTTAAGCAACTCAAGATTGAGGGGGCATGTTGAGAATACATTGGGGCATGTTTATATTACACAATAGATTTCTTTACAAAGACTTGTTTACGTATGTTCACATGTTTTGCTGTTGGTAGTAAGTTGAGTTATAAAACGGTGACTTTGATATTGCGATATGGAACTCATTACTAAAGGTCTTCTATTAGAATGATCTCAGGGCAACAATTCTTATAACGTTGAACATAATGCACCTGCCACAAGTATGGGGGAAGGATTGTAATAGAAATATGAAGAATCAAAAAGATTTACACCCTCAAAAAAACTGTTAAGCCCACTAGATGAGGAGTTGTACAATTAAGTTTGATCAAGAGTGCATGCTCCTTAAATGGCATCTATGTTGCCATGTCTGCAACAAAGAAAGTTTTCACTATGTGCAATTTGTCATATTTTTGGCCAATAATAAAGTTTCCAAAAATAAATGTTTGTGCCCTTTTTATTCGTTTTGACCCCCCACTGTTCAAACCTGCATTTGGCGGCCCTGGATGAGTATGCATAAAATTACAATTATCAGTCCGTGACGATACCAACTATATTCAAATCAGTGCAAAACATAAACTACAACTCCCTAAGTCTCCTGTCATTCTTTCATTGCAAGTTATTAGATCAGCTTTGTTTCTGTATTCAATTTAAGCTTCATTCTCACTATTCAAAACACTTGAATATCAAAGGTTGAGTTTAACAGAGGGACAAATGAACAATATCAACTGATTCAAGAGTCCATCTTTTGCAATGGGCAGCCTAATTAGGCTTCTTTGATAGTGCCCACTGCCTCATTCTTACTAGCCAAATATATTTATGCAACAGCACATATTTGTTTAATATGTTACATTTCTGCCTTTCAAAGAAAATGCTGCCTTGACAGTCTCTGCTGGTTTGCTTTAATGAAGATTTCACAACCGGACTGAACTGAATGGATGATGTCCAGTAATTTCGTGCGTCAACTGCGTGTCATTTCTTTATTTTTCGCCTTCTACCTGCTTCCTTGAGAAGGCTAAAGTCGAAGTTGTATTTCAAATGATTTCTTCGTCAATAAATTAGCAATTTGGCACATAGGCTCTTCACTTTCTTTGATTCTTAAGTTTAATAAATTCCTAAATAGTACATAGAACCTATCAACTAGTAGTATTGCCCTTTAAACGACAATGTAGGGGAAAATAACAGGAAATTGTGCTGTTTCGCCGGGTTTATTTACTTTAGCTAGAAAAGTTAAGGAGTTTTGTTACCTGCTGCTTCGGTGGTACTGTCAACGAAAAACAAATTACCTTATCGCTATAGCAAAATGATTGCAATGAATGCAAGTAAACATACCGCATGAATGCTATTTTTCTCGGTTTGAAAGCAAAATCCATGTGCCCTTTTGAATCAATGGTACAATATCCAAGGAAATACTTCAATGTGGTCACGATCAGTTGACGAAAGTTTTTGCAATCAGATACCTCGTTTTCAATATTTGCCAGCTAAATGGCCATTGACGGGTTCGGGCCGGGCCTCGAACCCGCCCTGCGTCCGAAAAACTAGGATTATTTTTACACGTTCAGGTCCAATCTTTACACAATCGTGCAATTAATTAACGATTGTTTACGAAAGATTCACCCAGGTTATTAAATGAATCAGGGTCGTAGTTTCTATTGTGCATAGCTGCTTGAACCTTCTAAAAGTTATCAATTGTTTCCAATGAACCATCTGTTCTGTTCCTCTTGTTCTCAAAATGGCGACACAGACAATTCCATCCTTTCTATGGTACTGAATAGATAAAATCATTTACGCGGTTGTGGAACCAAGAAGATAACGATTGGTTGCAACCGCAAAAGAAACAAAGTTATCTTTTCAATTTTCCTGACAAAGTTTAGAAACATTGAAAACATAAGCGATAAGCAATTTTTTCAGAGCTTATTCAAAGGAAAATTTCCTGCTCCGCCCATCATCATTAGATTTTTTTAATGATATTAACCTTCAAGACCGTGTAGTAGATAAGTTTTTTACAGGTGTTGGCAGGGCTGCCAAGAGTTTTCGAAGGCTCTGGGGCAGAGCGAGAACTGAAGGCCCCTGCACCGAAGCAAGCTACCACGCCCTTTAGATCAGCTTAAAATTCATTTTAGAATATTTCTTGCAGTTATTTTTTTCTAATCAATGGAACGTTTTACTATTTTTGGCTCACTTTTGTTACGTCTGCATAATTCCATTCTTGAAAGGAATTCATCACTTTATGAAGTCCCCTAGACCTCGAGGTCCTGGGTCATTTCCCCCCTTTCCCCCCCTTTCGACCGCGCTTATTGTTGGTTGTATTTCTATTGTTATATGGCTGTCCTAAAGGTCCTATAGTTGAATTCAATGGCAAAACCAATGTCTTAGGTAATTAGTCTTGTCGTATCCTATAACAAATAGGAGAATCAGCCACATCAGCTGATCAGTACAGTTTCCATCATCAATAAAGTCGAACGGTTTCACTCCAACGAAACTTGATAAGAATGATATTTAGAAAACAAGGAATGTATTTTTTTGTTTGAGTTTTTCAGTTCCAAAATTTCAAACAAAACATAGAATCACAGAATTTCATATTCATTTCGAATCCCAGCTCCAGGAAAAAAGGCACAAACCCAGCTCAGAATAACATCTGCATTTCTTTACACTTACAACTTGGTATTAGTCTTTAAAGTTTTAAATTAAAAACTAATTCTATGGTTAATAAGAGATGACAATCAGTTAGGCAAAAGCATTTAACTTTCTGTCGTTTAATGTTAAACCTTCATTAATCTATCAAACTTCTATCATACCCATGGTTGCATGAACTTTTACGGCATTTGATCAAACAATAGTCATAAAGAAAAACATTTTATGACTAATACACTTTATAAAAATATAGTTTATAAAAACATAAGAATAATAATAATAAAATAATAATAATTCGTATATCTATTAAGGAATAAAAACATTTCAGCGAATGAACGCTGTTATCAATGTGTGTCCTGTGAAAATAAACAACTTAAAGTTAAAAATTCCCTATTTACAATATTCAATGACAGAAGTTAAACGTTTAAAAAGCTCAAAAACATTTCCAAAGAATAAATCCTTTTTCATAGTTGAAATTCAGTTAGGCCTAAAAGAAGTTAAATTCTAGTTAAAATATTCTTTGTGGCTCTTTCCATATTCCAAAGGATTTTTAATTTTTTGAGGGAGTTGATAGTATTTTTGCTCCAGGCTCGTGGCCCGATTCGCTAAAAGATAAGAAAAACGCAGAACATAGCCAGTGTCAGACAGAAAGTTGGAAGGAAAATATATGTAAAATTTACAGTCGTGTAATCAGAATAGGCCATATTTTTCATGTGAATCCATCTTGATACTGAAAGTGTTACGAGAACTGTTTTTAGTGGATGTGATGTGAGAGTGTGATTGAATGAATTATTATTATATATATTACAAACCTTCTAGATCTATGCATATGACTAAATTTACATGAATGTATTTGGCAATTGCTAAATGTGACAATACACTCTAAATCTTGGTATCTTGCTCGCATTCTGGGCCTTCGTCACTCGAACTGTGATTGGTTACTTCTGATTCGGTGACTTCTATAAGGTTTTGAGCAGGAAATTTATCAGGCAGAAATACTGTGATTACCAACGTGATAAGAGCAGCGAACCCAGTCAGAACAAAGGAGAAGTGATGGTTGAATGGATACCCCAATGTTCCTTCATTCGTTAGCGACCAAGAGTAGAGGGAGCCGAGAGTGGTGGGTGCAATTGAGCTGTAAGAAAATGAAATAATAGGAAAGGATTTTCAACAAAACAGTCCTCACTTGCAGTTCATCTTAAATCTGTTGTCTTGCTAACACCATTGACCCGGGGCTAATATACTACTTCCAAATGATTATTACTTGATCGTCTGGGTGTGACGCGGAAAAGTAGGGAAGAATAGGGCTGGGTCAAATGGCTAACTGACGTCATAGTTAGGGACTATCATAGTACAAAGTCAAAGTATAGCTCTTTGACTCCGAAGTATGGCGACCAAAGATATTTCACTTGACGGTTTAGTAAAAAGCCAAATGTCCAATAAAAATCTATATCATTTTCAATCATAAATGTCTGCGCACTTGCCTTCAAAAAGATTTTCTAAAGACACAAATACCATACCCAAGACAATACAAAAAGGAACTAGTAACCCTCCTAGGGAACAAGGTCTATATATTCGAAACGCTTGCTCAAAACAGTTTGTTGTTTTACAAACCCCCAAAGAAATTCACTTGAGAACAAATTAGGAGTAGGATTAGGGCTTGAAATAACAATATACGGTCCAAGGCCGCCGCTCAACGGCATTAACAAGAACAATCCAAAAAACATATGGAGAACCATAAAAAGATGCTAGATAAGGCCCTTAATTCAACAACAATAATCCAAATCAGGGATGGCAGCAAAACAGTTTCTGATTCAAAACAAATTTCTTATGGCCTAAATAGCCACTTTGTTAATGTCGGGCCGAGACTTGCTAGTAGAATTGAAATTAAACCTAGCGATGATCCTCTTTGTCGTCTTAATAATTGCACAGAAGGAACAGTCTTCCCATTCAAACATGTAAATGAAAGAACAGTTCTGGAGTATATCCAACATCTAAAACAAGGAAAATCTGCTGGTCCTGACAATATACCAATGGCAATTTTGAAAGACGCTGCTGATTTTATTTTTAAACCACTAACGATGATCTTTAACAGCTCTTCCAGGCTAGGGATCTTCCCAGACCGTTGGGAAAAAACACGAATTACACCAATTTATAAGTCAGGTGCCAAAGATGATACGAATAACTAAGTTAAGTGCTATCTAAGTTATACCAAAAGATTGCACATGACTAACTTATTGATTTCCTCCAATCCAACAAAAAAACTAACGCCGAATCAGTTCGCTTTCCGTAGGCTTTATTCTACAATTACCTCACAGATTGGTGTTTCAGATTACTCAAATATAGACAACAAAACAGCTAATTTTGCTCTTTTTCTTCACTTGAAAAAAGCATTTGATACCGTTTATCGTGACATACTGATCAGCAAATTAGAAATGTATCGAATTCATTGGTTTCAATCGTATTTAGCTAATAGAAGCCAGTACTGTTGTTCCATTGATGGTCAAATATATGATATTTTGGAAATGGAATGTGGGTTCCCCCAAGGCTCATGCTTGGGACCCCTGCTTTTTATCATTTATTTGAATGATTTTGAGCACTGTCTTAAACACTCAAGAGCCAACATGTATGCAGATGATAATGAGATGTCCTCAAACAACCAAGCAGAGCTAATAGAGACAGCACAAGCTGAATTATTAAACATTGCAGAATGGGTGAGGATTAACAAACTCAGTCTCCATCTCACCAAAACAGAATACATGATAATAGATCATCCTCGTAGAAAGAAAAAGGAGAATCATTAACACAATTATTGATAAACCGAGAAAAAATTAAACGGGTTGATAAAACAAAATATCTCGGGGTAACAGTTGACGATACCATGGGGTGGGAAGAACAATATGAATCAATTAAGAAAAAGGTTGCTGGGGGCCTACAATGCTTGCAAAGTCTTGGTACACTAACGTCAGTTTCCAATGGCAAATTCAGCCATTCCCCCTCCCCCCTTTGAACAAGGTTGGTTAACTACAAAACGACGTAGGAAATTAGGAAGAACGCTTTTTTCTGCGACTTCTATGATGTTTCTCTAAATTATCAACATTGTTTAGGGGTAAAGGGGTGTAAACATAGGAGTATCCGGGAAAAGAATTGAAGAAAATAAAAACACAGCGCAAATTGCTGGGTGTTCCAAGTACTTTTGGCAATGGTTGTAGCGGCAATGAAGTTACTTAAGGGTATCCTCCCACAATCAATGCTACTTTAAATGTACACAGCGCTTGTTACGAGTCATCCTTGTTATGCTGACGTGGTCTGGGGGAGCTTTTCGAACGCTAAAATATCAGCCCTCAAGAGACTGCAAAATCGTGCATGTGACATTATTGAAGCATCTAAAATAAAGGGCACTTCTTTGATTCGACCAACATTTAGCATCGATCAGATGTTTCAACATGACCGGTCGGTTCAGATGTTTAAAATAATTGATAAGATATGTCATGAGAGAATGCACGATAAATTTGCTGAAAGATCCACGATAAGCAAGTATGGTACAAGAAACAAGACTGATCTCCAAATCCCAAGGCTAAATTTAGACTTCTGTAAAAAGAAGTTTTAATTACACTGGTCTAAAAACCTGGAATTCTATCCCAAAACACACAAGAGAGTCCAATACAATAACCCTGTTTAAGAATGGGGTAAAAAGTCATTTCCTAAGCTGAAGAAAAATATTTCCGCACAAATCCAAAGAAGAACAGTACTGGTTTTTATATCTGTTTATTTAAATTATCAACTGTATTAAATAACTTATTTATAATTAGGATTCTTATAATTTATACTGAATGGATTTCGTGATTAAATAATTATTAAAAAACGGCCTGGATGTGACCCAGACAAGTGGGGAAGAGAAGGGCATAGCGAAGGCTCTTTAATAGTAAAATGATGACGTAATTACCGGAAGACACATGATGCTGTCATTCCCAGTCCATTGACCAGGCCCATGTACTTTGGGTCAGCAGCACAATTGAGTATTACATTGATTACCATGAAGCAGCAGGCGAATGTTAACCTCACGACGAACAAAAATGGAATAAGCACGTACCATACATATCTGCGAAGAATAAAATACGATATCAGACAAACTAAACCTTCCCAACAAAATCAGGGCTGCAACAGCACTGGAGACACACGACGGATATAAAAGTGGCTTAAGCCAGGGCCTGGGCAGGCTAAAAATAGACAACCAGTCAGGATCGGTCTGAGGGGCAGTCCATTATTGTAGATTGCGTATGAGACTTCCATAATACAAAAGGGTTTTCCAGAGGAGCTTTAAAGCCCTTCACATGAGAAATTTCAGGCTGGTTTGAAACTCACGCCTCTTAGATGGATAGCATCTCTCCAAAGGTGTACAAGAAACTGTATGTAATTACCTTTGTGATGTTCTAACAAATGTCTCCACGGCTTGATAAACTCCGTCGACGGATATTAAAGTGGTTTGAGCTATCTGCCAATCAATATTGGCAAATCAGTAGGCATGTGATTTGTACCTCGCTCACTGATTGGCCAATAATTGACTGACAAATGGCTGAATGCTGTCGTCTGTTGATTGCCTTTAAGAAGTGGTTATAAGAAGACAAAATAGCTGTAGTATCATTTTCTAGCAACTGATGATCCAGGTTTATCAGATCAAGCATTCAACTAGTGGCTATACATAGCGACATTAGGGCACAACAAGTTGAATTGAATTAGGGCTTGCAATGGTTATCAAAGGTGCGAAATGGGTCAGTGGTTAGGGTCCACGGCTACGGAGCCAAGGGTCTGGGTTTCGAGTCCCTGACATGACCAAATTTTCACCAAGAGTTAGGGGAGTCGCCAGCTCTATGCAATTCCAGACACAGGAATCATGAGATGTGGTCGCATCGAGAGGAAGGGCCATAAACTTTTTGGAGCGTGATAAATTGCGTGACTGTTGGGCACCTGTTGAAATCCGTGTGTGATCGCCCGCCATTCATGACCACACCCTGACTGATGTCAATTACTAGTTAATAGATAAGCGTTTTTCTGACCATTGAAAAATTGTATTGAAAGAATAGATAATAAAAAAACAGGCAAACCTGGACGGTATATAGCCAATAAATGCAAAAAGTGGCAAGCCGAACACGAGGGGATATATCACAGCAATCAATAACTGCAAGAAATAAAAAGAACTTAAAAACGAAAAGCACCGCTTAGGTGTGGAAGTTTGGTGGATAGTGAATAAATTGTCGGCAATTTCAATGTTCTCTTTCCCTTATGCGTCTAATTTCTGGTTGGTCGTTTATGCGAAAATTTTCAAATTTTCGACCAACCTGAAAGTAATTTAAGTAGTACACAAATGAAACACAATTGTGAAATCTTCGTTTTGAAAACATAAAAAAAATGATCGGCAACTTATATCTTTAATAAATTTTCAAAGTAGCATTGCTTTTGTTAGTCAAGCGATTTAGAGCGACTAAAAGCCATAACTTGAATTTTTTCTTGCGCAGAGAAATTTGGAGAAAACAAAATCATTCTTTGTGGCTATACGGCACATATTTCATTCACCTTAAGAAAGACATGACTTAACATTAAAATTGTCGAAGAGTAGTATAAAAATTAAAATAATAAAAGTAAATGGTAAAACAGAACTTCATCTTCACCTTCAATTTTTGCTCAAAACTGGATGAATAAAAAGGCAAACTAAAGGTGTCAAAATATTCTCACCATTTTAGCACCAAATCTCCGTTCGAGCTGAAAAAATCGAAGGAATTGCATCAGTCTTAATAAAATTATTACGTTATGAAATGAGATCAGTTTCCTACCATTTCTTAAACATCTTTGGAAATCATAATGAAAGATGCCATCGTGTTTTTAAATGCAGAGGCTGAGCAGAAAGTGAGCTGGAAATTTCAAGATTGTGACTGAAAAATTTTCAAAAAGTTTGATTTTCCACTATTGGTCTTTAACACTTATAGACATGCGACAGCTTAGGTTGAAGGGTAATGACATGAGGCAAGCAAAAACTTCTAACTAGTCGTGGATCGAAAGTAGTATGAGAGGAAGAATGGTATTAGATTGGTTCCTTGCTGTTGACCAATCGGTGACAGGTAACTTGCCACTTTGGTGAAGAGTCCAAGATAGAAAACGAACTCTTTCTGTCTAGGCAAGCCGAGATCCTTTGTTTTGATCTAGACAGATTTCAAAATATCTAACGGAAAAAACAATCTTGCTTGCCCAGTGATTCCAAAATTTTCATCTCTAAACATTTTGGCACACTGGATTCTTGAGCAAATTATGATATATATGGCTGAATCGCATTTTATTAGAGTCGTCTCACATTCCCAACACGCCAAACGGTATAACAATTCAAGTTTTCAATCAAAACCTTCCTTGAAAATGTCCCGTGACTACGAAACTGTACGATACAATCTCTCAAGTTCTTTCCTTCACAATTCCAATCAACGACTACCCAACTTAACACAAAATAAGGATGGTACGGTATAGGAACTCTGACATACCCTTGCAATGCCGAAAACCAAAACAACCATAGGTGCGGCTGAAATGAGACTAACTGTCCCTATCTGATCTGACGCATAGCTTAGGCCACCTTAAGAGGAAAAGAACTATCAAAATTTTAATCAAAGGCCTTTGGGAGTCTTTACTTTTAATGTCGAAAGAAAATATTTAGTGTAAGAAGTTAGCAGACAATAATTTTCTCCCAGATTTCGACTCAAACTATAGAGCTCTTTTTCCGGGTCTGACATGGCTGATTTCAATCTGCGGCTACTCTTTAAAAATAATCCAGCATGATTATGGAAATCTGGTTAATGAAGGACAGTGTAGATTCTATGTATATCCTGTTAATTTTCCCTATGAAGATGACACATTAGAAAATACCATTAACATCAAGATCTTCGTTCAACATAAACAAAATCTATATCATTTGGTTCCAAGGAACCTGGGCCTTTCGGTCCTCCTGCATTTTCTGCTTCACATGTTCTACCAAGTGAGACACAAAGAGCTTGTACCAGTACGTGTCTGTCCACAGAGGAGCAATCATTCTAACAAACTCGAGTTTGAAGATAAACAAAGATTGTGGCACTTCACCTTAGATTTAATTTAAAAGAGTCGAAACATTTGTCTAATTTGTCTAAATTGGAATTGTCTTTGTCATGATGTAACAAGAAGTTGTCGAATGCAAGATGCAACAAGAAGTTGTCGAATGGATTATGTATTTTTTCTTTGTCGTGATACTGGTTATAAACTTCATTATTAAGCTACGGTTTTCAAAATCTCAATCTTTTTTACCGTAGATCTTAGATGAGTCTGCGTAGACAGGAAACGTTTCTTCAAACCCAGTTGAAACAAAAGAGAAAATAGCATACAGCGCCAGTGATAGCTGCACGTTTCGTATCCTGAAAAAAAAATCATTGATAAGTTATAAACTAAACATGAATATCACAAATCAGAGAAAAATGAGAGACAAAACATGCAGCTGTCTATATGAATTTAAAAGAAAAAGTTGACAAAACAACCAAAATTAACAACAAAAAGAAACAACAAAAAGAAACACCCGACACGCAGAAATAGATCACAGTGTTATTTTGTCGCCATGAACTTTGATACCATGCAAAGTGAATAATAAGTGTTTCATTTGTGACGAAGAGCACGACAAGAGCTAACAGATAAAACAAAGGTAGTTAGCAGAATCCAGCTTAAGGTATTTAGCAGAACGATTTTTCTACAAAACGACGTTTAAAGTTAGTAAGAGAGTGGTTGCTGAGTTTCAAGGTTTATAAGAATAGTCGCTAAGTCAAAAATTGAAAGGGAAAGATTTTTCATACTTTATGAGTTGCCATAACGACGACTCTTTCAAGCCTCGACAACATGTTGAGGCTGGACGTGTCTGCACCATGACGCTATCGCATTCGATTTGGAAATGGGAAACAGTAGTCTTTGCATTGTTTGAATCCTTTTCATGCTCCGCTTCTTTGTTGGGCTGCACAGCAAAGACAGTGTAGGATTCTTTCGCAACAATTATATCATATGTATACATATGCAAATATTTTCTCGATTTACGAGACGGTCCTTCAATTGATTTACTCACACTGTCATTTAGCAAGTTTGTCTTTTCATTAGTCTTCTCTCTGAATAAAAAACCAATAGGCATTAGGTATTTTAAAAAAATCGAGCTCATTTCGAAAAATGAAAATTGATTTTAATCAGGAAGTGTTAATTGAATATTGCGAAATAATGAAGAATATTAATAGAAATAAAAAATAAGCAAAAATATATTGGCAATTACTGTCCATTGCTCTGTCATAAGGTCGAACTTGTCATTGGGGTGAGGGGATGACTCCGTGGTTAGAGTTGCGGGTAATACAATCACGAGTCTAAGAATCGCGTCCCTTCTACGACCAAACTTTCACATAGAGAGAGGAGAGACGCCTGCTCTTTCTAATTTTAGGCATAGGCATCAAGAAGTGTGTTCAAATCGAGAGGAAGGACAAGGACACTCTACGATGAACATAGCTTCTCAGTGTCCTAAAAATACTTTCGGATGATAGATAGTAACATAGGCAAATAGGCAAGGAATGTGTACGCTTGATATGATCATCAGGCGGCTTGATTTAGCTATAAGTAAGAAAACAAATTTGATTAAAGATTTTTATGCTAGGTTTTAACTAGCATCGTTAAAATCAATTTTCCATTTAATTCATCTTTGTTTAAATAGATTGAACGCTTAAAAACTTGTGTCTTTTTAACTTGAGTAATTTGTTCCTGGTATGAATAAAATTTCGATTACCTTTTAAGAGTCTCTGGGATTTTGACTATGGTCAGAAACAAGGATATGACCAACATAACGAAAGTTATAAATACTGGTAGAAGATATGGGAATTTTCCAAATAAAGAATCTAAAAAAAAGTTCAAAATGTAATTTTCTGAAAGTGGATTTCATACATAAAGCATATCTTTCATGTGACCAATTGCCAAATGCAATCAATCTTAGAAACAAGATACCATTCTGATGAATGAAATTAATCAAAAGAAATGATTGTGTTAATCTAAACTGATCGATGTAGCAACAAAGAACACTTGGGAACAGATGAAAGAGCTCAATTTTAGACTTGGTTTCAACGAAAGCCAATTGCTAGACGGAAGCATTCAATGACAATACGATTTTCCAGTACTTTATGTTTGGCAGGTTAAATCTTCGAAATATTAAAATAAATTCGGATCAGAATACAAACAATTCTTACTAGAATACCTTTGGAGAAGGCTGATGGAAAAGACTCGGCAGGAAAAACTAAAAATCCTACAAAAAAATGAAGAGAAATACTTTCAATTTATTTGAAATTGATGAATGAATACATAGTCCAATAAAAGTACGCGAAATATAGGTCGATGAATAAAAAAACTGTTAGTTGGTGCATTCAAATTCCCATCAAGTAATAATTTTCCACTTAGGGCAAAAGCACCCAAACGCAACCAAACCACACCTAACCTAACCAAACTCGCTTTTATCAATGATGCAACATAATAGAAACAAAGAAGGACATACCTCCTACAGCTGGGCCAACTATCAAACCAATTTGAAAAGAGCTTATTATTATTGCCATTCCAAGACTCTGAAAAAATAAGACACAGGTTTATAATAAGATGCGTAGTAGTGACAAAGATTATGATAATTTCTAATGAAATAAACAAAAAGAAAAATAATATTTTGTGATTACATTGATCAAGAGAGGATACAATTTTGAGTATTTTTTGGCAAGGATAGGCTCAAGAACGAGAGAAGATAGGCCTATTGAGAAGGTCTTTTGTCTCTTGATCTGATTACACCTCGTGATTTCTACATAGAGTATTATGTAGCGTACAGCTCACGATCATGTCGATGCAACAGTAATGGCGAAATCTGATCGACATTTTACAATAAATGAAACAGTTACAAACCTTTACGAAGCCTCGCTAAACCCCATAGGCCCCCAGCTTATGTCTTTTAAAAAGGAGGCACCGATGCTACATAACTTCATCTATATGGTCAATTATAGGGGGCTTTCCCAAGGGGGCTTTACCACGGAACTTTCTCAGGGGGGCCAGGGCTGCTAGTTATTCTAATGCAAAATAGAACTACTGGAAAAAGTCTTAGTGCCTAAGGCTAAATCTACCCTTCTTCATTTTAACGATGTTGGTTCACAAAAAACTGCGATATTAACAATAGATAAGACTAAGCCATGGAGTAGTCTAATGGAATTTAGTACGTTTTGGAGCTAACAGGACGTAAAAGTGCATAAGAGAAAAAAAGTAGCTCAAATTGATTTCTTACGCTGTTGGTCTCATCACAAAGGGCGAAAATCGTCGCCTTCAGAGCTATGATCAGTCCACCACACAATCCTTGAAGGAACCGAGTTATCAAGGCCCAAACATAAGACTGGCTAAAACCAAACATAAGAGTACAGAGGGCGATTAGACCAGTTGAAATTGCCAGTGAAAGTTTGCGTCCAATTCGATCACATAGCCAACCCCACAAATAACTACAAATAAGAAAAGAAGGAATCTCATGATTTCTGTACTGTTTATACAGTTTAACTGACAATACTCTGTTACAGGGTGACTTCAACAAATACAAGAATATTTACACGCCCGCACACCAACAATCCTCACGAGGACTGCCAGATCCCTAGATGCAAATATTATGAATGGTCAATAATGGCACCAAACAAACAATCAAGTGTCGTGAGAATGGAAACAAATTTTTCAACCTTAACAAATAAACTTGTAAAAATGACTAGAACAGATCAGAAAACAAAAATACGACATAAATTCATAAATTTTCCTTAATAGCAATTAACGGTGATAACAATAGTAATATACCATATTTAGACATTTTACTGTATAACGTTTTCAGCAAAAATGCTTCTGCTATAATTCAGTAACATCGCCAGTTCGAAAAAACTGGGGTGGCCAAAAGTAAATTTTCTTGGCTTCGCCCTTCAGACTCTTGGAAATCCTTTTTTAGTATTTTTTATCTATTTTGAATTTTTTGGACAAGCAACTTTCTCAAGCAGCATTCTTCGTAACGGTGACCTTTTTGCCAGTGCGAAAATTGAAATCGATCTGATCAGCTCAACTCTCCCCCCCTCCTCCCTCCAAGGTTGTTCAACAGATTTCAAGAAATTGGAAAATTGACTTCTGGGAAAACTGGGGTGGACACCCCATAGCGATGCCACTGCTATCATTAGGGGTCTTGTAAAAATTTGTAAAGTAAATACATAAAACATACCAGAGTATCATATAAGATTTGAATAGCATACCTACCTTCCAAAAGATTTTCCCACAAAAAGTGATGAAGCAACAATTCCAACATAATTCCCTAAAGAAAAAAATGAAGGGGTGAATAGAAGACGGAAGAAAACAAACATACCATAGCATTTTCTGTTTAGGTGCGATTTGATTATTACAATAGACAGAGACATTCAATCCATCAATGTGAAGGTCCAAAATTCACTCTAGGAAAAAAAACTCGATATCCTTCGATTTGAAATTCATGAATTCCTTAAACAGAACAATTCCTTCAATTTTAAGGAACTGAAAAATAATGGTCATAGAGAACATAAGTCTACTTCTTCAAGAAACCTAAGCTATCTGTTGCTTGGAACTGTTGTCAAATTTTAACAGGCACAAAATGAGTTTTGAATTCCTGATAAAACAAAGCTACAAACTATTCTATGACAAGGAAACTAGAAAACAAGAAAATATTAAACATGGATGGTGTGAGCATCCTTATGGTGTAATTCAAACTAAAATTGTATGCTAAGGGAATATCTTACACAGGATAATTTATTAATTTTTACCTATTTCCTTTTCTTCAATGCCAAAATCCTGTGAAAGAAAAAACTACAAAGATAATGAATACCTCAAAAGGAATATTGAAATATGATTTTTGCGAATTTTTGTCTAAATTTTGGTAGTGCTACTACCACTATCAAAGTGAATATAAGTGGAGTCAACTGTATGCCGAAATAGAGACATGTCTCTGTTTCTAAGCACTCGACAATAGAAATCACTGCATCCAAAAACCTTGGCATATTCCTGTTTATAAAGAATCACTGTAGACAACTCAATCATCATCAAGATGAGGGCCATCACTTTGTGTTACTCACCCTCATCATTCTTGGTAGAAATGAGAACGGCATTGTGATAATCATAGCATTTCCAAGCTGAAATGCAGAATAAGAAAACTTTCAACTAATTATTTTGGCTCAAAAAGTGAAAATTCAAATTAGGTTTTGTTTCTTTCTATAATTATCTTTGTCCATGGCCTACTCATCATTGTTTGCCGAAGAACTGATTTGCATCAAATCAAATATATGCCAAGAATGGTACTTTACCAAATGATTATGAGTCAGTCTGTCCTTAATGAGAGATCTAGAAACATAGAAGCAAAAGCAAATTGGTAGATACGCACACTGCAGATGAAGACAGTAATCACAATGAAAGGGTCTATGGGTGTCTGTCCTGGTGGTGAAAAGGCATGTTTAAGCCTTGTCCAAAGGCTTCTCATACACTCCATGTTGCTATCTATGTGCTGGTGGACTGTTTATTGATCTAAGAGAAAAAAAGCTACACATATTATGCAATGCTACACAGATTATGTAATGCAAAATGCTCTTTTCCAGAAATCCAGAGCAATGATATGGGGATATTGTCAACAACCAGTTGAAACTATGTTACAACTTTTTCCATGTTGCTGGCTATTAAATGGAGCCTAAACTTTTGTTTCCCTTGCAAAAACAAATTAATCAGTCTTACTTGAACCCTGAATTTGAACCAATAACAGGTTGTTTGACTACAGTAAATAACTGGATCTAATACATGAGCCAGTCCTTAAATATTCAATTATGGGGATTTAAGTGCCTTGTTGAACCAAATCAGAATTCTGATCCAATGATACCCTCTTTTGGTTGCTCTATAAATATATAAATATACTTTTTTGGTTGCTCTGACGAAGGCTTAAAGTGGAAACAGAATAAAAGAAAACTGCCTTGGCTACAGTGAAATCTCCAGTGTTGGCTTCAGAGATTCCTCATTCATTTCATTGGGCCGTTTGGCTCAGTGGGAAATGTGTGGGTTTTTGAAGCAGCAAACAGGAGTTTGATTCCAACCAAGAGTGGTTCGATAAAATTTGGCAGCGACTTTGTGGAAAGATTTTCCTCCTGTTAGCCTTTGCCTTATGATTTCATATAAATATATTTTTTTATATATTAGTGCTATAAATTTGTCTTTCGATATTTCCGTAGCACAGTGCTCAATACATTAGCATGTAGAGCATGATATACCATAGAGTTGAAGAAAAGAAGACTACATGATTTATCTCTACAAGCCTGTTTTGTTAATTCATTTATCCCTACATGATTGTTAATTCGTTTTGAGTACTTCCAGTAATAAATGTAATAATGCATTTCCAGTAATAAATGCTTTGAGTATTAAATTCATTTCCAGCATTTGACCTGGCATGTTCCCTTCAGTCAGTATTGATGTCTTCAGCAACTAAAGTGCTTCCAAAATGTCCAAATGGAAGATTGGTACCAACCAATCATTGCATCATCGTTTTATAAATATCAATGACTGTAACACTCAGGTCTTTATCCAGTCTGTCACAGGAACTGAATTTTCCATCTTTGAACAAAATTATCTCTATTATCATTACTCAATTGTTGTTTCTGGGAACTCAAGCGTTTCTAAAATGTCTTGGATGGTACCAAATGTAAGATTGGTAACAAGAAATCATCTTAATCATATCTTTAAACATTAAACACTGCACTTGTCTTCAGCCAGTGTGCCATAGGAACTGATTTTGAAATCTTTTAACAACATTGTCTCTTTTATCATTACTCTGTAATATCTGGGTACCGAAGTATTTCCAAAATGACTAAGAATGGATGCTGTTTCTTCATACTCACACAGAAAATTTTGATGGCAAATGAGTATGCATAAAATTACAAATTTTCAGTACATGAATATGCCAACTATATCAAATTAGTAGTGCAAATCATAAACTACAATTCGTTAAGTCTCCTGCCATTTTGTCATTGCAGCTGATTGCAGCCTTGTTTTTGTATTCAAGTTGACTTTCAATGAGAAAATAATTACCTTATCGTTAATAGCAAATAGATAGAAATGAATGCAAGTAATATACCTCATGATTGCTTTTTTCGCTTTAAAAGCAAATCCCATTTGTGCTTAGGCATCAGTATTCAAGAGAATACCTCCACGCGATCACGATCAGGTGACGAAATTTTTTTCGATCAGATACCTCGTTTTCAATATTTCCCGGGAAAATCAATCATTGGGGAAAATGGCCATTAGCGGGTTCGGGCCGGGCCTCAACACATGCTGCCCCCTGTCCGTAAAAATAGGATGATAAAAGTTCATTCATTTCCAGATTTTATTTTATGACAGGTTCAATTTTTGCATGATATTGCAATTAATTATCGATTATTTATGACAAAATTCGATCACCTAGATTATTAAATCAAAAATTGTTGATTCGTTCTATCCTAACTGCGATACTGAATAGATAAAATCATTAATCGGGTTGAGGAACAAGGAAGATTACGAATTGTGGCAACCGCTAGCGAAATGGTGTAATTTGTCCACAAGTTCAAAACATATAAGTCAATTCTTTACATTTACAGTTTCGTTTTCCTCTTTCGTATCTTTTATTAAAAGATAATTTTATGAACATCAGTGATGGCAAGTAGTTTTTAGCTAAGAAGCCTTTAGTAAAATTTTTTGACAAACCCTTTTATGTTAATTTCTTTTATATCCATAGTTGCATGAAATTATAAGGTATTTAATCAAACCATAATCACAGAGAAAGCTTTTTCGTGACTTAAACAGCATGTTCCTTCCAACATAAGAATCAAAACTGCCCCTAAAAGAAAACAGCCTCCTCGATCTTGTAGGGCTAGAAACACTGTTAAAACAAGTGATTCTGCCATCGGTCAACATCTTTCAGACAACCCAGATTGTGCAAAACTCTATAATGACGACATGCTTCGGATAATTGGCAGAGCCCGGTCGTCCCTCCATCTAGCAGTTTTGGAGTCGATCTACATACAAACGAAAAAACCGCCATTGTGTAGACAGAAGGAGTTCGTTTTCTCTCTTGGACTCCAGTGGTAATTTTTCTTTAGGCTCGCGGCACTGATTGGTCAACCATACCGGTCTTCTGCTTGCGTTTTTCTGATTGGCCTATTTCGATCCACATCTGGGTATATATTTTCCATCGTGTTCTTTCGAACCCTTATTCTGACGTTTTATGCTCTGAGGAGTGTCAGACGAAAAAGCTTTTAGTATGTCGTAAAATTTTTGCTTTTTTCAAAGCCATTTTCAGATTCTGTACCGCAAAAAAATTGTTCACATTTTTCGTGACTAGTACACTATTTTTATAAAAACATAATTTAAAAAATGTCGAGGCTAAATTCGCCAAAAAAAAACAAAAATCGCAAGAACATAACCAGTCCAGGGGCGTCGTGGATAGTGACACTTAGGGGAGGGGGGAGGGGGGTACAGCTCGCAAGCTTTCCGACAATGGGTTTAAATTAAAATGATGACATCATGAAATGCATGCGCAGCAGAGAAAAGCCAGCATCCGCACTCGAACATTGGATAATTATAATCATCAGTAACCAGTATTTGTGATGAACAGCAAAACTCGCAATAAGTCTCCACATTCTAAGTGTATGAGAAGTCTCCACAGCAATAGTGTGTAAGCAAAATTGCCGATTACTTCATCAAACTGAGTGTCAAACGAGTCATGGTCAACATTTATTTGACCAGCCTGTTTTTACACACTCGAGCTTCAAAAATTGTACTGATGGGCAAGCTTGCCATTTCCAGTAAAAATGTACAGACCTGGACAGGCACACTTTAAAAAAATATCCTCTTGTTTTACTGTCTTCTGAAAAACTGTTCTGTTTATATCTTTTTTCTTATACTGATTAGTTCATTTGAACTTTCTTGCTTTTCCATGAACTTTAAATAATCTTTTACCGAACAGATACGAATTTTCCCATAAATCCACAAACAAAAGTAATAATTGCAAAAAACAAACGACAACGATATTTTGATAGTAAGTGCAGTTGGGGCTTCCAGCAATTAGATATGCCTGTTGTTAAAGGTAGGGTTTGAGGGTCAGTGGGTGGTGGGGAGAGCAGAGGCCGGGTTTCTAAAGAATAACAAAGAAGATACACCGTAGGAAGAGAAAAAAAATTCAACTGGTTACAACTTGAGAAGCTTTCATTTGGTAAACACATTAGAATTCAATTTTGAAGAAGTTTCTTTCGCAAAGAAATGCAATTAAACTACGTGAATTAAATAATCGATACAAAAAGCAATTTGCTACAGCCTACAGACATAAAAAAGTTAGCAAGTCATTGCTTGTAAATAATAAAACTGTTTGAAAAATTAACAGAATCGGATCCTCGTTAATGGTGGATGCATGACTATTGCCATTTAGTTGTGCGAACAAACTAGAACAAAGTTACAAGCACGTCTTTTACCGTTACAATACCTGTAATCAAAGACCGAGATACAAATTTTTGTTGTTTGGGGGGGGGCCCTGATAAATAAGTGTAAAAACAGCCATATTTTACAAAATTAAAGTATTTTACTTATACCGGTCAAGTTTTTTTTGGGGGGGGGGCCTCTAAGGTCCTCTGCCCCCGGCCCCCGGTATCTCGGTCCTTGCCTGTTATAACCACTGAAATGACTTTAGTAAAAGAACTCAACAAAAATCGTTTCACTAACTGTTTACGTAAACTAAGCTATTCCAATTCTTGGTGCAATGGGACTCGCGTATATGGTTTTCATTTGAAATGTAAATAAAAAACTCATAATACAAAGAAAAGAACTGTAAAATTCGAGAATCCACCAACCAGAAATCAGATTCTAGACACGGGCAAATACATGAAATGTTTGAGTATCTAGCGACAATGTGTTTCGATGTTGACAAATGAATTGAAAAGGAAAAATTTAAAAATGTTCAACTATACTTATTTTATGGCTAGTTCAAAGAAATAGATGTTCAAAAGGCTGTTTAACGGCCTAAGGGCATGGAGAAACAGAACGGAACAATTGTAAACAACTAACTTTTGTGATGAGATTTGCATCAAAAAGTAAAGGAACGAGGCTATGGCCTCTTTTGAGATTTTGTTCAGTAAAACATTCAGTGAAATACTAAGTTCTTCACGATATAACACAGAACACAAAGCAAATTTATCTTTGGCATATTCGGCCAATATTTCAAGTTAAATTTTCACGGAACGCAACTTTCTACATGTTTAAATTGATTATTACTAGTAGTATCGGATGCACCTTTACTTTAGAACAGCGCACGGCAATGTTATTTTATGCACGTGCTGGCAGAACCCATTCGACATTCGACGCTACCTATAAACGCAACGATCACATATTACATAAAACCTAATCAAATATTTATGATCTGCCCTTATATGCCCCAATAGTGATTAAGCTCTCTCCCATTCACTGCTTCAACGATTAAATACATTTCCTGTAAAACATATTCATTGAACTCTGTAGTTAACCCCCGTTTCTCTTCTCTATTCGTTTATGTCCAGTAACCTTTGGTATTTAGCACCATAAAGAAACATCAATTAACAATCGCATTCAGCAAAATTTGGCTAATACCCACAGGCTGTCATGGTCTATCATCATCCGCATTCATAACATCGTGATGCAATCGTTATATTTTGTACGGTAACAAGTTGGGCACACCATAACTCTGAAAGCTAGGCCTGCGTATCACCAGCGTTACCGAAGAATGATGTGTTACGTCACTGGAAATCGCTCAGTACGGTTATACATGGGTCGGGGTATCGATGCCAACCATAAGTCTGTACATTGCAACTGGTAAAGTTTTCATGCTGATCTGAAGAAAGAATTATACACAATATTAAAACAAATGGGTGTTTTCTGTAAACAAATTCATTCTGCATTTGATAGAAAAATACGAATATACGACAAAGCCCGAATAAACAACAAATAAACGGGCATATGCGGCAGACGAGTCACGGCCAATTGTAGTAAGTTCAACAAAGAATTTACCACTAGAAGAAATTAAAGACAAAATCATTGGAACATTGTTTAGCGATTTCTGTTATTTGGGGGTGCCTGTTGATGATTGTAGAACTGTCTTAGGTAGATTTAAGGCCCTTTAAATTCTGGATTCAGGGCCAGGTGATAGAGGTACTCGACATTTTCAGTAATGGAAAAAGACTAGACCAAAAAGACAGATTAAATAAGTTAATGTGTTGAAAATTCTTGCAAAAAAATGAATGACGTAACTTACATCCCCAGAAGTAGTTGCTAAAATGTCAACAATATGTTGATGAGATTTGGCCACGACGCTTTCTCCATTAATTTCAATTATTCGATGGCCAACTCTGACACCTCCTCGTTCAGCAATGCCACCACGAAGTAAGCTACATATCTGCATATATGTGCAAAGTTAACAATCAGTAAAGATCAACAAAAAATGATTGAAATCAAACAGAAAGTTTTTTCCACCTGTTCAATTTCCTAAGCCTGTTTTCAATAAAAAGTTATTGATCTAAATTCTAGAGGACCGAACAATTGTGACGTCAGTATGATATTAGGGCCCCCCCAAGGCACCACTGCTGGTTCAAAAGGCATGGGAAACATTTTTCTGTACCCCATTTTTATCTTTTCTTGTTTCTGGCATAGAGTTTGAGCCAAATTGAGATAGATTTGAGCACTGACCACAACGATACTATAGAACTGCAGTATTGTACAAGCTGGCTGTTGTCTTAAAATAAATTCACATCCTTAACAATATCAATAGAAAAGTTACTCTCACCTAGGAATAGAGCAGCTGACAGGGCGCATTTTTCAAGTGCTGGTAGCCGTTTCAAGGCAATTTACAACAACGTTCATAAATAAAAAGAAATTACTGTCGTTGCAAAACTTACAGTGCCATTTTGAACGCTGAACCCCAATTGATATTTGACATCAGGTCGCGATACAACAACATCAACAACAGGAGGACATGAGACTATTTTGAGTATAACTCTGGCACTTGATCGAGTGTTCTAGGATAAAGAATCGTGAAGGTAAAGCCACCGAGCCACGGGCAAAACACGTTTTAACTATCAAAACACGTTTTACAAACATATATTATTAGATAAAACTTTTAAATAAGCTTATAATTTGCTCGTTTGAGCGATATACCTCATTCCCAGATCTCTACTTTTAGGGGACTGTGCTCTTATATCAACAGCTAAAAATAACATTTGCAGGGACTTTCTGAAAAATTCCTTAATGCTCTATTTTTGACTAGGTTAAACTTGCCATTCCTACCAACTACTATATGTAACAAATTACCATTTTTCTATTTACGAAAATCTTTCGTTCCGGGAAGTGACCATTTATCCCCTTTATAACATGTTTATATACAGACTGAAGTTGTATGCACGATTGCTAAAACACCTATTAAATGCTGATGTTTCCATTGGCTTAGGGAGACGTACGCTGTACGTTGATTGGCTTAGACGTCTTTAAACAAGCCGACATGTATACCGTAAGTGCTCGACAGATTCAGGAAAACATTACGGTCGCACGGCCACTGACCGGAGGAAGGTCCACGAAAAACAATAAAAGCTCCTATGACACACCCAAGCCACGCCCAATTTATATTGCTTTGTGAGGAAGGTTTGCCTTCTGGGATGTTTTTATCTGGAGCAAGGTTAACAACTTTTCTGGATTCTGGTGCTCGATAAAACCCCAGGGGCTTATTTCGCAAAAAATATTTTGGGGTGGAAGCTTATTCACAGACGGTGCTTTTTCGGGGGAGGGGGGCTTAAAAAGCAGCAACCAAAAAAAAATATGGGCAATTTTCTTCTTCTATTTAAGGATGGTCAGTATTCCTTAAAATGCAGATACAATGAGACAAACATTGCTGTCGAGGCACTACCTCAGCCTATTGGCGTTTATTCGAGTATGGGGACTTATTTCACAAAAATTACTTTAGGTTGGGAGCCAATTCGAGGGGGGAGGGGGGTATTCGAAGGTGAGGGCTTATTCCAGGGCTTACGGAACTACGGTATGACAATAAAGCAATACAATGGATGTAAAGCGGTTTCGAAAGCAACTCACCCGTAAAATCTGGTTACATTCCGAAAGAGGTAGTCCTACAAGACTTGCACCGTTGCAGGCAAGAATGTGATCTCCAACACTCAATGACCCACCGAGTCGTGCGGAAGGCGAATATATTGCAATATGGGCGACGAAAACAGTGGGAAGCATGGAGCCCCAACCGGATTCAAGTAACATAATGCCTAATGCCTCGCCTCTCTTCTTCTGTATAACGATCTACAAATGAAAAAACAGTAAATTTACAGAGAAACGAAGAAATCACTAAAGGAGGCGTGCGTACCATCAGTTATATTTCAATTTATTGTGTTCCTTTCTTATTCTCGGCGCGTCTCAGTGTTTCTTGTTCACGTTCATTTATCTGCTTCGCCGCAAGTATTCCTTTCAAATCCTTCAAGCAGTTTTGGTTCCATTACCTTTTAATTTTATTTACACAAACGAAGAAAGGACAAAGGAGCGGTTACGAACCCAGGTAATAATTTGAGGAAACCTTGACAGGAGGGGGGGGGAGGGGGTTGTTTGTTCTCAGATTACTTTTGGGTTTGACATTTTAAATTTTCATTGTTTTGGGTCTAAAAAAACGTTATCATTTTTTGGGTGTAGATCTCCAAATTACATTTTTCAATTGAAAACTTCTCTTTAAATTAAAATAGTTTTTCTGTCTGATAAAAGGTTTTGAATCCTGTTTTTGGAAAACACTGACTCCGGATGAGATGAAAGAAGAATTAAGACACACACTCGTGAATCTTTATAAAATAATTACTTTTCTTTGAGAAATAATGTCTCACTCGGAGAATTACATATCAAAAACAGCCTATTACTGTTTTCAAAACAAAATAAAAACAATAAGGTTAATAATTACGCTTTTTGTAGAAACAGATAAGACAACGACAAATTACATACGACAAAGCAAGTCTGTGTTCAAGGTCTTTTACAGCTGCTGTTATAAATCAGCTGAGAATATAAGAGAAAAATTAAATGCTAGATTCTTGTGCTTCGAAAAAAAAACGAAAAAAAATTCACACAACAGTTGCTACAAGTTGACTGCAGCTTTTTTCAGCTCCAAAAAAGGAGCAATACGTGGCCAAGGTGCACAAAACATTTACTTTCTTGCTTAACGAATGGAGTGCCTGAGGATCTGAGGCTATGTCGTTGATGTTTTGGGTAGATATATGAAAAAGAACGTCTCTACAGGAGACACGTATTTGATCTTAGAGCTGAGTATAATCAGGACTTTGACGATTATTGGACAACATTAGGAGCAAAAGGAATTGTTTATTGAAAACAAAGGATATTTACTTAAAGGTGGAGGGATGAGCCCCCAAAGAACAATATTAACCATAGGATTGGTATGATGTCATAATTTACTACCCAAGGCAGCATCTGACTTCATGTATGTTGCATTCGCATAACACGAAAAGACCTGGCATGGTACAAAAGCTATCGTAAAATAATCTGTGTTCTTTTTTCTAACCGTTAACAGTCTTAAACTCCTCATCCCGAGCAGAATACTTAATTTGAATAACACTATCAGACCTATGAAAATGCCTATACTTACATCTCTGGTATTGCTACTGTCCGCGAGTAGGTCGAGGTCTTGGCCAACGATTTTCTGCGACTCTAGCACATGGCAATATTCAGCTTCTTCAACGTTGTCGTGGGAGATTCCATTGGATTTCAGGAATTGCCGATAGGCCATATTGAAAGCTTGGCCAATGGCCTTGGAAATTGTTTGTGCCTAGGGAATCAAAGAAGGTGGATTATCAAAATTATTAATTATGGTTAAAGAGATTATGAGATAAAACACACAAAAGAGTTTAAATTCAGAAAAATACATATAATTACTGTCCTTAAAAATTCATGAACAGCCATCAGAAATCCAAAAGAAACCTTTCGACAATGATACAAATGTTTGAATTTCATAATCGACATAACGAAGGATTACGACAAACCATAATACTAAATTGAACAGTACTGAGTCGCTACTACGTTTAAATTACAAAGATTTAATGACTCGTACTTTTAAAAAGCACAATAATCCAAATTAGCAGTCAGCTAACTTATAACACCAGCGCTTTGACAATTTCTAATTTTGCAACGACAAGATGAAGTGATATTGGTGACGTCTGAAAATTGCAATGATAGAGACTTTATCGACTGCGATATGACGATGAAAACGATGACGATTATTGATAATGATCGATGAATGATTGATGGTGATTGATCAAAGTGATTGATCATGGTGATTGATCGTGGTGATTGATCGTGGTGATTGATCGTGGTGATTGATCGTGGTGATTGATCGTGGTGATTGATCGTGGTAATTATGATGATGTTGTTTGTCCATGCATAAGATGATTATAATGATCAACGACTGATTGATGATTGCCGATGATAGTTTGATTTTTTGTAAAATCAGAAAATTAAATGTTTCTAGTGAAACTGTTTCTTCTTTGGAAGCCTAATGCACACAACCTGTCGGCAGTATGCAAATACTGCCATGCAAAATGTTATTCCATATTAATATAAAACACAAGATGTGTATCGTTGATAAACACAAAAAATAAACTTGAACCTATTTTCTCAATTTAACTATGCAAGCGCTAAACGTAACATCTGTCGCCAATTAGTATTTTCAATTCACAGACTGGATCCTTCTTCGCAGTTATCAGCATGAAGCGTTGATCACCAAAGGATGTTGATCACACAGGGGTGTTATCTTAATGAGGAGTTAATCGCCGGGAGACATAATTCATAAAAGGAAGCTTTTCACTAACGGGATTTATCACTGAAGGACGTTTTTTAATTAAGGGGCGTTAATTTCTAAGGGGCGTTTATTTCTCAGGGGCGCTTATTTCTCAGGGACGTTTATTTCTCAGGGGCGTTTATATTTAAGGAGCATTGACGAGTGGATAATTAAAAGCTGAAGATGTAAATTTCGCATAATGCACAGGAAAAATTGCATACCAGCAAAGCAAGATGCGAAGAAAAACTGTCAGCAAGGAAAACTATCTTTAGACATAATACAAAGATTTTTAATCGCAATTCGTAATGAGTGTTTTGTTCAAGAGCACCCAATAAATCAAGTACAAGGTACAATAGACTTACAATTCTGTTAAAAAGCTATTATTAAAAATAGACAATTTAATACTCAATCCAGCGTGCATCTTCCAGTGATATTTACCGACTACACAGAAACATCTGTCCAGTATTTGCAAAATGGGATCGGCTCCTCATTATTCCTGTTATTTTATTTGTTATTGTGATAGAAAAAACGTACAAAGAAAATTGTAATCAAGTGATCTTACGGTAAATCATATTTTTCTTAATACAATCGCAAAAAATATGAAAGTGCTGGTAAGAGGTTTAGTTTGCAATCGTTGTGCAAATTTGCATGCTCAAATGTAAGGATCCCCGAGTTTATTAAACTAATTGCAAGCGCCCACACAATAATCAATGGTCTGAACGATAAAAAAATAACTTTAAGTTTAAGTGAACTACGAAAAAGGTTTTCAGTTCCTGGAAAAACGTCAATCATTTCGTAATTTCATGTAATTTAAAACTGATATCTCGAACAAATATATCAATTATTGAAGACTCACCTCTTCACACTGAAATATATGACAGATATTTTTCGACGTTCGCTGCTCCCTTTCTGCAAGAAGTTTCGATAACGAAACGGAACCTTGTTTGTCCAGACTGAGATCGGGCAAATCAGTAGTTAATCGCCGCGACATCAGAACGAGGATGTCCCCCATGTCGCAGATGAAGCATACAGTGCGCAATGCATGATCCATCATGACGTCTTCGTGCTGTCGAGAAAGAAAACGGCAATTGACTAACAAAGAGCATCGTGGGAATACACTGCAATGATGATACGTGTAAGACGAGAACTTGGCGCGCAGCTAGTGGAAAACATCGGCAGCAGGTTTGATATCTCCAAGTCAATAAGAAATATGCTGTTGTAAATTTTTTATGCTTGCATTATTAACAGTAATAGAAAATCATACTGCGCAGATGGTTACCCGGCATGATAAACAGGATCCACGAAAATCTTGATTATTGAGCCCTCCGTTTGAAATTCAGAGGCGGTCGTACGAGTAACAATGTCACTAGACAAACATCTCAATTACAGCGATAAAAAAGATGGCTCTGATAATGTCAAAAAGTGCTTGAGTATTCTTAACTGGAATTAACAGTCGCTGAAACGTAAAGGCTAATCTAAATAACTGATTTCCTTCATCTCCGCCCTTTACGTACAGTCTTAAAAAGTGTCTAGTTTGGCGGTGTACAGAGATTCGCACTATCGAAAAGATTTCATATCAAACAAAGCACTGTAGTCCTTGATACTGATCCGATTGGCGATATTTTTGTAGCATTGAGTGCAACGTAAATTTTCAAAACTGTTATTGGGACTTACAAGGTAATAATAAGAATAATAATAATAATTTCTTTTTAAATATCTCATTTTCATTTAATACATTTTAAATTTACAATTATACGACTCGCTTTTACAGGCATCATATAATTGGCTTATCTGCATTACAATATTTAAAAGTCAATTAGTTCGGGCCTTAGCCATGGTTTGTTTCGACGACAGAAGATATAGTAGGTGCAGCGGATAGAAATGTTCATGAGTTTCATCAAGATGGATTTAGTTTGATTTGAGTCAAAATTAAGTTGGTGTAGCATGTCAGAGAGGGAGGTAGATGTGATTCCTAGAATGCCAAGGGCACTCATAGAAAGGTTAACAAAGGTAACACGTTCATAGGCAGGGTTCAGTTCCTTGATAATAATAATGGAAACTTTTCATTTTGCATTCCAGTTAAAAAATACAATTACAAATCTCACTATTACAAGGTAATTTGTAACTGGCTAGCCTGTTTTTACAAAATAAAACTATTTCAATCGTAGTAATGAGAAAAGAAAAAAAATGTTTAAAGGGGAGTAGCTCTGGATTAGTCCAAGTTTTGTTTCTACAGCTTAGTCCAAGTTTTGTTTCTACAGCAGAATATATAGTATATGGTGCGAATGGAGATGCTTGTAAGTCTGGAGATGAGATAGCGTTTCTGTTGATGATCAATGGACAAAGAGTCACACATGTCGATAAATGAGCTGCAGGAGTCGCCAAAAATACCAAGTGAACTGATGGAAAGATTGACAAACGAGACTGACTTAAACTGACGTTTTAAGTCAGATACGAGGGTGGCATATTTCTCTAACTTTCTGACTTTCGAAGCCTATGGTTAGCTCTAAAACGTACAGACAGTTTTCCTTAGTTTTGAGGGGTAAGTCAGGGCGTAGTTGATCTCCAGTTATGATAGAAGGGGAAAGAAAGCCTGGTAAATCTGCGTAGAGAGAAGACCCATTTATTGCTTGGAAGGAAGTGGCTAGAAAGTTTAATGCAGAATTATGACGCCAAGTATAGCGGCCTTGGTCAAGGTACATTTTGCATCCAGCAACAACATGTAGAAGTGTTTCTGGAAGAAGACAGAATTCACAGTCAGATGTTTGACTAGGGTTCCATTTCAGCAGGTTTTAATAATAATAAAGAAACTTTTAATTTTGAATTCCAGTTAAAACTAGAATTACAAATCTCACTATTACGAGGTAATTTGTAACTGGCTAGCCTGTGTTTACAAAACAACCGGTTGAAGTGAGCTTATATAAAAAAAACTTAAAACAGTGGCAGTTATAAAAAAGTTTACCAGTTATCAAACAGTGGCAGTTAGAAACTGGTTGGTATACAGTTTCAGGCAAATTCAGTGTAAAACACTACAAAGAATTACCCCAGTTGCGGTAAAAAGGTTTCATGAAACAAATTTTCTGTAGCGTAACCTATGCCGGTGTAATATGCGTTTTGGTACCCTATGCAAAAGTGTAACATTGTGTAACAATGCAATGTGTTTCAGATCGTGTGATTTCATCATTGTGCGATGTTTTGACACGTTTTTAAGAGTTTAATATTTAAAATTTTCCATAGCGTAATGTTTGGAGTCGCCATTAATGTTGTACTTTTTTTGCATAAACTTAACAAGGGAAATCACAGCACCGCTTCTTATTTGCATCCCTTTTAGAGAAATAGTTCAACTGTTCTTTATATTCTGAACAATATGAACCAGAACATTCGACCGTTTTGCATGCTAAGTTCCACCATTCGTTTTGGTACTCTATTGTTTAAGTTCATGGGTACGTTTTTGCATAACCAAAATTGTCATGCGTTTGTGTACCCAGACCAAAATGCATAAGGTTACCGACACGCATATGACACCGGCACATTTTAGTTACAAATGTTCGTTTTCGGGCATAAAGGTCTTTTTTCAGCCCTTTGCAGTAGAAGTTCTAAGCTTAGCATTAGAAGTGCACTGAAAATATTTATATGACACTCCATTAAAACGTTTACTTCCTTAAAACGAGTCCCTCCTTAAAGCAAGTATCTCCTTAAAATGGGCCGCTCCTTAAACCTGGTAGCTACTCCAAGAGAAGGAGTCTCAATAACGGACAAATAATTTCTCCCAAATTTCTTTTAAAATAGAAAGAGCTTTATAGTTTACTAAGATACTATGATATAATGGTAATATGGTATTATGATACTATGATGCTGTGATATCGTGAAACGTTGATGTTATGGTACTATGGAATTATGATATTATGAAAATATAATGTTATGATACCATGATGCTATGATAAACTATGGTATCATGGTATTATGATACCACGATATAATGGTATTATGGTATCATGATACAATGATGCTATGATATCATGATACTTTGATGTTATGATACTATAGAATTGTGAAATTACAATAACATAATGTTATGATACTATGATGCTATGATGTTATGATATTATCGTACTATGATATCATATTACTGTGATGTTACGATCCTGTGATATTATGATACTGTGATGTTATGATACTATGATGCTATGATATTATCATACTATGATATCATGTTACTGTAATGTTACGATCCTGTGATATTATGATACTGTGATATTATGATACTGTGATGTTGTGATACTATGATGTTATCATAATATGATGTGATTATACCATGATGTGACGATACTCTAATGTGACAATACTATGGTTCTATCATATTATGCCATTACGATATGGGTTCATAGAGTACTGAAATCTTTTTCTTTTTTTATGGAATTCCTGTGTAATCAGTTTGTTGACATTGGGACTACAACGGGCAAATAAAAAAACAGATAAAGTCGAAAGATATGATTATGTAAGAAGAAGTCTATTAATGAAATAGTTAACATTCACATACCTTTCCTTCACAATTGAGAACTTTGATTCGCTCAAGTGAAATGACAATGTCGACATCTGTGGCTGGCTGTACCTCTCCGTCGGGAACCTATCATAGAGAAATCATGAAAAGCCATTATTTTCAAGCTTGTGGTGATGAAAAGATAACAATGTAGTAGATTTGAATAGCTGTTTAAATAAGATGCGAGAGACATATTTGCTGTGTTTTCTTGCTGCAGTTTTGTGAATATTATATTCGTAGCCCTTGGTTAACTGTAAGGTGCAGAGGTACAAGCTTTTCTCCATTTATGATCCTTAGCGAAAGAAAGCCACGCATATAAGCGTAGATAGTCGATCTATTTACAACTATGAGAGAGGTTGCTAGAAAGTTCAGGATAGAGTTGTGTCACCAAGAACAACAAAAGTCTTTTAGCATACTAATTTGCAGCCAGCAACAGCCTGAAGAAAGGTTTTCGCAGTTCTCAATTTTTTTATCACAACAATAAAGCACTATTCATAAGTGACATACACTTCTAAAATGTTCTTAATAACGTTCTGAATTTTATAAAACCCAATCTCAGAGCGAATTAAAAATACAATAATAAATGTATATATTAGCACCAGAATAACGAAAATTAATTATTTTTCAAACGCTCCGCTGTAGTTTCAACATGATACTAAAGAAGTAAGAAAATAAATTAAAATTTGATAAATCAAGCCTCTTTAGCCCAATTTTTTCTTTGTTGCAATAAAGTTTTTTTCAGTCAAAGTGATGCCAAATTTTGATAATTAAAAAAATTTTGCTTCTCCTAAAATATGATTTGCAAAATGCACTTTCAGATGATGCCGTCAACATTATTTGAACAAAAAAATAAATAATATCATATAATTATGCAGATACTATAATCCTTATATTCGTTATTCTTTGAAAGCCTATTAGGATTATAAATCTCGGTTAATTTCTACTAAATGAGAAGATATTTTAATCCACAGCAGCTAATAGCAACCGCAATTAGGGAAACATAGCTGATCTTTGTCAAAAATTCATGGAAATATACTGGGAACACTGTTGGTTTCTTCATCTGCCATGAAGAAATTATGAACAGTTTTTCATCCTGTTTACAGGTAATTGCACATAGAAGTGAAAATAACAAGTAAAGAGGCTTCTTAATTAAATTATGTACGAGGAATACCTCAACTCAATTTATGTTGTCGACTTGAAACTCACACAAAACCCCAAATTATTGGGATTGGAATTAAACCCCAATTTGTAATCCGGATAAAAATTTTCATACTGATTGTTGTATTGTAGATTTTATGACGATAAAAAGTTTGAAAGACTACGATAATTGTTTCACGGGAAACTTTTCACCCCCAGTTGCTAATGGTGGTCAAATCTCTAACGGCACTTTAACTTGATGTGTCTAGAAAATCAATTCCACGAGCCTCATATGTAGACTTCTGTTCGTTAATGTGATTTTGAAGCCAGTAGTTTAGTTATGAATTTTCAATACTATGAAAGAAAGGACACTAACGAAGAACTGAAAGTGGCGATGACTATGTAAACCTTACGGCGATTCCATAAAATAGATAACAGTTGAAACGGGCATGCTCGAGACGTCGTTAATAAATTCGCAATTAATCCTAGTACATCCAGTTAAATTTCATGGAATTTACTCTGCTGGCGATTTAAATTACGTCAACGTGAATTATGACATGAATTGTGATGATGATTATGACAACGATGGCTGTGATGAATTATGATTATTATCATTGGAAGATTTTAAGATAGAGAGAGAGAGTTTGGATAGATTCAATTAAGCATTTTTGATGCGTCACTTAGACGCTTGCTATACGCTGTTGTTGTAATAAATGAGTATCGCCTGAATTGGAAACAGTTAATATTAGCTATCAAGAAAACTTTTGGGTATACTAACAGTTTGAACTAAAGAAAAAAAGAAGTGGAAAAAAGAGAGGAGGAAAAAAGATGAAGGGAAGAAGGAAGATGACAAGGAGAAAGAAAATAAATAAGGGATGATGAAGCAGAAGAAGACGACAAAGAAGAAGAATCAAGAGAAAGAAGGAGAGTGGGAGGAAGAAGTAGAAAAAAGGGAAGAAGAAGAAAAGAAGATAGAAAGGTGGTTAAGGTAAAATAAGAGTAAAAAAAACAAAAAAAGACAATAAGGGGAAAAAAGAAATACGACGAAGTAGAAGACGACCAGGAAGGAGAAGAATAATAGAGAGAAAGAAGAATTGGACAAAAATAAAAAAGATGTTAGAAGAAGAAGAAGAGGAAACAGAAAAAGCGGAGGAAGAAGAAAATTGGAGAAGAAAGAGAAGAAATAAAGGTGGTAGATACAAAAGAAGAGTAAGAAGAAAATGAAAAAGGCAAGAAAACGAAAAAAGACAAAAAAGAATAAAGAGAAAGTGTAAGGCGACAAACAAGGAAGAGAAGAATAGAGAGAAAGAAGAAGACTCGGACGAAGAAGAAAAAAGGAAAAAGAAGAAATAATGGAAGAAGACAAACAAGAGAACAAAAATAACAGGAAAAAAGAAGATTAAGACTGGTCACTGATCATGGTCAGTTGGATTATTGGCTGGTTAACTCAACAGTTCATTTTGATCAGCAATGCACAAACCAATATGACACTGTTGTTTCACCAATATTCTGTAAAACTTCGATACAGGAAAACGATTAGTCATTTCATGATGTCATACCTCAAGAATTGGTAGAACGATTAAAAGAATGATCTGCGTGATCAATCGATGATTAATCAGTAGGATTTTGGTACCTTGATCCTGGCAAAGGCTTCCCTTGCTTGTTCCATTCTTGTTTCCTTTGTAACCGGGTGCTGGGAAAGAACCTGAGTTGTCCCAAGGTACTGTAAGAAAAGAGACGAATGTTAACCAAATTTGGTTTTAAACTAATAGAATTTGTAGGTCTTAGAGTACTAATTTAGTGCATTCCGGGCAGATGTGCAGTGCCTTAGCTATGCCCTAACTAGGAAACGTTAACGTTTTTGAACCTGCTTCTCGGTCCCCTGTAGTCATCAGAGTAAATAAAGGCAACAAAGAACACGCTCAAATCAAACACGCTCAATTGTAGAGCTCTGGGTTATTTCATATACCACAATCAAATAAGCGAAATGTTACAAGGAAAAGCTAACAAACGTTTTAATAAGATTTTTCTGAAAGAAAACGATATTCAAATTTCCGCATATCAAATTCAGCCATCAACAGCAAAATTATAAAGAAGATGAACAGACCCAAAATAATGACGAGTTTATTGTGCATTGTTATATAAACCAATCATAGCCTTGGATGTCTATCGAGATCAGGCACAGTGTGTCGGCCTATTTTGGTCCATTGTAGGGTATTAAGGACACACAAATAATGAATTTTCAAAATCTGCAACAGCTGCGAGAAAAATGGGATTATGAAATGTTAAAGATCATCTCGCAAAAACTCTGAAGGAGAGCAATTGATCCTTACATTTTCCTTGTTTCCTTTAATAAATGATTCAGAAATAAAAATCTTGATATATGTGATTGAGAAGAAGGTGGGCCTGTGGGTTCACTATCCCTGTCTTTAAAGGTCATATCAATCAAGATACTGCCACTTTGAAGTGATGAAGGATTTTGGTTTTAAGGACAATGGTAATCAAGCGATGCCTTTAGTTCATTTTAGCGGATGAAGATTTGCTCCTTCTTGAGCATTCGAGTAATCGTGAAACAATGAACATGCTTTCATGGCCATTACTGGAAAATAGAACTCATTCATAACATCAGATAACATCCTCCGTAAAAGTTTTGAAAGAGAAGACAATCCGTTGCAAGAATCAAAAAGAGAAATAGCGCTGCTAAAACAAGAAATTGCCCAGCCTCTTAATTCTTGTTAATGCTTGTTAATGGGATATAACTCCTCCTCTTGGAGACCTGATCAATAATTAATGCTGTTTTTTCAATGTAACAACATTACACAAAGAAAACAAGTGCTTTTAAAAATTTCAGCATTTACATCAACATTGATTCACCAAAGGGTGTTGAATTGAGCAATGAAATGTTTTGAAAAATGCATTCAAATTGCGTTCTTAAAAAACCCACCTTCATTTTGTATCTAGCACCTCCTCTGAGCTCATCTGTCGTATGAGGTCCTTCAATACCTTAAAAAATGGAGAAAAAATTTGAACAAAAAAGGAACAGAATCGGTTTTACAGAATATAAACAAATCAGTTCTTACAAGGACGGGATATTTATTCTCCGAACATTTTCAGTAACATTTTGATTCTAAAGAAGCTCGATCAACTATCTAATTGAATAGCAATAAAATACTTTATATTTATCTAACTTTCGAAAAGGCCAAAAAGCAACATTATTCATATGGCTTGAGCATATTGAGGTAAACATTTGCAGTATAACATACTAGAAACTGTTTCTGTTTGTTCGCATGATTTAATTTGAACAAAACTCAAGAAACAAAAATTACGATACAAATTTACTACTGCGTTTATAAAAAAACAAACCCTTACAGACTGGCAAATGACACTACAGAAGTGTACTTAAAAATAATTGAAGCTTCTGGTTTGTTCGTGAATTTTAGAACATCACCAAATGAAAGTAGCTTAATTGGAAGACTTTTTCTAATGTTCTTTAGACGAAAACCAGGAACCCTACAAACAGATTTTATGACCTTATAGCTGACCTATCTAGCTACCCTATTTCCTACGAGCCTTAAAGATTTAACAAAACACACAAAGAACGTCTGAACTAAAGCGATTTGTCTTGGCACATCTGATCACAAGAAGAGCGGAAAACAATTTTCGGATACAAAAAGCAGTTTAATCACTAGCCTACAAAATGTTACATGAAAGACGAACAAGTCTTCTTTAAATACTGTTTGCTTACTGTATCTTCTTTCTAACAATAGATGTTATTCACTGATTTTATAGGCTTGTAGTATCATTTCAAACTGAATTTTTTCTTGTCATCATCCTGAAGGAGCATCCAAAAATTGAAGAGTCCAAATATCCAGTTTATAACAGAAGAAAATTAATTCCTCGATCCATATCTTTGATGCCCTTAAGCACAATAGTTAAATGTAGGATGGATGAAGGATATAAAAACAAGCAGTCTTATAAAGTACAAGCAATAAAAAGGATACATTTCATCGCGCTGTTAGAAAGCACTTGCCAAAAATTGAATTCTCATTGCTATGACAGATTTTACAATCAAAAATAGGACTGTATTCAACTTTGGCAATTGTAATAGATCAACTAAATCAGCCTTATGGTTCTGGCGAAAAAATTGGATTAAAAGCATAATCTTGTTTTGAGATAATGAAATACAACTTTTACTGCACAAAATAGTCTCGATTATGAAGATTTTTTATGTTGATAAACTGAGAGTATCATCAATCAAAACTAAACCCTGTAAAGGACGCCGAATTTGGCAAGGTTGTATTAAAGAATAACAGTAACCCTTATCCTTGGCAATATTTACAAAACAGCACATCTTTAATACATGATGTTGAATTTTCAGTTTGTGTTCTATTTTGACTGTCTTAAAATTTAATTTTACTGACTAAATAAAGACAGTACATTGGACAACGATTAAACGGACATTGCTCTATCATAAAATTTATTATCTTTCTAATTGTTAATCTCGTCGAATTTTTCGCAAAATATTTTCTATAACATTACAAATGAACTAAATACAAATATACTGATCATCGCAAAAATGAATAGAGAAAACTGGCCTGGCATGACTGCCTCAATATCGCTGCATCGGGGCCAATTAAGATCTGAGCGAACGAATATATCTCCAAGAACACATAAGGGCCTAAACGAATTCTGTCTGGTTCAAGATCTTTTGAAGATCTATCTACAGTTCTCAGACTCACCGAGGGGTAATTCACTCTTACAAATAGCGAAAGATAATTTCACCAAAACCAAATGATTTCACCAAACCAGGGACTTGAAAATAAAACAATAGGATTCCCCCCTCGAGACTCAAAACTGTCCAAAAATCTGGTTGTGGTTGGCTAAAGAACTGTGCAATTATGCAACAGTGTGTGCAGAATTGCTTTCGAAGTTTAAATAGCTAGAGCACAACTATGTGCAAGGGGATTTGTGAAATCACAAAACAGAGCATGCTCTAAGACACTTTTCAATAATTTTAATATCTTACGGATTATAAGAAAGTACTGAAGTACTATAAACCACAGAAAAGCTGGCAAACAACGACGCGAGTAAAACAAGCAGGAATGAATGATTCACAACTAAACTTGCCATGGCCTTAAAGTTGAAAGCAACGTTAATCCTTTCATATCTAGTGATTCAGAATGATAAGGTCATACGGAGAAGGACAGGGAGGTTGCATAACACTTTTACGGCTATCAAAACAAAGAAAGATGTGTAAAACAGCGAAACAACGGGAAACAAATAATTGAAATGCTCCATATGTGCACTAACTGAAATATCCAAAACCTCAAAGTCACAAGATGGCGTAGGATTTGACTTCAATGCAAATATTACGTCATATTTTAGTTCCCAGCTCTCTCAACTTGAGAATCAATGCTAGAAAAAGCGGTCGTCTTGTTTGTTACAGAACACTTACTCTAAAAAACAACTTCACGACAACCTAGAAGAGAACACGAATGAGCACCTCATATAACCCATTCGTTGCAACGGCTGGAGGCAACTCTCATGGATCGAATACAACTTTATACCAATTAATATTCGTCCAAATTATTTGATCTACAAGCCAATCAAACATTGTGCGTGTAAATCGAATCAATGCTTGAAACCTCACATTGAAACCTCACTATGGCAAAAGCTCAAATTGGACTAAAGCTATAGCATCATACAATTCGTTGTGTAGAGTTGGGGGAGGGGGGCGTCCGTTATTTGAAAGGTACATGCAAAGACCCTGAAAGCAGAACAGAAAATTTAGGAGGAAGTTATTTTTGGGTCATTTGGCGTGTACGTTGTTAAAGAGTATTTTTACAAGTGGCATTTTACAAGTCTGTCTAGGCTTGCAGGGTATTACCCAATGACTGCAGATTCAACCATGGACAACATGGGCATTTTTCGGGTAAAGTTACCAGAGGAAAATTCCATTTAGTTAAAAGAAGCACATATATCTCCAAAAATTGGGGTTGAAATGTCGTAATTTCACTTCGTGGAATAACACCTCTCTTTCTATGACGCAAATCCTTAAACTTGTATAAAGCAGACTAAGATAGTGACAAAGGTTGACGTAAATTAACCCTTCGTTTGACGTTCTTCTAAATTTTTTCTCGCCATTTGTATATCTTTAAATTGACTTGCTATACGGTACTAAGGAAACATTTGAGATATGCTGTAATGCTGAAGATTTAAACGCCAAGTAACTAATTGAACATATGTTGTGGAGATTTCTAGATATCCTCCTTTTCGGTTGAATAACAAATCTAGAAAAATTTAGCAACTGCTTAACAAACTCCGAACTGCTTAAAAATTTAGAAGTAGCAAAATTTCAAATTGAAGTAAACAAAGTGACATAAATTTCCTCATCGTTACAGACGCTTTAAACCAAATGGAATGCCGTTTCAATAAGACTTGGGTCCAGTGGTTTAAGCAATAACCTCAATTCGACTTAAGAGCTTCAAAAACAAGAATTCGACCTCATTTTTACGATAAGCATAATCTCTCGTGAATATGCAAGTTAACAGTTTGCGACGGGGGCAATATGAGATTTCATTTCATTTAAAATTGAAAAAAGGTATTTGACAAGTTTCGTGTTCAAATTGGAAATCCTGTCATTGAAAAATGCCTGGCGTGGGACAATCGCTTAAGATAATAAATTCTCTTTAAGAACTGAAGTGCAAAAAAATAATTGGATATCAAGCGTTATCTAAAAAACGACAGAATCACGGCTTTGATAACAATGATGGCAGACCAAAACGAAAGGACACAATGCATGCTGACATCACAAGGGCAAAATGGACTGACGTCGAACGTGAGATGAAGCATACACAACAAGCAAAAAAACTGCCGTATCTCCATAAGCACACCCTGATGTCCAGCTGATTAATACCTTAGCATTAGAAACTGAGTCGGTACGTTTGGGCAATATATTGAAAATACAGATTTAAGATACTCAAGATGGAAATTGCCGAGATTATCACATAGAAACAAACAATTTATAATTATTTCGTATTCATCACATATCCTGATATGAAAGCTTTCTGCTACTCGAATAGGAAAGCATTAAGAATTTAAACACGTGCTGAACACACTTCTATCTACATCAAAAATCACCGACATGTCAAAAAGGCTAAAGAACCAGATAGGGTTGAAAATAAAAAAAGTCGACGAATTTATACGAAAATCAGTAGTAAATAAACAGATGAAAATGATGATACGTTTTAAAAGAATAAAAGCAAATCAAAATAAAACAGACTCGAAATGTGATAATAGATACCACGCGGGAAAAATTTACATAAAAGATGAATAAAAGATTTTTAGTAAAATTTTTAGATCAGAAATTGTAAAAATAATGCTAACTTACTTGGTAATATCTCTTCCCTTTTCGGTTCCGGTGGGTCCTGCACAATTAGTTGATAGGTCATTTATTACAGGTATTTTCAAAAGTTCGCAATCAAAACAACGACATTAGCATCAGGTTATAGAGGCCAAATAGTTGCGAAGCCTCGTAAAAATGAAATTGACTCGTAATGCGTAACAAGTGATTAGCGTAACAGCTACACAAACGCTTCAACGAAGCTTAAAATCAATAAATGTTTTAAAACCCATCACGCTGGATATCCAGTGGAGTATATGTGGATGACCCGTTCTAATACTTCCTTGCCAATGATCAAGACAGGTGCGTTTGCGAGGACAGAAGAGAAGCATTATTATCGTGTTGGAAATCCCATGTAGGGCTTAAATAATTCATTCTACTAATGAAACGCCCATAGAAACTCTTGACAAAGTAATAGTGACATCAATGACAGAATTTCAAATTCAGTTACAACAACGGAAGTGGAGGTTGTTGATATAGCAAACATTATGAACTCCGTGATAAAGGCGGCCTAATCATCAAAATGTTGGGAGACCTTTTTAGCTTCTGGGAATGTCCTCATGACAGTCTTCAAACCGCGAATAACACAAAACATTTATCGAATCATCATATAGTTATCGAAGAGCAGGGGCAGAAGCAAAATAATTAGGGTCACATCATTTTAGAGTCACTTTATTCAGGATCCATAAATTTTAGGAAAATGATTCAGTCTACATTAAAATAAATTCAAATATTTTGGGTTTTCAACAAGCTTATATATTAGGGTCTACGCATTTTGGTTCTGACTTGGACACCCCCGTAGAGTTCAGGCAATTGCAGTCCCTAAATCTACAATAAAGAAAAGGAGTCACTGAACCATTTTTAGTTGGCCGAGAACAGGGTCAAAAGCAACAACAAAATTATCAGAATCGTCAGAGATCACGAAAGTCGAGTTTCAAAATCTTAGATTGATAAAAAAAGCCGTTGGGGAAATGTGAAATTTCCGTGTAAATTGTACAACATAGTGACTGAAAGCTATAAAAACCAAGTTCAGTCCAGCGAGAGCCAGTTGCCAAAGAACAAAAAAAGGGTTGTCGATTAGCTTTATGCCAGTTTTCAACTGAAAGAACTTAAATTCTCTGTGGAGGCACAGTCGAGAAGGGAAGGGAAGGAAAGGAAAGCACGAAGAAAGCACAAAAAGGAATCACAATTCGTCGAAATAGTCATAACTGTATCAGGAAGAGGGTTGGACATGGGTTTATGCCAAAAGCAAGCATGTGTAATATAGATTAAGAAAAAAATTATGTACTGTTTACGAAAATAAGTATAGACAGGTGTCATTTTGCTAACGAAGTGATCCTCTCCTCTCCCTCACATCAAGGAAAGCATGGCTCAGGCTTGGTTATATGCCCTCATACCTCATCATCTGGGAAAGATGTCTAGACTGTTAATATTGAATTTGCATTTGAATATTAATACATGCAAAATTTTAGATAGTAATGAAGGATGGACTCTTATTATTAAATTCCATGATGAGGGGCCAAGCGATAACCATAATAAAGATCCCATGTTTCATTCCTTCGACATAAGAAAAAATTAGGCATGCTATTATAAGGTAAGAGTAATTTAGGAGTGTGGAGTGTGGAATCGAACAAGATTTAGTTGAAAATTAGTTACGAAATATAAATAACCCAGATGATAAATATTAGGACTTGCACAGACAATCAAGGTTGCTCTCAAATGCTATCATCTATTAGCGATCAGTCTAAAAACAGTTATTATTTGACGAAAATACAAATGAAACTTTAACTCCCGCAATATCACGGACAAAGCTCGATTTTTTTGCTTGAGAAAAGTCCTGCATTGCAATGTTTCTCTTTAAACTTGCATTGAAATGTTTCGCAATGATGTGTTAATCTCAATGTCGATTCTATAAGAGATCAAACAAGTCTAGCGAACCATAATCGAAGATATCCAACCAATGAAGCCCTGGTTAAACGATTAATCATGCACTGGACATGCACTGGACAAATGTCTACCGCATGCGTCGTCTTGTCGCCTTTGCCCAGTCTTAGTTATGTTCAGCGACGTTGTGCGAAATTTCGTTTGTTCATAGGTGCTGTTGAGAAATGTTCAATCTTTTCGCCACCGCCAAAAATTTCGTGATTTTCACACACTTGACTAAGTGAGCAATGTCCAGTGCATGTTCAGTGCAAATGTCCAATCGTTATTCAGGGGCTTAAAAAACAGGCCAGTCTCTAAGAAACAGAAACAGGTTTGGTAACTTCAAAACTTTCTGGGAATCAAGAAAATTGAAGATCCTTTCATACACTAGGATGAATGTGCTTGCTAAACACGACAGTAAGTGAAAATCTAAAGAATTTCAGAAGGTAATCTAGTAAGGTACCACAATTTGGCCTAACCCAGTAATGAAAAATCGAACCATATCAAGATCCCTTCATACACTAGGATGAATGTGCTTGCTAAACACGACAGTGAGTGAAAATCTAAAGAATTTCAGAAGGTAATCTAGTAAGGCACCACAATGTGGCCTAAGCCAGTAATGAAAAATCAAACCATATCATGTTGGAAGCTATGATATTTTTCGGCCTACAGTTTTCATTGATAATATTGAAAAGAAAGTTAGACAAAGTGATTTAATCAGGGAAGATGCGCAAGCAAAATGCAAACCAGACTGCAAGACAGCAAACAGCACAACCAAAATAAAAACTGAAAACAACGACCATCATCATTAAAAACTGTGGAGATCACATTGCTGGCGACATGTAAGAAAGTTCGGTCATCAAAGTAAATCTTGTCAAAGGGTCAGTGCGTTTGATTATAGAAGAAGTCAAAATATTATGACATAAATTATATGCAGAGTTCAGAGAAACCTAAAGTGCAATCTTACAAACATTAATATTAATCAAAACTTTATGATTAGGTTTTTTTGATGTAAAACCCCAGCGGGGTTTGTGATTTGTGATCCCAGGCAGTAGATTTGTGAACAGAAGGTATTTTTATCGGGAATTCCACAGGCAAAGCTTCGAAATCGGATACACAATCCATGCAAACGCGAGCCACAAAAAGTGTGCAACGCATAGAAAGAAAAATAAAGCACATACGCGATCCAGGTATAGCGCAAACGCTATCAACATAAAGCGTAAACTCGACCATCGTATAACGCACAAGCGATCCACATACAACACATACATATTGACACACATCTTCACCGAGGTTTCAAGCCCAGTTGTCTACCTTTAAGTGGAAATTCGTGACAAAATTCTTTGAAAGATGCATATATGAGCTATGCTGGTTGCTCGTGAAGGTACGAGGGGATGCTGGGTTATTTCCCGCACAATCTCCCGTACCTCGCGCCTTTAGCCAACTACTAGCTGACGAATAACTCTTTGGGAATCTTTAACTAAAATCTACGTTAAATTGTGGTTTATACTTTTGTAAAATACATCATAAATTACCCTTTTTTTCTTTCTCGATCGATCGAGCACTTTTAAGGTGTTTATAATCACTAAAACTTCACAGCCGCCTTTTCAAATGTCATAAATTTAATTTTAACTTCAGGATGCTATTTGAAGTATATAATAATTTTTGTGTAATATTCAATTATTTTATGATAAATGAATTTAGAATTAATTGAAGTTTAACCTGTGGTACTTGATGGTAACTTTGGTTCGCTAGCTGGATCATAGCATTGCGACAATGTTCCACGTATTGGCGCCATTTGTTCTGAAAAGGTAGCTATGGTTAAGAATTTGCACACAGTTAAAGGCAATCGACAGATACTAACATGCTGATTGGCAGATGTAGCTGTCAATCAACTACTAGCCAATCAACAAACGTATGAGTTGTTTCACGCTAATTGATTGGCTAATTTCGATTGATAGACGGCCTAAGCTACTTTAGCATCTGTTGATTGCCTCAAGGTTAAATATATTTGTTATTACAATTAGACTGATAAGAATTAAACTTTTCATAAAAAGTTATAAATAATTGACTTAAAAAAGAATTCGCAACACATTTATCTCTATAAAACTTTTTCGATAAAATCTTTGCTTTTTGTACAAGTAGATGACAAATTGGATATGACAAAAATTGACAAGTTGAAGAGAAAAGCTGAAAGAGTTTATGATAATGATTTGGAAAAGTGAAGATCGTGAAGTTCGAGTAGAATGTGGCAGCCAAGATGTAGAAATCAATTAAACGACTTAAGAACTATGACGTTTCAACAACAACGGTTTTTCTGTGCAAATAAAGCTATCAAACTTCTATATCATTTTTTTCTGTAGTGTACATGAAAAGTAAAATGTACTCTTTGTGTTCCAAAAAGAGTTTTCGATGGCTCTAATTTCCATGTGCTGGACCTGAGGATATTAAACTTGACTCTAAGAAAAAGTTTCACTTTCTTGGCGACAAGCACAGCTTCGCATAGTATATAAGTTTACACTACCATTCTGACGGTTAATTTTAAATAAAATAATTTCAACAATACTGAGTTTATGATCCTTATGTTCAGTGAAATCTACTACAAGACAATGTTGTAAATGCCTTGATTAAATACTGTTTATTTTCGATTAGATTGGCTTTTACAAGGCATGGATGAATTTTTTAATCTTTGAGTGGATCTTGTCTTACAAAAGTCAGCTAGGCCAATCGACAAGCAAAATGGACAGAGGCCACTGACAGAGGGCATTGACAGAGGCCAGAGGCCATTGACAGAGGGCATTGACAGAGGCCAGAGGCCATTGACAGAGGCCAGAGGCCAGAGGCCAGAGATTAAGCAAATGAATGGTAAGAAGGAAGAGTAATGGCAAGGCAAGCATTGATCAAAATATGGAATGAGCTATCTATAGTGCAGAATAAAGAATAGGAATGGTGTGATCTTTAAATGATGTCAAATAAAATGAGAGGAAGAAGAGACACAGGCACTGGCCTTTGAGCAATTTGACTAGCTCAACGAAAAGACCAAGAGCGCAATGACAAAACTTAAAGCAATTCTGGTAGCTGTTTAGTGGTCCTCACAAACAATTTACACAACAACGATCCGATTGGAAGCTAAAAGGTTGTGTAACAAAGGTTTAAAGAATCAATTTATGAGGCATACATATGTTGAAACAATTAAGGTAAAACAGCTTTGACGATTAAATGATAAATACCTGGAACAACATGGTAACTTTAATAATGGAAATTTAAATCGATAAATTAGTTTCATGTTTAAAACTTAGGGGCGTTGAAAGAATTTCAAAATACGAGTGGCAGTGGTAGGAAGGGTCATTATATCTAAAAGGGCATTTTTCAAAATATATTAAAAAGGGTATTTTTAAGAGAGAGAGGCATTTGTGCATCCCCGACTCCAACATCTCTGCATAAACTAATACTTATATTTGAGAGCCTTTTTATAAACCTATAATTATATTTATAAGATTTAACAAAGGCGTAATTTAAGATATTTTGGGACCATTTTATTAAATGACTTCGCTGAGCAACGTACCTTTGAGGAAGGTGATGGTGGGTGTTGAAATGGGTTATGGGGGACACCACAGTCAGGACATATGTCGTGATCGGTCTCCTCCGTAGTTTCCTCGTCTGCTGTATGCACCTGGCCACACTCTGCGCAGTAGTCGTAAACCTTTTCTTCCTTACGAGGTTCTGAAATGGAAACATAGACGCGATGAGCTTCGGTGTAAACGAGTCTGGACATTGCGGTACGCTTGTCTGGACATTGCGGTACGAAAGTAAGAAAGGAGAAAGCAAGCGAGAATGGAATTTCTCTCAATGCCACAAGACATTTTAATCAACAAAAAATTTCCAAACAGCTATGTATCTTTAAGTCGCAACAAGGAAATTTCGACAAAGTGACAAATTAAGTTCTATTTTCGAGAAAATTCATTTGGGAAGAGTCGAATGATGCAGTCTTGCTAGCTAAAATAATAAAAGCATGCACAGAAGTTCACAGCAAGCGGGTAAAGTATTCTAAAGTTTATAGGAAGGCAGAAACGCAGGATTTGCTGTCCGCCGGAATCTGTGAATCTTACGTAATAAAACAAATAATAGTCAGGAACGAAGCAACACAGCGACAAGAATCCAATGTAGAGAAGCAGAACTTTAAAACAAATTAAATTTAAAAAATAACATTTTGTTAGTTGATTTAAAAAATTTGAATTAGTTACAGTACATATAAAGATTGGACTTACTGTACATATTAAAGGCACTTTCTTAGAAAAGACTACCTTCACACTATTTCAAAAGTATCATAAAAGCTAAGTTCATCCAACAGCCACCATAAGCATTTTAGCTGAATGTAGTGACTGAATATTTTTCAGACTGGAGTCTTAAACTTTGCAAAAGAAAGTATTGATCGCAACATACTCGTATTGCTGTTTGTCTTCCTCACTCGACTTGTGTTGATTCTCGCATTTGTCAGCTCATCCTCGTCCTCTTCGTCATCTTCAGACGATGATGAAGACTCGGAGAGGCCTTTGATCCTCGCAATCAGATTCCGGCCTCGCTTCCCGTGCCCATCGTATGGGCCTAAATTTCCTGCTGACTTTGATTGCTGGATCGGTGCAGGTGTCTTTGTTCCTTGCGGCTGATCCATCGATGTAGACTTTGTTACCATCTGTTTCTTACTTCCGCCTTTTTTCTTTACTCCTGTCAGAAACAGATTTGAGACATTAAATGCAAAGAACGTTGTAAAAACAATAGGTTGAAGAAACGCAAAAAGAAAAAGTGAAAAACTTCGTTTCAGTGCCACTCAAAGTTACGAACATTCAGAGAAACGGCAACTTGACATCTTTTTCTTTCTCTGCCAAAAAATTTGGTCTAGTTGGGTAAGATAAAATTTCAATAAAATAGTTAAAATCTAGCACAGCTTTAAAAGAAAATTAATTTTTGTGATAACAAGCTAAAATCTAAAGGGAATTTTTCAAAGATTTCGATGCAAATATAACTTTCAAACTTCGAAAAACATCAAATCTCTACTTAGAGAGAAGAAAGCGAAAAAATGTTCCTCCAATTTTTAATCAATTTACATGTTGTTATTTGTAAAGTAATACCAAATGAACCTCTGGTCTCAATGTCAATTACAGTTTTTAAGAAAATTACGAATTGCAAATTATTTGAGACATTTCATTTGAGATGTTGCTATTTTGGCCTAATTGATGAACTTCAGAACCAAGAACAAATTACAGTGATAAAATAAGGAAATGCTCTTGGCTAATGGGGGGGGGGTGCTATTTTGGCCTAGTTGATGAACTTCAGAATCAATAACAAATTACAGTGGTAAAATAAGGAAATGCCCTTGGCCAATTTGGGGGGGGGCATATTTCAGGCTGAGCACACTAGCTCAACCTGTCACAGATTGAGCTAATTTTGCAAAATTAAAGGTATCAAGGTATAGAATATATATTTTATTACGCTACGCCATCGTTATGACGTCATAATTTTGCAACTGTGTTTAGTCTTGTTTGAAACGATCATCATCATAATGTTGTAAAAGATACATACCAGTGGATACGTCATCACGAGATATGGGATGCAAACGGCTTTCAGATTTCGGAACAAATTTCCCTTTTTCAACCTCTCTAGCAAATGTCCTAAAACACCAGAAAAATCTGCAATGCACTGATGGATATCTGGATCATCAAGATAAATTTTATAACGCGTTCGCTTGCCAGCTTTCTTCTCTTTCTTCTGTTTCCCATTGGCCGACCGCCTCTTATGTTCCTTTGCCTGTCTATTTTTTAATTCATGTGTTGGTTCTGAGATTTTCTTCGCATTCGTTTCTAGACTTTGCTGCTCATCTGTCCTACTAAGCGGTCTTGTAGGCGAATCACTTCCGATGGTGCTTTCCCGGATCACCTCCTCAGAATCCACAGCAATATCCTTATACTCTATATCGCTTGGGGGTAGTACACCTTGGCTTTGGGGTAGCATTGCTACTTCTCCTTGGCTCCTCCTTTTAGTAGCTTCATCAACAGTGGTCTTTTTTGCAGCTTTCATCCCTGCCCTTCTATGTCCGAACTCGTACTCTTCGTCCCATTCCAACTCACCACCAGAGCTATGATCTGAGGAGCCCTGGCCATTTTTACGACCGGTACTGAACCGACCGGAGTCGGACAAACTGCTCGAAGACGATGTTCTCTGCTTTGTAGGCTTCGTTGTCAGTTTGCTGCTACTGGTATGGTTCCCAGGTGTATCCGCAGCCGGGACTGGCTTCCCGGGCATTGCAGACTGGGGTGACCGGTTTAAATCAGTCTTTGCAGATAACGTTTCGGCTATACGTGATATTTCAACATCTTCTGCTACAGGTTCGGGCGTCTTAGCGCTGGATTCTATTTTCACATCCGGGTCGGCCGCTCTTGGCGACTCTTCGCTTTCAATCGACAATAATTTTCCAACTTTCGCTTTTGAGTCCGAATAGGCAAGCTGGTCTTCCGTTGAAGCCGAAATCTCATCCTCACTTGCGCTTAAGGATTGGCCATTTTCAAATGCGACACTTTCCTGAAATTCTCCAGCTGCTTTCGTTGAGTCTGTGAAATAAGAATATTGTTACCTTTGCAGCAGCTCAAGACGACCTTACTAAACGGGCTATTAATGTTACAAATAAGCATGAAAGGACGTAAGATCATAAAAAGTGCCCCCCCGTGTTTCCCTACATTTTCAACCATGTCTTTTAATGGAATCGTTAAGCAACGAGACTTCTCACTGCATTGTTCGACGATTCAATTCGATGACGTGAGAGGAATTGTAGGGGTGCACGTAGGCTACATAAAAAGATGTAAAAAAATCATTCTATAATATGGATCAAAGGCTATTGTTAACATTAAGGTAAAAAAAGGCTTTTTTGTACTCCGTTAAACAATTTGTGATAGAGTTCTTAAGTGTGAATTTTGACTAGGATGTGGAACGAGCTTGTGCTCATGTGGCCATACCATAACCCATTTAACTGATTTTGCACATTTAAAGGTGTTTTATTGCGTCCTTTTCGGTTATGGGATCCAAATTGAAAATTCTAAAAATATATTTTTGTGACGTCAAAACCGATAATTAGCACGACCAACTTTATATCTTTCCAATCATATAACCCAAGGACAAAGGATGCCCTATGAGTTTATTTCTACTGGCATATTCGACTCTTATTTTTCAAATAAGAAATAAAGTTTGAAATTCATTACTCTAGTTTCTGAACGTTGCAAAAAAATTTTAGAATTTTTTGCTTCGTCAGAGCTCCTTAATTTTAGTGTCATCAACTTTACCATTCGGGCAAAGTCCATTGCGGCATTTTCATGCTTTCCTTCATATTTCAGAATTATGAAAATGGGTATAAACATGGACCTAACATACATAAGCACGAAAAAATCGCTTTTGTGTAGACAGAAGGGGTTCGTTTTCACCCTAGGACTTTATTGGTAACATTCTCTATAGGCAAGCGGCACTGTATGGGCAACCTCAACAGTCACGTGTTCGCGTTTCTGATTGGCCTATTTCAATCCACAACTGGGTATATATATATTTCCTAGCGTAGAGATTTCAATCTTCCGACGTTTTATACTCCGAAGAGTGTCAGACGAAAAGCTTAAGCAACACGAAAAGCTTTATACAAAATTTCATTTTCGTATTTCCTTACAGATGGGAATATATACTAGATTGTGTGCGGAACAATATCATGTAAAAGTGAAATTGTGAATTCAAGATAAAACTGTATCAGGAAAGTAATAACAAATCATGTAAAAAAGATATTTTTATCTGTTCTTTAAATAATTCGCTCTAACTTTTCTCGTATAATTTTTTCTCAAATTCAAATTCATATTGCAAGATAAAAAAATTTGAAACCAAAGATATGGCGAGTCGAGAAAGCGAATGTCAGCTGTCACTACCATGGGAACTCTCTAAATAACAAGTATTTCCTTGGAAACATATATTAGATTTCCACATAAAAACACAACATGTACAGCTAAATATTTCAAAAAGAGATCAAATTCCCTAGAAGCAATTGTCAAATATCCCTGTAACAGAGCCAAAGAAACTCCCATTTTTTCAAAAAGACTGTTCATCGTCAATCCTATTTTATTCAACAGATGCTGTTACTCTCACCTGGATCAAGTAAAAAATCATTTTTCGTTGAATTTTAAGCACGTAGTTAAGTGCACTGCAGAATACTGTAAAGGAAACAATGCTTTTTCTAAAGTAGACTGATAGAAAAAAGAAAGAATGGGTGTTGGATCAGATTTAACGGTTTCCATAAATTTATCTGCCTACCAATTGATCTGTTACATGAACAACTGTAATTCAATACAGGATTTGATGACTGGGCCTCCCAACAGCAAAAGAACATGTGAAACAATGATTGATCTCGATATGAAGGAAACGAAACAAACGGTATTCCACTGGCAAGCTTTGGAAATGAAAATCCCTGACGTAACATTTACGTCTCAACAGTAATATGTCAGTGTTTCTGATTGGCCTAATTCGATCCACAATTAGGTGTATATATTTCCTAGCGAAGAGTTTTCGATGTATGTTCTGACGTTTTATATTCTGAAGAGTCAGACAAAAAACTTTAGTATGTTTCAAAATGTCTGCTTTTCCAAAGCCATTGTTAAATTTTGCACCACAAAAATTGTTTGCAAGTTACTTTGGAGCGAAATCTTTGTTTAATTCGCTCGATTTCTCGAGATAAAAATCTATTTTTCATAAGTTAAATTTGACCACAGAGAAAAGGGGGTCTCTTTTTGAATTTATTGTTATGTCGTTATCCATACTATTTTTACTTTTTCAATAGACTGTTTTGTAAGGCAAGTAATCTAATAGCAAAACAACCTGAAAAGTGGAATAAAGTTGAATGGGGATGGTTGGATGTGAAACAAAATAATTTCCAATAACAATTATAATCACTTTAAAGCAGCACAAGATAGGACCAGCGGAAAAACGGCTGCTTTGCACCAACAAGTGTTTCCAAGTTACAACAAGCGGCATCAAACTGACGACGTAAATAATTACGTGATTAAGCAATGTTACGCGGAATTGTGCAGGCTGCGCGGGGGTGCGCGAGGCAACGCAGGACCAACGTCAAAGTATCGCGATTATGCAACATTGAAAACTTTAGACAATAATACGCCTAAAAATTGTACGATTCATGATATTTTCTACGTCCTCTAGGAAAGAGAATAACAGTGAAGAATTTGACACGCGCGTTTTCTTCGGGTGCGAGAAATTCAGCAGATATAGAGTACTCGGTGACAATGAAGCCTAGAATTCTTGAAATATTTGAACGATAAGAACACAGTAATTGGGGAGTTTACTTTGCCGAAAGGAGGGAATTCTCATGAGGATTGGCTCTAGCTTTTAAATCATTAATGGTTTTCACTCCCTATTCAATGCGAATAATTAATAGTTTTTGCGTTGCAATTATATTTTCTGAAAGATTAGCGTCAGCGACACCTGGAAACTGACAAAAAATCCTCCATCAGTGATTTAAAATCTATTCAGCGCTCTCTAAAGTGAATACTTTAGAGATCTTCAGTGAATATTTCAGTCATCTAATAACGAAAGTAGAGAGCAATTTATCATCCATTTGCATGATTACCGATGGGTTTGCAGTGCTTCAGGGATGAATTTTATCACCGCATCCTTTTTAAATGCATAACTGCTGACAGAGTTGAATATTACTGCAGGTGATTTGGGCCTTTGGAACAAAAATGAATTAAACGCAGACGGTTGGCAAGGGGATGCCCTAACTGCTGGGGATAAGGACCTAATGCTGCTAGCCGAAGATAAATCTTGATACCATGCCAATTTTACAGCATTTCCGTACTTGATAGCTACCCCTAACAATGTTATTTTGCCTATATAAAAGCTAAAGAAAATCTAGCCTACCCCTAACCAGTATATTTTTAAAAAGCGAATGATGAAGTAGCCAACCCTTACCACTTCCCCATACCAACTTGACACTGCCATTGCAGTTTGATTCTATTTAGATTTATGAGTTTCGACACTCACCCCATTTTCAAAGAAACGTACTTTATCAATTCATGGGTACACAGAATGAGAACATTGCTATAAAAGGGGCCCAAGAAATCAGCGTTACTCGCACGATGCATCTCGATATCAAAAGATTGAAAAGTAAATGCATTAAAAAGGTACTTTTGATAGAAAATCCGGCATGTTTGAGATGGAGCTGGTGTTCAATGAGAAAAATATTCTGTTTGATGATAATGCTGGCAGAATGAGCAATGCCCTTTTCTTAAGCCTCCTAAATCCATATATGCTCTCTATTTTTATATACAAAAATAATTTTGGTTAGAAATCACAATCGGAACACTTGACTTGCATTTTAGATGAGAGAGGCGATCGAATTTACCAAAATTGGCAAATAAATTATGGGTTCACTGAGTGAAAAAGAGATACAAAGATCTCCATCATGAAGGAAATAACGAAGTTGTTTCCAATAAAGAAATTGACTAGCTTTAAGTGAAAAACTAAAGTATCGCACTGAAAAGAAACATTTTCGATAGGAAAAAGATCAATAGCAAAAACATGTTGTACGAGCATAAAACCCATATTACTTATGAATATATATGTATTATATGCATAAATATATAAAGCTTTTAGTAAAGAAGGCCTAATAATAACAGAGAT